GTGCATGTCTGAAAGTCTGATAAATTAGTTAACTTCCAGGGTAAAATGTTGATGCCCTCCAAGGGCCCGGCATTTATACAGAAGAAGGCTAATCCATCGGTCTTTGTCCCACAGGCACCCCCGAGTTAATTTCTCTGCTAAAAAGCAAAGATGTGTGGCTGTTTTCCCTCGATCAATATGTTGATGAAATTGCCTTTGAAACGCCTGCAGATCAAGGACCCCCTTTTCTGGCTCCGAGACTTTTTGAACCACCTCAATTCGCTGTTCTAGCCACCCTGGGATCTGAGTGGAAGGAGTTCTCAAAGGTGTCTTAGAAACCCTTCCCGCTGCTCCTTGTGTTCTTCCAGCAAGACTTTCTGAAGGTTTGAGATGAGAAGAAGAAAAGATCAAGAACCAAAAGTGTCTTTTTCTCTGCGGTTTTTAAAAATCTTCCTGGGCACCCCTTGCTTAAAACTAAAAATAAGGGTTTGCAACAGCAGTTTACAGGAAGAAAGAAAGGAAAAAACAGCTTCTCCCTGTAATGGAACCCACGGGGGAGAAATAAGCAAAGTTTTAGTCCTTCAGTTACTCCAATAATTTTTTATGATGTTTGAATGTTGTGTGTTTCACCCATGCCATTCTTTAAAGGGTTATCTCTAAAGGACTGTCTCTCCCACATCCACTGCTATCCTGCCTGGGACTAGATATAGGCTAACTATCTTTGCTTTTGCCACTACCTAACAAAGTTTGGGCTTCCATAACTTGCTACAGGGCACTCTCAGTGGTGGCACCTCAACAGCAGAACACATTTTCATTCAGAGGTTAGAATGGCACCAACATTGGTTAGTTTTGGGTGCCACCCAAAAATATTCCCCCTTCTCCAGCTGTTTTGATTAAATAGCTCAGGCACTAGAATATGATAGCTGAAAGGTGGAGAATGCCGGGTCTTATACAGGGATGATTAATTGATTTTATGTCAATGAACTCTTTGAATGTTTTTACCCACCCTCCGCTTCTTTTCTGATGAAAGGTAGGATATGTATTGTAGAAATAAATAAAAATTAAATAGATAAAGCCTTTTCAGTGGTGATAGACTGGCATCCCCAGAGAGGCTTGCCTGATGCCCAAGCTAGGGCCCTTTCGGTGCTGGGTGAATATTTCTTTTTGTGCTCAGAGGAATGGTTGAGACTCCTCCTTTTTATATATATATAACAAACCGCCTTCCAGTAACATGGAAACCAGAACTTTCGACACACATGCTTCTCTCCACCCTTTACCCAGATAGCAACACTCAAGGACTGTGCTAAGCAAGAATGATGAGGTGTAAACTGAGGAGAAAGTGCAACCTAAGAAAAGTTTCAGGGGCCAGACACCGAGGTCTGGAGGGCCACATGTGAACCCTAAATCTGAGGTCCTCCCCCCTATCAGGTACTTCAGGTTTTGTCCTAAAATCCTTCTGGATTATATGCTGGTTTTCATTGTTTAAGATACTGTGTTTTAGCCTGTTTTTAATTATTACTTTCTTGCTATTTGGAGGGTATTGCTGGTATTTTTGCTTCTGTGATTTATTAAACTTTTGCTTTTATCTTCTTCAATGTGAATTGCATTTTTTGTTTTTGTTTCTATAAACTGTCCAGAAAGCCAGTGTAGTTTAGTAAAAAGTTAAAGGTAAAGGACCCCTGGACAGTTAAGTCCAGTCAAAGGTGAGTATGGGGTTGCAGCGCTCATCTTGCTTTCAGGCCGAGGGAGCCGGCATTTGTCCACAGACAGTTTTCCGGGTCATGTGGCCAGCATGACTAAACTGCTTCTCGTGCAACAGAACACCATGACAGAAACCAGAGCACACAGAAATGCTGTTTACCTTCCCGCTGGAGCGGTACCTATTTATCTACTTGTACTGGCGTGCTGTCAAACTGCTAAGTTGGCAGGAGCTGGGACAGAGCAACGGGAGCTCACTCTGTCACAGGGATTTGAACTGCTGACCTTCTTGGGCAAGCCCAAGAGGCTCAGTGGTTTAGACCACAGCGCCACCCGTGTCCCACTTGTAGTTTAGTGTAGCATAGTGGTTAGAGTAATGGGACTAGGACCTGGGAAGCCGGGGTTCAAATCTCCACTTAGCTATTAAACTCACTGGATAATGTTTGGCCACTCACTGTCTCTTAGCCTAAGCTACCTTACAGGGTCATTGTGAGGGGGGGAAATGGGAGGTGAAGAACCATGTGTTCCACTTTCAGCTCCACAGAGGAAAGAAGCCCAGCATACTCTTCAAAGTTTAGGGGGGAATAAAAAAAAGATTAAATATTTGTTCTTTCAAATGATCTAAAACAAAATATATTGGGGAGCTTTTCTATCTTGAAATCCTACTTCCTGACCTTACCCTTCCTGACCATGGTACAAAGTCCTTACACTCTTTGAGAAACTTCCAGACCACCCCAAGCCAAACTGATTTTGCCATCTTACTCACAGAAGCTGGACTTTGTCAACATGTTGTGACCTGACCTTTTCTCTTCAGCAGCTAGAATGTCAGGGTTTTTGCTTTGTTTGTTTGCTTGGGGACTTTGCAGCAGATCAGCCGAGGAAAAGACTTAAACCACTCGTGTCATGTTTTTAAGCCTATAATATCTCTGGGTAAGGAGCACAAATGTGCTGTTGCATTCACGTTCTGCTTGAGGGCTTCCTGCAGGAATCTGGTTGGCCACTGTGAGAAGAGGATGCTCTCCAGGAAGTTTGCAAGCTGGGCTTAAACTTTGGAACCAATAGGAGGGTTCCCTGCCCCCCAAAAAATCTAACTACGGGTGTGTGTGTGATGCATTTCTTTCCTGCACCCTTCCTACCCTCCTGTTGGGATGTGTCCAAGGGAACGGGGGCAATTTGCAGGCCCCCAGCTGGCTCCAGCCCACCAGCTGGCCGCCGGGCGAACTCCGGTCCTTGGAGCAGCATCGAAACAGCGGCACACAACTTCTGAAGCCTTTGGAAGCTTGAGCACGCCTCAATCAGCAGAGTGAATAACACGCAACAGAAGTGGCAGACAGAGGCATATGTAAAACGCATTTACAAGAAGTTTATTCAGCATAGATCAAGACAAAGAAAACATGTCTGCTCTCCTTCATGTCTAACAGCAGGATGCACTAAGCAAAAGCAATACACAAACGGAAGTTCCCAGCGAGCTGTGCTGGAATGTAAACAGACATGTGACTTACAACAATCCACATATCCTACCACCTCCATCTTCCAACCCTCCACATTTACACTGGGTAAAAGTCTGTTAGACCAGCAAAGAGGGACCCCCCCCAAAAAAAGCTAATTAAGTGTTGGACCAAATTTTTGGCAGCAGTCACAGCATATGGGGAGGGTACTGCTGACCCTCCCTCCCTCTGCCATGTAGCCTTTTTTTCTCCCCACCAAGTTTCCAAACGGCAGATAGGCTTTCCAAGTGTCCTATTGGGTGCAATCTGAGGTGGTTCCTTGCTGCGGTGCTGCAGGGAGGTGTGGTGAGAGAGGACGATGCAGACCAGGTGGGGAGGCATCTCAGTCCACATCCAGCCCACAGGTTGGCAGTTCTCCACCCCTGGCTTACAGGCAGTCCCTCTCTGGTATTTCATGCAAGCCACTGGTTTTCAGCATCATGGCTAGCATCGCCATCATCATCATCATAAATTTTATTTATACCCCACCCTCCCCAGCCAAGGCCAGGCTCAGGGCAGCTAACAACCAATAATAAAAACAAGTTGATTGAAATACAACATTAAAACATTAAAATGCAGCCTCATCACAGGAGGAGAAAGGAAAAAAGAAAGAGGGGGAGGGAATAAAATTGATTCCAAGCCAAGGCCAGGTGGAACAACTCTGTCTTACTGGCCCTGCGGAAAGAAATCTGATCCTGCAGGGCCCTGGTCTCGTGAGACAGAGTGTTCCACCAGGCCGGAGCCAGTGTTGAGAAGGCCCTGGCTCTGGTTGAGGCTAATCAGAATTCCTTAGGGCCTGGGACCTGTAGGGTGTTGCTATTTATGGAGGACCTTAAGGTCCTCCATGGGGCATATTGGGAGAGGCGGTCCCGTAGGTACGAGGGTCCTAGACCGTGAAGGGCTTTAAAAGTCAAAAGCAGCACCTTAAATCTGACCCTGTACTCCACCGGGAGCCAGTGCAGCTGGAAAAGCACTGGGTGAATATGCTCCCATGGCAAAGACCCCGTGAGGAGCCTCACTGCTGCATTCTGCACCCGCTGGAGTTTCTGGGACAGCTTCAAGGGCAGCCCCGCGTAGAGCGAATTACAGTAGTCCAACCTGGAGGTGACCGTCGCATGGATAACTGTGGCCAGGTCGGGGCGGGAAAGGTAAGGGACCAACTGTAAGACCATAGTAAGACCATCGGAGATGTAAAATACACAAAGCATGCTGGTCCACAACTTCTTGTTTCTGTGCTGCAGAGAGAAACTCTGAAATAAAAGTTGGTTTCCATGGGAAAGCAGGAAAAGTCCATTGCAGCTTCATTTTCCACTTATCATTGGATGCTGATGGCACATCCAAATCTGGGATGAACCATCTAATTTCCGGCGATACGAAGAAGCCCCACTGCCAAGCTCATTTAATCTTTAGAAAAAGCAGGGTTTTATCAGCTTCACTAACAACTTCTTTTTTGGGCACAATATACTCACGTGGCTCGATTGTGCCAAACACCCGTCTCCCCTAGTTATGTACTAGACATCGCTTAACGGGAACAGCTAGCATCCAGCAGTGATGTTGGATAATCAATCGTGTCTTCAAGGATAAAAATAAGCCGGACCAAATCTATGGTTTCTTCTTGCTTCCAGTGTGTTTGGGAAACACTGTTAATGAAAAATGAGGCGGTTGTCCCCATTGCACATTTTTGGATTACGGTTTGGTGCCATCAATCTGAAGCCTAATGAAACAAAGACCACCTACAGGGGAAGGATATTGTGTCCATCTGACAAACAGCATCCGACTCACTATCTGGTTGCAAAGATGCAAGCAGGCATCAGCTGAGAAATTTCCTGCTTCTGATCAGGCGTAGCAAGCAAAGTCCCCAACTTTCCCCCATCTCCTTCCTGCGGGGAATCCAAAAGGGAAACTCACTGTTAGCACAAGAGTGGGAAACCTATAGCCTCCCACATGTCGTTGGACTCCAACTCGCATAAGCTCCAACCAGCTTGTCCGGTAGTCAGTGAAGATGGGAGATGTAATCCAGAAACATTTGGAGGGCCAGATTCCCCATCTCTCTGCTCTACAGTCTCTGGGTGAAATAAGGTCCAGAGAATGGGGCAGCTCTTTCTATGCTTGAGTAATGCTCAGTGTGGAAGATCCAGTAGAACTGGGACTGTCTCCTCTTTGAAACCCTGGAGAACCACTGCCAGTGTAGAAAAAACTTAGCTAGATAGACCAAGGATCTGAAGCAATTATTATTATTATTATTATTATTATTATTATTATTATTATTATTAATATTAATATCCCACCCTTCTGGCTGGGTTTTCCCAGCCACTCTGAGAGGCTCCCAACAGAATATTAAACAGAATAAAACATCAAACCTTAATAATAATAATAATTATAATAATTATAATAATTTATTTATACCCCGCCCATCTGGCTGGGTTTCCCCAGCCACTCTGGGCGGCTTCCAACAAAACACTAAAATACAATAACCTATTAAACATTAAAAGCTTCCCTAAACAGGGCTGCCTTCAGGTGTCTTCTAAAAGTTTGGTAGTTATTTTTCTCTTTGACATCTGGCGGGAGGGCGTTCCACAGGGCGGGTGCCACTACCGAGAAGGCCCTCTGCCTGGTTCCCTGTAACTTGGCTTCTCATAGCGAAGGGAACCACCAGAAGGCCCTCGGCGCTGGACCTCAGTGTCCGGGCAGAACGATGGAGGTGGAGACGCTCCTTCAGGTATACTGGACCGAGTCCGTTTAGGGCTTTAAAGGTCAGCACCAACACTTTGAATTGTGCTCGGAAACGTACTGGAGCCAGTGTAGGTCTTTCAAGACCGGTGTTGTATGGTCTTGGCAGCCACTCCCAGTCACCAGTCTAGCTGCCGCATTCTGGATTAGTTGTAGTTTCCGGGTCACTTTCAAAGGTAGCCCCATGTAGAGCGCATTGCAGTAGTCCAAGCGGGAGATAACTAGAGCATGCACCAGTCTGCGGGCAGCATGGCGAGACAGTCTGCGGGCAGGTAGGGTCTGTGTACCAGATGCAGCTGGTAAACAGCTGCCCTGGACACAGAATTGACCTGTGCCTCCATGGACAGCTGTGAGTCCAAAATGACTCCCAGGCTGCATACCTGGTCCTTCAGGGGCCTTAAAAACTTCCCTAAACGGGGCTGCCTTCAGATGTCTTCTAAAAGTCAGATAGTTGTTTATTTCTTTGACATCTGATGGGAGGGCAACTTCCTATGTTCCCATATATGTTTTCACTGCCAGTTCTGAAGTTCTGGTTAAGTTCTGAAGACCTCACTACCTTCTCAATAGTGGCTCTGTCACTATATTCCTCTTTTGGTTTGTTACTGTCATTCCTGCTGGACTCAATGGGCCCTTAATGTGATCGAGCAGGGCTTTTCTTAAAACGATTGCTTTACAGATTAAGAAACAGGTTGCTGCTGCTGTTTTTTTAAAAAAAGGTATGGATATTTCACAATGAAAGCTTCAGAAAGAGGTGGAAGTGAGCCGCAGTTGGCTTATCATCAAATCAGTTATTGCGTATGTTACTACTGTGGAAATTCTAATTTTGGTGTTTTACGGCAATTTTACAGCATTGTATTTTGGAAACACAATGCTTATTGCTATTGTTAAAATTGTAAGAAAAAAATTTTTTTTAAAGAATCATAGCAAAAAATAAAAATCCTAAAATACAGATGTCCAATACTGCATCAAATTAATATTCTAAGAAAGCTCAGTGAAACAGAAATGTTTTCAGCGGTGATAACTGCAATATTGCTGGTGCACCAGGGAAAAGTCAAGACACTTGGCATTTTCAGCAGGGAGTTCATTTGCTTCTGCACCTTAGTAGCACTGCTAGAATTTCCAGAATATTACTGCTTGTAAGGGTACTTCTAGGTTACCTGTTTATTGAGCATTAACCCTTGATACATTTTCAGGGAGATTTAATGAGCATTTGATCTAATCTGCAGAGACGTCAGACGAAATTGCAGGAAAGCAAGTATTATCCCGTACTTCCAGTCCCTCTCCATATCACAAAAACTCTGAGCTTTGGGACAAGGTGCTTTGTTGTACAAAACCTCCCAGGCTGCTGTAATTGTGCAACCTGAATTTCTTGGTATATGACTGCATCCCATCCAAAAACAGTCTGGCTGTGTATAGAATAGATTTATGAAAGATTTAGAAAACTTAGCAATTAGAATATTTGTGTGAGATTGTATGGGAAAAATACAGAATAACAGATACAATGTTGCTTAAAATGTATATAGGAAGTGCAGTGTAAGCGATGGAAGTCAATCAATGAAATTTTATTATTGAGATATTTGTAGAATAAATTTGGAAGAAATTCTTCCAACTTTTCTTCTTCTTCTCTTTATTTTTTCTTTTTCTTTCTTCTTCTCTTCCTTTTTTCTCTTTTGTTCTTTTTTTTACATATGTGCGCTTATCTGAAATATATATGTATGTATGTATTTGCAATATTTTGCTTATATTTTGTAATAATTATGTTAAATAGATTAAACAAACAAACAAACAAACAAAAACAGTCTAGAAGTGCCCTGATTTAACAGGGAGAAGACAATGCGAAATTACGGTTCGTATTATTTGGGTCTCTTGCCATCGCTAGAGACGATGGCAAACTCTTTCTGCTGGCGCTGTGAAAACAACCACTGCTGTTTTAAGTTTTTGCCTGACACACCATGTTATAGCTGTTTAGAAATCCGCTCCGCATCCACACAATACTAGGTTGTGCATCAACGTTATGGTTTTCATAGTCAGTTTTTTTTTTCCAGGTTCCTGACAGCCTCAACCCCAGCACATCCTACTGAATTGGTCCACCTGTATGAACAATACTTAGGATTTATGCTTAGCAGGTGCAGGATTGTTTTGGGCTTCCTTGGTGTTGATGCCTGCTGCAGAGGGGATGCTGGGGTTGCTACTGCTTATTGTAGACCCTGTATCATTCGCCAATACATAAGAAAGTTTCCGGCTGACTTTGACTGCCATACTGTTTGTTTTTTTTAAAAAATGTAATCAAATTTTTAAAATGAGATCTTTATGGTGTGGCTCTCCACAAAAAAACTGGCACCTCTCCCTGTGCATAGACACCCTCCCACCAAAGTGCCAATTCCATCTATGAGAAGCGCATGATTGGTAAATGAAACATGCTTTAGATTTGTAATTGTACATAAAATGAAAGGGTTTAAGGTCAATGAGAAGGAGGAGGATTGGTTTGAGAAAATATTGAATTATTTGGGCTGGTTTGAACAATTTGGGGCAATTAAATTGTTAAAAGTTAAATAAACCTTGTGGAGGGAGGGGTGTTAAGGTATATAGAATTGTACATATGGTTGATTTGAATATGTTATTATTGATTATGTATACCCAGTGTATCAGCCGCCTGGGGGTTTTCACTGTTTGTTTTCACTGTTTGTGTTTTGGTTGTTGGTAAAAAAAATAAATTAAAAAAAAGACTTGTAATTGTACGTATTTGTTTCTTGAATTTATACCCTGTCCTTTATCATCAAATGATACTGGGGTGGGTCACCATAAACACGTAACAAATAAAACAAGATTAGAAGTCTCGATATACAACCCAATAAGACGACTCCAACACTCCACTGTTAATCAAAATGCCTGGCAGAAGAGGAAGCTTCTTAGTTGGCACTGAAAACTATTCAATGTAGTATGCTTGTTTATGAATGGGATTTATACCTTGCCATTCATCCTAAGGTCACAAGGCTACATCAATGAAGATAACAGCAAAGGGCCATATTCACCTAACTGGTCCAATGTAAGACGGTCACCTGCCAGGGATTCATAAGCTGCGGTTCCTGCCTTCCAGGGGGTTGGAATAAATGACCTTTGGGGTCCCTTCCAACTCTACAGTTCCATTATTCTGCGACCAAAATGGGCCCATTGTATTTGCTGGATTGATTTCCATTCTAGACATGGGATGAATAAGCAAACATTTCCTGCAGGACTTGATCTGCTTTCGCAGGGCCTGTAAGACAGAGCTATTCCGCCTGGCCTTCAATTTGAATTAGCCTGATCCTCTATTCTCTTTCCTCTTCTATGAAGGAACCCTTTCTGGGACCCCACATTTAAATTCTTCCCTGGTCTCCTTGCTGGCCCTAGTAGGACCAACTTGGCCAGTTAGCCCTGGTGATCATTCAGTGTCTACTGACTGGGTTTTTTCTCTTTTCCCAAAATGACCCTGAATTTTTGAATTTTATTGATATTGATGCTGCATTTTATGTTGTATTCTATGCTGTTTTAAAGTCACATTTTAATCAATGTTTTATATTTGCTGTTAGCCACCCTGAGCTTGGTTTTTAAACTGGGAAGGGTGGGGTATAAATAAAAATTTATTTATTTATTTATTTATTTCCACTCCTGTTTCTGTTGGAATCTTCCAACATCCTCAGCTATTCCTTTTAGATGATTCTTTTTTCTTTCTTTTCTTTTTTTTGTCGTACTATGTTTATTGAATATTGCCTTTGTTGGTCACCTTGAATGCTTGTTCAAGCGGACAGGGCATAAATACCCGGAAGGGAGCTTTATTAAAGCAGGAACAGGAAACAAGCATCTTTGAGCATTTGGTGACATGTAGTGGAAATATACTGGGGAGCTGAAATGGGCCCAGAACTTAGTAACTAAGTCCACCATCCTTTTGAATCAACCCTATCAACTCTATCCCCATGGCATACAAAGTATGCAGGAACTTGACGGTTTCTGAGTGAAACTTTGAATGGGGAGCCATGTTCACTATGACGGACTTTTGTAAGTCAATAGAAAAAAAGTTTGCTGGATTCTTGTTAATGTTCTATGTGTCCTTTTTCGGATAACTCTTGTGCCAGCAAAAATACCTCTGCTGCTTACATCGTGCACAATCTATTTGACTCCTCAGCAATGTTACTAATCACCTTATGCATATTTATGGGTGGGGTGCAATTTGTATATGTGTGTGTGCCTGTAGTTTTACTGCCTTATAATATAGGAGCACTTATCTAACCCCCCCAGATGCTTATGTTGATTATGCTTAAAAGCCGAGGGATAAATAAGGAGGTAGAGTTGCCAATTACTGCAAGATGAAATCTATTATCGCTGGAACAACATCCCCACTTTCCACAATCATACCTTTATATTTTACCCATCTCTCGTTTCCTTGTGGGGAAACTAAAGAGGCTCAGCATATGTGTACTGAAAAGCTAATGTCAATAGAACATTTAGAGCATGGTGTTGCCAAGCATGTAGGATGAGTTAGGGAGAGGTACCAGAGGAAGCCTCTACTTTTTAAGATGCTGTCTAGAAAAGAAAAAAAAAGTAGAGACATCACCTTGCCAACAAAGGTCCGTATAGTAAAAGCTATGGTTTTCCCAGTAGTGATGTATGGAAGTGAAAGCTGGACTATAAAGAAGGCTGATCGCCGAAGAATTGATGCTTTTGAATTATGGTGCTGGAGGAGACTCTTGAGAGTCCCATGGACTGCAAGAAGATCAAACCTATCCGTTCTGAAGGAAATCAGCCCTGAGTGCTCCCTGGAAGGACAGATCGTGAAGCTGAGGCACCAATACTTTGGCCACCTCATGAGAAGGCTCCCTGGAAAAGACCCTGATGTTGGGAAAGATGGAGGGCACAAGGGAAAGGGGACGACAGATGACGAAATGGTTGGATAGTGTTCACGAAGCTACCAGCATGAGTTTGACCAAACTGCAGGAGGCAGTGGAAGACAGGGGTGCCTGGCGTGCTCTGGTCCATGGGGTCACGAAGAGTCGGACACAACTAAACGACTAAACAACAACAACAACAACCAGAGGAAGCAGGTATTAGGTGGAGAAATGTCCAAGCAAATCAGCCCCTACAATGAGAGCAAAGAAAGAAAATGATGCCCATTCCCATTTATCAGAACTATCTTCCGTTTTAGATGCCGTGCTCCCTGGGAAATTAGTGTTGTCCTTCCAAGTACACGAGATTAATTGGCAGTAATTGAACACAGTTTGGAGGCTAATTATGTAAAAATTGATATTAAAGAATACTACCAAATTGATGGAGTTTAGCAGTTCATATTTAGTTTTACAAATTACATGAGTTGAGAGGCAGCAGTAAGAAACAATAAAAATCCACTGAGAGCTGCTAAAGCAAATTAAGGTTTACTAGTCCTTTGAAAGACAAATGATCCAAGCGCTTGTAATGTAGGGAGGGCAGTAAAAATTGTTCCTGACATTTACTATAGATTTAAAATATCAAATGGTCGCAGATGCCATATGTTGAACACATTTCATTTTTCCCCCCCTCCCCTTTGAGGGTAAATGCTGCTTTATTCCAAAGGACAGCAAGGAAGGAAGAAATCTGAGACAAGAACTTCTGGATCCAGGTTTCTGGTGCTGCAGCAGAAATATCTTAAAGATCAATGGTTTTCAAACCATGTGTCGAGGAAAGCTGGGGTTCCTCCAGAATTTATCAGGGGTTCTCCAACAAGAAAGTCAATAAGAATGGAGTGGTATCTCTGAGGGAGGGACCTTGGCTCAATGGCAGAACAGAAGCTGTCGATTTAGCTCTCCCAGCGTCAATCTCTAACATCTCCCATTTTTAAGAATGGGAGGTGACAAGAAAGAACACCAGATAAACACGAGCAGTCAGAGTCATTGTTAGCTGGCAGAGATATTAAGTTCTGTCCGTTTGACTTTTTTTACAAAATTGCTGCTTGCTTGGTTTTTTTAAAAAAATAATAATTGTTGGCCTGTTTTAGTGTGCTGTATGTTAAACTTGCGCTCCTTTTTCTTTACACTTGCAAACCACCTGGGAATCAACGTTGATGGAGTGGAACATAATTACTGGTAGGTGCTCTCCCAGGTCCCAAATGCTGGCATTTCCCACCATTCCTCTAATTCCTTGAAAAAGACCATTCCAACTCTCATCAGCCCTGGCCGGCATAAACTAGAGAGCCATAGGTTTCCCATCCATGATTTAAACTAAGGTATCATGCTATTATCTACCATATAGGAGAGAGAAATTGAGAGAGGTGCTATCACCTGCCATATGGAAAATGGCTATTACTTATTTTTATAATAGCCTGAATCGCTGGCTAAAGAATAGAAGTTGTCAGCTGGGCTCATTCAGTGCATCCTATGCATCTATGCTCAGGCAGTTATATCTCCCCTAGGTACATGGACCCCTGACCATTAGGTCCAGTCGTGGCCAACTCTGGGATTGCAGCGCTCATCTCACTTTAATGGCCGAGGGAGCCGGCGTACAGCTTCCGGGTCATGTGGCCAGCATGACTAAGCCGCTTCTGGCGAACCAGAGCAGCACACGGAAACGCCGTTTACCTTCCTGCCGGAGCTATTTATCTACTTGCACTTTGACGTGCTTTCGAACTGCTAGGTTGAAAGGAGCAGGGACCGAGCAATGGGAGCTCACCCCGTCGCGGGGATTCGAACCGCCGACCTTCTGATCGGCAAGTCCTAGGCTCTGTGGTTTAACCCACAGTGCCACCTGCATCCCTATATATCTCCCCCACCTGTCCACATGTAAGGAATTGTGAGCTGCGGGAAGGTATGACACGGGTACAGCACAGTCACAGACTGAGTTTAAGATTAAACCCATGAGCACAGCTCACGTTGACCCCAAGGGCCATACTTAACAGAAACTCAATGGGGAAGTGGTTGTCCCATTACGGCTCGGTTGAGCACATAAGGAGAGCTGGGTGGAAATAGCTTCTGGAAGTGATCTCAAGTTACTGGTCAGTGCAGTTATTATGCAGGCAGGGGCATCAGCCAGTCCTGTGTCAGGAACCAAGTGGAAAACACTGGTGGACAGAGACAGGCACTTCAGCACCTGGACAGAGACAGGGAGTAGGTTACTTGTTCATAAGAATGCAAGAAGACTACTCTTGTGCTTGAATCCTACTTGCATGCTTTCCCCAGGCATCCGGTTGGTCACTAAGAGAACAAGGTGCTGGACTAGATGGGCCATTGGCCTGATCCAGCAGGCTTTTTGTGTTTTTATAAACATGTATCACAATACTCCAGCACTGCAGGAGGTCAGACTCGATAATCCAACTCTACAATTCTAAGTCCCTAATCAAAATGCAACACCGTTACATCACATCAAAGCATTTCATTGCGTGACAAAAACACATAATACAGCCATCAGAATAATTCATCTACATGTACACTACATAAAACTGTACATTCATGCTACACAAAATTAATCTAGTTCAGTTGGTAGAACATGAGATTCTTATGGGTCATGGGTTTGAGCCCCACATTGGGCAAAATATTCCTGCATTGCATGGGGTTGGGCTTGATGACTGCCGTGGTCCACCCCAACTCTACAAATTCTATGATTCCATGATACACAACCTCCATATACACCTCCCAAAACAATCTCCTTGCACCCACCACATCACTCCATTCACTCAATTCTTGCTTCAGTTAAACACTCCAATAATGAATAACAATAACAAGGAACCCAAAAGAAAAGATAGACAAGGACTGGAAGGTGTTTAAAGGATATTTGCAAAATCATATTGAAAAATCAGAACTCCTATTAGAATAAATAAGTCCCGTTATAAATACTGAAATACTAAATAAGATGGATAACAATGTGTAACAGAAAAAGAAGCAGAAAGTTGGTTTAAAAGTGTGTGAAAGAAAGTAATAGAAGTGGAAAGAAATTGCAATTGAGTAGATTGGAAGTCTAACACAAGGATGGGGTGAGGGGTGAAGGATGGTGGTGGGAAAAGGAAATATGTGTGGGATTGAGGGTGGGTATGTATGAATATTTTTAAGGACTGTATGAAATGTATGTTTGTATATTCGCAATATGTCTGTATTAATGTTGAATTATTTTAATAAATTAAAATTTATTAAAAAAACAAAAACTAACCAATAATTTGGTGCAGTAAAATTGTGCCACTGGCCCTCCTGATCTGCCTGGCCCTTCTCCTGATCTATCAGAGTCATGACTGAGGTAGACAGCACAACAGAGATGTGTTATGAGTTTCTTTTTGTACTTGTATTGATTTGTCTTCTGTGGATCCCCTGTAACTTAAGAGAATATTCTGGGCCCAGTATTTACCGGGTGCAATGAGGGCTATTGAGTCTAACCAGCACACCATACAAACTGTTTGTATATGTCTCTACAGGGGAAGATCAGTGACAGCAGACAAGCAAATCTGGAAGAAATGATCTTGGTTAAACAGTATGTGGGCAAAGGGGATGTCACTGAATGCAAGTTGCATTCCTTCCTTGCCATAGGTCTAGGAGTGCTTCCTACATCCAACAGTGTCCTCATATGGTGAGATTCCTTACCCACACCACCACCAGAAGCCAATGACATGTAAGGTGCGCACTGAAACTCACCATCTCACAGAGGGTGGCAGCCAAATAAATTAATTGCACTAGCAGTATAACTTCGGCTTGCAAAACAGAAGTTTCCCTCCTCTCCTCCCCCTGGGCAAATCTGCCCCAGGTAGTTGTGGGGACTCCCCAAACAAATGTAGGGAGTATGGAGGGGAAGGGGGAGGAAGAACGTCCCATCGTGTAAGCAGAAGTTGTCCTGCTCTTCAAGGAGTTACTTAGTGATACTTTGGATGCAATCCAATGTTTTGTCATGTTTTTAAGTGCTCCTAGGGGGAAGTAGAGGAACAATATTTCTAGAGTTCAATAAAGGTCTGTATAGCTGAGTGGCTAAGCAAATGTCATACCTACACAAGACTGCAGAATCAGGCCTTTGCAAACTCCAGGTCATGCAAAACTTGTCTGAAACTGTGGCAAGCTGCTGCCAGTCAGTGTGGACAACATGGAGCTGGATAGACAAATGGTGTAACTTTGTATAAGGCAGCTTCTCATGTTCCTTTCAGGGAGTATATTCACTATTACAGCCATGCCCAGCTTTGGTACTAGTGAAGGAATCAAGTCTGAAAACTAATGGTATAGAAGAAAGATAATTACTTTATTTAATAAAAGCCTCAGCGACATGCTTTTTAAATTAAAAAAGAAACAAATATTAGAAGTTTTAATAAAAGAATACAATGCACAGTTGAATAAAAGATCTGTTACGGGTAGACAATTTTTGCCTACTAAAGTAGCTGGAAATTTTACTGCTAGCAAAAACTGGATGATGGCTTTTATTGGCATGAGATGTAGGACAAAGAAAAACTAACGAAGTTATAGGTCCCAGCGCTCTAGGAAAAGTACATGTGCCATGTAAAAACTCCATGGATGCAGAGAGAGAAAGCAAAAGCCAAGTCTGACCAGATGGTAAAACTGGATGTTACTGAATGACGTCATAGAACAGACTGATCTGTATAATGAAACCAAGCAAGCCAGAAGTTTTTTTAGAGTCTAGGAAGACATGAATGGAAGTGGTGCATGAAAGAAAAGCACTCTCCTTTGAGAATGCTTTTGAGGAGATCATGTCTAGACTCCAAATGTTAAGAGGCTTTTCCATTTTGAATTCAGACCGAAGACTGTAGCAAGCCAAGCTCTGGGGTAAATATGCTGAATTCTGTGCTTCCTTCCAACAACCACTTTCGTGAAGCAATTTAGGAGCGTATCTGAAAGGGGCACCTGGAGACTGTCGGTTGAGTCTATCGGTGTCTACCCATGCAAGGAGTCCAGCCCAACAGGGATGGATCCCTGAAGAACCTATAATGCCTGAGAGAGATGTTCTCTAGCCAGAAAGGCAGGCAACATACAAGTCTAGGGCTTGAACCTAGAACCTCATGGCTGAAAGTCAGACTTTGACTTGGACTCTGTGTGCCCAGACTCCTCTTCACAGAAGGGGATACAGGTGAGGCATGGAACATTACGCCTTGTGATTGGTAGGCTGTTCGAAGCATCAGGAATGGCTAGGCCAGGCATGTCCAACAGGTCGATCGTGATGGGTAGATCACTGCCTGTTTTTTTTTTATACTGGATTGCTTGGAAGTTGGACATGCCTGGGATAGGCTATTAGTTCTTGCCTGGTCGAGAGAAGTGTCTTAGTCCTGGCGCCAGATATCACAGTCCTTTGATCTGAAGGACTCAGTCTAGCTGACCAGGGCCTTTGCCTGCTCCCAGCAGGTAAATCTTGCTAGTCCAAAGCACACAGCCAAAGAAAAAGCAGTGGAAAGTCAGGCAAGAGTTTGATACCAAGGAAAACAAAGCAGGCCCTTACAGAAGAGCAACAGCAACTGCTGCCAAGCTTGCCATTAGCCTTTTTCTGCTTCTTTAAACAGGACTGCTGGGAGTTCACTGGACCCAAACCCGATCCTCCGCAGTTGTCAAGACAATACGTGCCAAAGTGCAAGGCAGGGGGTGAATCTCGATGGCCACAGGAGATGTCAACCAAGTTGCACGACTGTGTGCTAAGACTTTTGTATAGTAACTGCTTTTAGCTTGTGCTAAACTCCGCTCAACCCACATTCCCAGTTTGTTCCACTTTGGCTGTGTGAATGGATCAGCTTGCAAGTCAGCAATATATCTAATAACAATAGGCTTATAGTGCAATAGCAATGGTGCTTTTGTCGAATCAGCAACCCAGCACTTTCCATCCCAAGGTTCTTTCTATCAGGTTGCCCTTCTCAAAACATACCATCAGTATCTTCTTCTTCTTCTTTTTAATATTGTGGTTTAGTTAGAAGCCTCTTTATTTTTTAAGACTTATTTTACTGTAGCATTATCACAGCTTAATTTTCATGCAGTTTAATCACACTGGGTTATAAACTAAAATATCTCGGTACTTATGGTAGCATCTAGTGGAACCTACCCATTTGCTCCTTTTAGTACCCCTGACTCATCATCTTACTCTATATTCATTCATCAGTGTTTTAACAACCGTTCTAAAAAATGTGATGTGATAGATAATTTGTCTAAACATGCTTGGCTTTATATTCTCTCTCTCTCTCTCTCTCTCTCTCTCTCTCTCTGTGTGTGTGTGTGTGTATGTATGCACAAAGCCATTGGGGCAGCATGCTTACTAGGAAGTCAATCCCACTAAACTCAGTGGGGACCTACTTCAGAGTAGGAATCAACTGCAATTCTTTTCATTCTGTAGCAGTTTCCAGCTTTGTAGTTCTTCCATTTATCCTGAAAACAACCCTAGGAGGTCGATTGTGCTTAGAGCCTGAGCTGTCCAAGACCACCCCCAGCTGAGAAGGGCTTTCTGGCTGAGCGAGGCCTGGAAAAAGAAAAACTCCTACATCTAAAAAAAGTGAACACACAATCCACCACACCGCAGGGTCACGGACTTCATCACACAATCCATTTTTTCCCTAAATAGATCTTCAGAGAGAGAGAAAATGCATTCAAAACACCATCATTTGAAATGCTGCCACAGTCTCACCTCCTTCCATCAGACAAAGGGGAAAGGGATCATTTATTCCAGTCCCCCCCCCCCCCCCCACTTTCAGGCTGAGCACTGGGAACAGTTCAAATCTAGGAGTTCCTTCACTGCCTTCTCTCCCGATTCCCAGAAATTATCTTCCTCTCTTTCTTTGGAAGGGGAATAGCTCAATAGCACAGCATGAGCTTTGCATGCAGAAGGTCCTAGGTTCAAAATCCGGCATCTCCAGATAGCTTTCCAGGTCTGAAATCCTAGAGAGTCACTAGAGTAAACTTTGGCCTCCTGTTGTTGAGGGTCTGCGGCTCCCACCACCCCTTGACCACTGAGGATCTCCCCTGAGCCATTTGAAGCTAGATCCCTAGATTATGATATTGGTTACACCTTGCTCAAACAGTTACCTGGGTTGCACATGCCATAGGGAGAACTGGGGGAAGAACTAAACAAAACATTTGCAAGTGGATTCTATTTCTGCATTGATGATTCTTTGAAAAGCCTACGTAAATATAGAGACAAAGGAATTCAAAAGCTACCTGGAGAGTTCTGGCAAATGAAAGAATAAAACTTGAAGATTGGAATGCTGAATTTTAAACCTGGATGAGAGAAAATCACTTTAGTCTGATAACCGGATTACGTAGAACAAAAAAAGGAGAGGAAAATTAAGAACTGAAGAGCATAAAATTAAGGTGGAATGCAATTTGAACAGTAAGTACATGATGCAGGCTTTTATATTCATCTCCCCCTCCCAGTGTCCAACTAATTAAAATTACAGTCAAAATGAAAGAGACCAAACTTGTAAATATCTTTTTGCTAATGATGTTGTCTTTTTAATCATCTTCGCATTCAAAGACTTTTCTTTATTCATTTAGAGCTTTACAAATCAAAAATTGTTTTGCTCCATTTCTTAAAATGTTTTCTCTTAAGCTATGAATTTGGAATTTTTCATTTGATTTTCTGGGTTTTTACAACTACCCTTGTGAAATCATGTATTGTATCAATTCACGGGATCTTATTTTTGCTGCAGAATATATTTTGTACATGATAATGGGATTTAATTCAAGCAACCTTATTCATTTAGGAAGGTCAATCCATCTGCTCATATTATTCATATTTAAGATGCACTTTACATAAAAATACAACAATCACAACCCAGTATTTTATCTGAACTACATTTATCATACATATACGCGCAATGTGTTGAAAAAACAATGCTGATATGCTACTGGAATACTGTAACATTATTAAGAATTATATCACACATGTGAAGTAATGAATAGACAGAAACTCATTTCACTTACAATGCTCCTTGTCCAAAGTCTTCTCTAGGTATAGATTGGAACGGGGAAACCTTCTTTTAGCCCAAGACTCATATCCCTGGGCTTCTACTGAAGAAAGGGTGGGACAGAAGTGCAATAAATAAAATTATTTTTGTCACCCACACATTCCAGTTTCTGGTTTCTTAAACTGGACACAGTATGCAAGACACAGTATGCAAGAATGAGGTCTTACCAAAGCAGAATAGAGTGTTACCTTTACTTTTCATGATCTGGACGTTAAACAGTGATACCTTTGTTGTTGAACTTACTCCATTCTGGGAGTCCGCTCAAATCCTGGAACGGTTCGGAAACAAAGGCGGGGCTTCTGATTGGCTACAGAAGCTTCCTGCACTCAATCGGAAGCCACGGAAGCCATGTCGGCCGTTTGGCTTCCCAAAAAACGTTCGCAAACCAGGACACTCACTTCTGTGTTTGCAGTTTTCGGGAGCTGATTTGTTCCGACAAATAAGCCGTTCAACAGCCAAGGTACCACTGTACTTCTGTTGATGCAACCTAGAACTGCATTAGCCTTAATAGGTGAACTAATACCAGTGTACTGGAAGAAGCAAAGGTCACCGGTGTCAAAGCAATGATTCATCAGCATCAACTTTGTTGGACTGGTCATGTTGTGCAGATGCCTGATTATCATCTTCCAAAGCAGCTACTCTTTTCCGAACTTAAAAATGGAAAGCATAATGCTGGTGGTCAACAAAAGAGGTTTAAAGACTGTCTCAAGGCAATTTTTTTAAAAATGTAGTATAAACACCAACAATTGGGAAATACTTGCCTGCGAGCTCTCCAATTGGAGAACAGCCTTTACCAAAGGTTTCATGCACTTTGAAGACACTCAAACTGAGGACGCAAGGGAGAAACGTGCTAAAAGGAAGACACGCTTGGCAAATCCACACCGTGATCAACTCCCACCTGGAAACCAATGTCCCCACTGTGGAAGGACATGTGGATCCAGAATTGGCCTCCACAGGCACTTATGGACTCATTGTTCAAACCTTGTTTATGGAAGACAATCTTACTCGGCTACAAGTGATCACCAAAGAAGAATAGCAACCACATCACCCTGCTGACACGTCTGGCTTCTGACCTACTAATACGCCCAGATCCTGTTCACATGGGCTGCTATCAAGCCAAGTGTCACACATTATTTTATTTGACAATTCTTCCAGTACAAATGTACTTCCCTCTTCTCTCCCTGCAGCCTCCTCCACCTGCTCCAGAGGACTGGGGGGTAACCACCAAAAGAGATTTGGAAGGTGCAGGCGACCTGCAGGGAATGGAGAAAGAAAATCACATTGTGCAGGCAGAAGCCTTTGTGCTAATGAGACTTCGTTGGGATACAATGCTATATGCCAAACTTGGCATTTATCTGTGTTGAAATTAATTTCGTTTGGCCCAGTTCTACATCCTATCTTGAATCTATTTTTAAAACACAAGAACGGAGAGATTTACAGGCAGTAGTGGAAGCTTTTTTCTTTTTTAAAAAGATGCAGTTATGATGGTTTAGAAAGATCATACTGAGGATGAATTTTTAAGAAGGGTGGGAACAGGCAAACAGGAATTATGAGCCAAAGCTCTATTTCAGAGATTCAGACCACCCCCGCCAATCATTTCTGAAGGGGAAAACCTTCAGCGGACAGTCTGGAAAACCTCCAAGTATTTTCAAGGTTTGAAAGGGATTAACAGCATCCTTTTGGGCCTTCCAAATCAGTACAGCATATGGATTGGTGTGGTCTTCCAGTGTTGTCAATGTCTGTAATGGGAATATTTTTTGTAATTCAAGATGTAAATGAGGCATTAGAGAACCTATGTACTTTATGTGTAGAAGATAACTGATTTATATGGTTGCTTTTGGACACCTGCCAGGAAGAAATAATTCTAGGGAACCAAGATCGTGTTTTGCATATGTGCGCAGATGAAAAACTCAAGGCCACTTGATGTTATTTTTAGAGAAAGAGGTCTGAACATTGGAATAGCTAGCAGCATACAGACCTGTGCGTCCTCCATGATCCTTTGCTAGCACAGAAATTCTTACAGGAGACAGAATTCAGCATCCCTATGAATCCTAAAATATTTTTTAAAATGGAAAAAGCAAGCTTCTAGTCCCTATAGCTATGACAATTGGCTTAAAGATGTGTAGGCAACACCTGATGGAATCTCAGAAAGTGGGGAGTAGTGGAGGTGGGTTAAGAGACCTTTGTGTCGGAGTTCAACACGTTGATTAAAAAAAACCCCAACTAAATACCTGATCATTTTTTTGCCCTTTAATCTATTCTCTGAAGTGGGCTGTCTCACTCAGCCTAACTGGTAAGGAAATTGTCTTATATAGAGTCCGGCCAATTAGTCAATCTAGTTAAGCAAAGAAACATAATTCACCCAATCTAATTACGGCAGGGTTGCCATATTTCAAACAGTAAAAATCCGGACAGAAAAGTTGGTGAGCTTTTTTATGTTTTTGCAAAGTTGGAAAAGTTTTTAAGGAAAATAGCCAAAAACGACACGGGTTGCCATACGTCCGAATTTTCCCGGACATTTTTAGCGATTTTTGGCCGGACACTGCTTCCAACTGCAGTATTCTGTATATGTCTGGGAAATTCCAGACGTATGGCAACCCTAGATTACAGCTCTTCTACAGCCTTGGGGCCCCATCTGCAAAATCCCTGCTATTTTAGGGCGATATGTTTATATAAGGTGAACAGGCAATAACAGAGACTCTGTTTACCCAGGAGTAAGCCCCACTGGATTTAGAAGGGCTTATTTCTGAGTAGACATTTATGGCATTTACCCATTAGCTGAAAAGACTCTCAGAGCAACTCCCTCAAGCTCACAATCTGAAAAGACACCACCACACATGGAGAAAAAAGAATGAGAGGGAGAACCAAGTTCTTTAAATTACATTTCTAAAAACGCAAGTTAAATAGGTTTTGCCCTAGAGCAGCCTGTCCCCAGAAGCATTATTCCCCCTCCCCAGGCCATAACTAGGAGCAATCAGAAGTTTCCAATCCTTAATAAATGTCAGTAATAAATTTTCTCTAATTAAACACATTAACTTCACCATCCCAGCTAAGTCCAATAATTTTATCAGACATTCCTCCACAGTAGGTGGGGTTGGATATTTCCATCTTTGTGCATCTCACATTCAAGCCTGTGCATGCCTACTCTGAAGCCCCATTGAGTTCAATGGGACCTACTCCAGGTAAATTGTGTATATAAGTTGCCCTTAATTCAAAGAGGCCTGCAGTTTTTACTGCAGTTATCTTGATATTTTTCATAGGCGTGTGCATATATATATATATATATATATATATAGTATTAACTTTCCCAGTTTGTTTTGAAGTGTTTGTTTTTTTGTGTATGTTTTTAATTGCTCTCATTTTTCTCTGTAAAGCAGCCTTGAGTCCCTGTCAGGGGAAAAGGTGGGGTATAATAATAATAGTAATAGTAATAAAAGTAATTTCTTATTAGACGTGTGCAAGGCTGCACCAAAATACAGCGCGAGCCAATATTTAACTGTATTTAACTACAGCCCCGCCAAAAGGCAGGCGGGAACTAACTTGTCACAAGTCGTGACTGACTCAAAATAAAGCGTGGCTTTCCTCCAGCCCCGCCCCTCCACTCTCCTCCGCGCGCGCGTTCTACCCAATCACAGTTAGCGGCGGGAGGCACGGGGCGGATTCAAAACTAAACGGATTTCAACCGTCCCTCATAGAACACAGAACGGCGCGCGCGATGGGCGTGGCCATCTCTGACCTCGCCCCCGACTTCCTCCCGCCCCTTTCTTGGCCTTCCTTTCGAGTTGAGAGGGAACGGGTGTAGGGCGCGCGACACTGTCAGTTGCTTCTCTCCGGGGCACGCGCATGCGCCGCGCCGAACCCTCCCTCCGCAAGGGAGGGGGGGAGAGAGATTGCGCCTGCGCGTTGCGGTCGAATGGTTCGGCGGCGGTTAAAAGAAACGTTTGCGCGTGAGAAGAGGGAAAACCGAGCGGGCGGGAAACAGTAGTAATAATAATAGTAGTAATAATAATGGCTGCCGGTGTTGGGTCGCTGCTGAGAGAGTGCCCGCTCCTCCTGCCCCAGAACCGGGAGAAGAGCGTCTATGAGGGCTTCGTCACCGCCCAGGTACTGAGACGCTGCACGCCCCCCCCCCCAACACACGGGAAATGTTTAACGTGCAGCTTTACCTGAGAGTAAGGTCCCATTTGACCTGAGGAGACAAGTGGCAGGGGTAGTGTGAACGACCTCGGGGCGGGGGGAAAGAGAGAGGGGGCTTACTCGCTACTTATCTCCTCACAACCATCCATAGCTGCCAACTTTTCCCTTTTCTTGCGTGGAATCCTATTCGGAATAAGGGAATTTCCCTTAAAAAAAAGGGAACGTTGACAGCTATGCAACAACCCCGCGAGGTTGGCCGGGAGGTTCGTGGCTGAGGGAGGATTCGAACCCGCGTCTCTCGCGGCATAGGGCGGAAGAGCAGGCTTCGTAACAGGCTGAAAAGGTGTGGGGAAGCATTTCTCTGCCTCAGAGCCGCTGGTTTCTTCAGCTTGGTGGTCGCGGATCCAAGGCAGGTCGCCATGGATTCCTGCCTTAGAAGAATCACAGAATTGGAAGGGGTATCCGAGGGCCATCTAGTCCTACCCCTTGCAGTGCAGGGTGGTGGCTCGCCTAGGGTTGGGCTAGATGACCCCTGCGCCCCATTTCCAGATTTACAGTTCTGATTCTGTGCAAAAGGAGCACCCCCCAGCTTGTATGCCCAGGTACAAAGCGGGGCTCAAAAAGTTGAAGGTACCTGGAATGTTCTGTGTTGTTATTATGGTTTAATGACATAGTTGCTTATTAAATTTATCAGTCTTTTTTTGGGGGGAGGGGTTGCCGCAGCAGCTCAAAGCGACTTAAAATATCTTAAGGGAATGCATGCAAGACCAGCTCCCCCCCACCCCCGCCAAAAGCATCTGAATGCAAATCAGAAATAATCAAATAGCCTGATCTGGTACAGTGGTACCTCGGGTTACAGACACTTCAGGTTACAGACTCTGCTAACCTGGAAGTAGTACCTCAGGTTAAGAACTTTGCTTCAGGATGAGAACAGAAATTGTGCTCCAGTGGCGCGGTGGCAGCAGGAGGCCCCATTAGCTAAAGTGGTACCTCAGGTTGAGGACAGTTTCAGGTTAAGAACGGACCTCCAGAACGAATTAAGTTCTTAACCCGAGGTACCACTGTATATGATGGTAGTGTGGCAGCACCTTTGGAACTCCCTGCCTGTTGACATTACGCAGGTACTACACTGCCTTCAGAAACCTTTTCTGTTTGGGCAGGACTGTACAGACACATTATTTGGTTACATATCTATCTTTTTAAATTTGTTTTAGATGCTGTATTGTTTTTTGTTGTTTTACCAGTTTTAGAATGTTTTAAATACGTTTTTATTTCATTTTAAAATGCATTTTTATAACAGATGTTTTTGCCACCCTAGGTTCCTTTGGGAGGAAGGTTGGGATATAACTTAAATAAATACATATATTAGTACTACTACTATGCCTTATTAGTTGCATCTCACAATCCAGTTTAACAAACAAATATTAGTAACTTTCACAGTGTGGTAATAATAATGATGGGCTGGATGGACAAGTAGGCTTCCTATAACTAGAGCAGGAAAGAAGAGAGCTCTTGTTTAATTTCCAATTTATTTATTTGTTATTGTTGTAGTTATTTATGCTCCACCTTTTGGGAATGCAGATCCATTCCAGGCAGTTTACAAATACATTAAGCTACATTTTAAATAACCACAGTTAATAATGCTGTTGGTGTTAAAATGTAGTCTTGCCTGCCAAAAGGGTGGTTACAGTTAAAAAGAACACACACACAGCGCATGGAGAGAAATGGATACAAGTCTGAGGATGCCAGAACAAAGAAGTGAGCTGCAAAATAAGTTCTTTAACCACTTGCTGCCAGGCTGACCTTCCTGACCTTCCTGCTGCAACTGACCCAGTGGACCTTGACCCCCTGGCTGATGTTGGAGGCTAGAGTATGCTTCCTTTCTGTTCTGTAGTATCAGGGCAACTGGAGCAGAGCCTTCTTCTGTAAGAAAGATGCAACAGAAAGAGGTGGCAGAATGGACTATATCTCTTCAAACTGCATTAAAATTGGGGTGAGCTTTGCAACTGAATTCAGTAGGCACAGGATTCCACCCTTAAAATCATTAATGCACTGACAGCTGTATTATCTGAAACAGAACTTTCTTGAGAAATTATGTTTAAGCAGAGGAGTAGCTGGCTGCACACAAAGTGCTGTCGAATGTACAAAGAGAAGATAGGGAAAAAAGAAAGCAACACCCCTTCACCCCCAGTTAAAGCAGAGTTATCAAAGCTATTTTATGTCTAGAATTTACAACATTTGCGTATGGCACCATATTTTTCTGTAGGAGATTTTCTTTTTAAAGGTGTTTTTTAAAGTACCTTTCAGTACTTTAATGAAACACTGAATCATAGTTATTTGACCTTTACAAAAGGTCAGAATTACATCTGCTTTTTATTTTATAAAAAAGGCCATTTAAATGTAATAGAAGTGAGAGTTACAATATACTATGAAGGTAAAGGTTATGGGGTACATTAATTGTGTTTCTGTATTCTTCATTATGACAGTTTCTTGAAATGTCCGTTCCTTTGTACAAATGCTGAAAATAATTAATAACTCTGATAACTGCTTCTAAACTTAGTTAAAATACTTCCCTGATCAGAGATTTATGAACTGTGTTGGGGAGACTTGACACCTTCATTTGTTTCCCAAATTTGGCCAATAGCATCCCTTATTATGAAACTTAATTGAAAGAGTACAGTTACACCTTTAAGATGAACTGAAATTATTTTACTGAAACAGCATGAGCTTTTGTAGGCAATTACCTACTTCATCAGATGCTAGAGTGGAACTGATTAGAAATTAGTCCTTATTAGAAAGAAGATCCTTTCTGCCCATGACATTTCACACTGCTTTAGCCAAGACAAAATGTGTGCTCTGGGGAGTCCTGGTAACTTGCTAAAAAGTGAGTGCAAACTATAGGCCCTGACCAATGCAAGTCATTAAATTATTAACCAACTTTAGTTGATTTTCCAGTTAGAATGTTAGACCACATGGAACCACACAAGGTTCAAGAAATGACAGAATTTTGTATAGCTATTTCTATGTATGGACACTATTCTGCCCTCTTGAGAGTGAAGAGAGGGAGGCAAATACATCATCAGGGCCTCTGCCAGTCCCTCTGCCACAGGGCGAAGGAATATCACCTGCACTGTGAAAACGAAGAAGAGTGCTGGGAGAGGGAGTTTGTGGTGTTTTTTACCATCTGCTGACCACTGGATGGGAGAATTGTAAGACTTCCTGACTGCCTTGTCAAAAACCCAGTGTATCAAATAAATAAATAATATTTGCAACCTACAAATGCTCTATTATAGGTCATTCAGTGGCCTACAGCTCTAGCACATCATAGGAAAATTAGAACAAGATCCTGCTTTAGCTTCCGTGCAAATTAATGTGTTTTCCCATTTGTGGAATAGTCTACATGGAATTCTATATAGTAAGAGTGAACTCATTCTCCATGAATGGATCCAAATGTGGTCAAAATGGTACTTCCTATGTATAAGAGGAAGGTGTCAGAAGACTTGAGGGAACCCCATGGTATGCAGACCTACAGAAAAGCTTCAGGGGGCAGGAAGAGAACCCCAAAACAGTCCAGTAAAGGCTAAGCAAATGCAGAATGGTGCTGAAATATAGCATCCCAGAAGAGGGCATGGCTGGCTGGCTGCATCCTTGAACAGTGAGGATTCTACATGTATTACTTGAGTGCCCAGCATGGTTAACATCCTAGGCATGCGCCTTAACCCTTTGCATCTTTCAGCTTCACTCCCCAGGTGGTTGTGAAAAGCGGGAGGGTTTCATAAGCACGTCAGAAGAAGCAAAACTTGGTGTATGCTAGCTGCCCTTGCTAATAGAAAAACTTGCCTTCAGTGACTGGAAGGTGTAAGAATGCTAAGTAACAACATAAGGGAAGACCTTCCAGAAAGCTAACAGTAACTGCAAGCATGCATATTGGTCAGCTCTAATTGAATTCAATTTAACAACTGAAGAAGAAGCACAGTAGACTAGGAAAAAACTAGAGCATGGGACTTTTTTCCTCCAGTTTTTCAAGTGAAAAACTGTGTAAATTGGGGAAAACACTGAAAAAATTATGACCCCCTCCCATTTGCAATGAGTAAAATGCCTTTTAAGATTTTAGCCAGAATGTATAATATGAAGGTTTTTATGTAAGTCAATTTAACATTAGAGAATAATAATTTCCATATATACTATAGATATATATGTCATTCAAACCAATTACTATTTCTGCACCTAAAGGGTGCTTCCATTTTCATGAGAGAGGCAAAAATGTCCTTGATTGCTTCTGAAGTGCTGTTTGTCTTTGGGCAACTTGGATCTAATTTAAGATATGCTGGAAGCAAGTGTCCTATGTCTGTCCTTTTGACCTGACTTCTTTCTTGGAAATGACCTTTTTACCTCTCCTCAAATCCATTGTGACAGGGCACCCTGCTACATACAAGCAGCTCGTTGTCCTGCCTTGCTGGAGGATAAAATGGTCAGGAGGAACTGCAAACCTATATATGTTTTTATGGGAGTAAGTTCCATTAAAGAGCATGGGTCTTCTGAGTAAGCATATGTAGGATTGCTCTGTAAAAGTGCAATCCTAGTACTATGTCTGCTACTTAAGTATGAAGTAAGACAAACCTCAAGACATCCAAGTTTTCTGTAAATGTTAGTGTTTATCATTCAAATTGCGGAAGAGCTATATACTCCTAGCCCAGAACTTCCAGGCATCAGCAGCTTAATCAATTAAATACTTCTCTTGTGCAAGCATTCATTTTATAAAGGTATAGGATTTGCACCCTAAATTGAAAGTTGAAAATTATGCAACTTGCATATATTTCAGTTTCCACCAACATTTCCATAGTCCCCCATTTTCATTTGTTTCCCTCTATGACTTCAACATTTCCAGAATTTTTACATTTCTGGCAGTATAGTTTCTCATTCTGCTTGGCAAATTAAGAAATCTGGCTCCTGATCCACAGTGTGGACATCACTATGTTGTATTGTACATGCTTGAGTTCTCATCCTGTAAGAATTCTGAATAATGCAAGCCACTTAAAAAGGGAAAGGGGGAAAGACACTCCTATTGATTTTATGAGAAGTGAAGCAGACTTGCCTGAATCACTTCAATATTATAGAGAGATAAAAGAATGTGGGCTATATTAAGATATGGCCTTTCCACACAATGAGAGGCAAAATGTTTCCCAACCACATCTCATCCGTTGTAAGATTTTTCTACAGTATTCAATCTGGCAATGGATTGATGTCCCTTCAATGTGATGTGGGGCTCGGGAGGGAGAGTGAATAACTGCTACTATTTCTGTCTTCTGCCTTCACTTTAAAAAGAGTGTTATCTTGTGCAACATCCAAAGAATTTAAGATTTTTTAACCCCAAACTTTTAAAACCATGGGGCAGTTAGGGTTAGGAAGTAAATAAAAGTAGATCACACAGTGGTGCAAAAATCTGAAGTGTCTGTAATACTTGCACACCTGCATTTTCCACATCAACCACTTATTTATAGACCGCTTATATGACAAATTTCTAAGTAGTTTTGAACTATAAAAAGTTTAAGAAAACCACTTAAAACCACAGTTAAAACTGTAAAATCAGAAGTTCAATTCAGTGGACTGCTTATCTAAGCTGATGGGGCCTCCTGTTTCAACAGGGAAGGCATTCTATTGCTGCCAACAGTGTTATGGCATGCCCTCCCTGTTGAAATATGAAAAAGCCTCCTTCTGTTACCTCATGCTGATAATTGTCAGGCCACAGCAAAATGAACCAAGTTCCATTAGATGATTGTAGTGCCCTTACCAGTGAAGAGGAAGGCAGTTTTTCAGGTAATCTGGTCCACGGTTATTTAGGGCTTTATATGGAAGTATCGCAAGCTTAAAAGTGGCTTGATGGTTATAGGCAACCAGAGCAGATTCCTCAGCCCTGGTGTGACATGTGCCTGATAAAGAGCACCACTTAGCACCCAGGCTGCAGTATTCTGCATAAGCAGTAGCCTCTAGACCAACTGCCAAGGAAGCCTCACACAGAGCACATTACAGTAGGCCAAACGTGAGGTTGCCAGTGCTTGTGTCACAGTGATCAAGTTATCCCTGTCTAGGAAAAGGTGCAGCTGATGTAGCAGCTGAAACTGATGATAAGTGCTTTTTGCCACAGACCACTTGGCCAAAAATAGTTCTAAGAGCATCCTTGAGCTGCATATCTGGGTTTTTTTTCAGTGGGAGTGTCAGCCCATCTAGGCTCTCCAATTCTCCAATCTGGAAACCACTTAACCACAGTGCTTCTGTCTTAGCAGGATTCAGCTTCAGTCTGTTGACCCTCATCCACTTCACCACTGCATCCAGGCCCTAATTCAGCTCATTGCTTCCAGTTCTGAACCAATAGCAATGGGAAGTAATGCATGTTCCCAGATAAAAAATACTGCACTCTGAGTGCTTGGAAAATAAAACATCTCTACAACAAGAGCATGGTTTTGAGAGAAGATGGGTGATATAGTACAGATAATAAATAGATCAACAAACGTAACTTAATTGTGTGGAAAGGCACTGAGAACGTCATTATATTGTGTTGAAACCATTCTACAAATGGAAGGGCTTCTGTACTGTACATGGAAATACCGTATTTTTCACCCTATAGGACGCACCGTCCCATAAGGTGCACCTAGTTTTTTGGGGGGGAAATAAAGGGAAAAAAATATTCCCCCCCCCCCAGGCACGGGGCTGGGGAAGCACGAGCTTCCCCCGACCCCAGCCCCCAGAACAGGCAACTCTCCGCAAGCCGTGGGAGCCCACGGCAGGGCTCCCGCGGCTTGCAGAGAGGTGCGCGAAGTCAGCGCGCCCAGCCTTCGGCATGCAGGCAACTCTCCGCAAGCAGCGGGAGCCCCCAGAACAGGCAACTCTCCGCAAGCCATGGGAGCCCACGGCAGGGCTCCCGCGGCTTGCGGAGAGGTGCGCGAAGTCTGGGCGCACTGAGCTCAGCGCGCCCAGCCTTCGGCATGCAGGCAACTCTCCGCAAGCCGTGGGAGCCCGGCGCGGGCTCCCACGGCTTGCGGAGATCTGCGCGAAGCCTGGAGAGCGAGAGGGGTCGGTGCACACAGACCCCTCTCGCTCTCCAGGCTTCAGCGAAGGCCTGCATTCGCCCCATAGGACGCACACACATTTCCCCTTCATTTTTTTTTAAATGATGTTTATTGAGAATTTTAAAGTTACAAAGAAAGAAGAAAGAAAAGACAAGAGAGAGCGAAAAAGAGAGAAAGAGATAGATAAACATAACATTTAAACAATACAGATCAATAAAAATCGAAGTCAAAAAAATTTAACAAAACACACAATACATCTAAATCAAAAAACAAAGATAAGCAAACAGTTAAAAGAAAAACAAATCTAATATTCCCAAATCCTTAACTTTCATTAACTTATTTCAACGACCTCCTCACACCTCCCTTTTTTGTATTCTAGTTGTTAATTATCTCAGCAAATCCTTTCCATCTTTCACAATATTCTGTCATTTAAATTACCTTGATCTATTTTAACCTTATCTTACCTAAAAAACCCTAAAACTTAAAACTTGAAACTTATATATACCAAATTCTTTTAACCATAACATATTCTTTCATAATTCTTTTGGACATTTCTGCTAAAGCCAAATAATTTCATTCCAACATTTTTCTAATACTCATTAATTTTACAATACTTTTCTAAATAAATTTTTAAACTTTCTTCCAATCTTCATCCATCGTCTCTTCTTCCTGGTCTCGGGTTTTGTCAGTCCTTTCTCGTCTATCTAATCCATCAACCTGGTGCTCTTATGTCCGAGGCTCTTAAATCTTTTCCATGTCCCTTCTGCAGGTCTTCTTCTTGTTTATACCTGCCCTTTACTTTATCTTTTGTTGATTTTTTTTTGTTTTCTTCCCTTTCTCATTGGGGGTAGGTCTCGGAGGACTCCAATCCAAAAGTATCTCCATCTCTCCTCAGCAGATCAGTCCATTCCCCACAGTCCCATTCCCCACAGTCAACACTGTAATCCAGAAAGTATTTAAAAGCATGTTTCAAAGTCTTTCCAAAATTAAGAGCCCTCACAACTCCAGACCCCCCCGGTCCACTCCGGATTCGAACTTCAAGAACAGCGGCTTATACTCCTGCAAGGCTTCGGGTCTCTCCATTTGTGTTATTTGAGGTTCAACAACAACCTCCTCCATTTTCTTCTGCCCTTGCGCTTGCCCTATCAAAACAGATTCCTGGGCTGGTTCCTCAATAGTTTCTATATGGGTATTTGCCGTTTGTCCAAAGTTTTTAACTGCAACAGTCATCAAATCCATCTTCTCATGCATCTGCTCCAGCAAGGCACTTGTCTTGCAAAAAACAAGCACCAAGACTTCTTGTAAACACTTTTTTTCCCCCAAGGTTAGAGTCTGGTCTCACGATCCTAATCATACAGCTGTGAGGTCCCCAGATCAGCTCCGGCAACAAATTAACAAGCTCCCTCTAGAGGAGACAATTTCTATTTGTATCCATCTTTTAAAAGCAGGACCAACAAGAAAAAGTTACTTTCACTTTTCAAATACTTTGTTTCTTTTAATTGCAAGAAGCAACATTGGAATCAATATCTCTCTTTTTTTTTTTTACTATCTGTCAAAAGACGTTCCGTTCACAGTCGATGAACTTTCCCCATTAATTTCTGTCTCTGACACCCCGTTCCCAGGTTTGAGACGGTGGAAAGTTTATCTTTCTTTATTCTCTCTCCTGCAGGCTTAAACAGTCAAAAATCCCCTCTTTTCTCCTGCTTCCAAGAGGGGTTTTGGTGGTGATGAATGAAGGAAGTTTAAAACTTTATATACAACTTTCCAGACTTTAGCTTACAAAGTTTTTGCTTCAATCTATTTACAAAAAACGGGAGGCGGACTTCCTGTTTAGAACCTTCCCGTTTTGGTGCCAAATTAAAATATTTCTTAGTACTTGATCCAATTTTCCATTCTACTCACGGGTACTTGTTCAGAGTCCAATTGTCCACAGGAAAAGGTCAGCGCTCTCCAGCAACAGCTGTGTGGCTTCACTCCGTAAAAGTAGCGGTTGATTCAAAACACCGCGCCGCTCACCCCACGTCGCTTCGGACCCCCGAAAAAGGGGTTCCCTGCGAGTAGGGGAGGCGCTCCTGGTGTCAGCCGAATCCCACGTTCCCAGGCTTCCTCCGCCTGGGATTTTTAAGGGGTCTCCGCCTTCGCCGCGGTGGCAAGACCGATTTTCACGGAGCGGGTTCCTCTCTGTCAGAGGAACTCCGCCATTGCTGATGGTGCTGTCCCGGAAGTCTCCATTTCCCCTTCATTTTTGGAGGGGAAAAAGTGCGTCCTATGGGGCGAAAAATACGGTAACTCCAATCCAGCAGAGACTCCCTAAAGGAAGGGGATGCTGCAATTTTAGTGATCCTTGTTCCTCTGCATCACTTTCTACACTTGTTCTGGAAGGTATACAACCTTCTGTTGCAGCTTTTAATATTGTATGCTTATTCTGGTTCTTACTATGTTTCCCTCATGACTTGGTGTTGGTCAAGTTGCTCCTGCTCCCTTGTACTGACCTCTTATCCATCTGTAGCCACATTTTTTTTTGTATTTGGCCATATTTTTTCTATTATTTCATCGCCTAAGGCTTTGAGCTGTAAACTATTAAAAAAAAATAGTAAAAAAAATAGGTCAAAGTCTACTTTTAAAAAATTCTTAGATATGCCTTAGCATTCCAGCTGTGGTAAGTTGATATATTTGTAGATATTCTACCTAATGAGATGCTACTTTTCCAGGGCAGAGACTTTCACATAAGGATATTGTTACCATCGGATCTTCAGTTGAAAAATGCCAGGTAAGGTGCATGATTTTTTAAAATATATTTTTGCTATATTGCAAGATAACCTTTTCATTTTTAATAATATGCCTTCTGTGAGAAGTAGTGATGGCTCTTACAGTTTGAAGAGATTTCCAGAGTATCAGCAATTTTAGTTGTTAAATGATTGTTGCTAATTAACTTTGACACCAGTAAGATTTAGTGGAACCAGTCAAGAAAGAGCATGGAAAAATGTAGAAAAATGAGCAAGTAGTTTCTGATTCTGCAGACCAGGGAACAACCACAGAAGAATGTAAAGTTGAATTTGGTCTGAAAGTAATCATATTGGGGTTATACTTGGACAATCAGCGACTGTTGCAAAGCTGAAATGTCTTAAGTGAACTAGCCAAGGAAGTGGCATTGTGGATATTCAGTAAAGTACTGAGGCTTCAGTTGGCACCATCCCCAACCATTGGGGGACAGAGATGCAGTGGTGCACACACCTCCAGTGACATATGGCTCATAACATATTCAGATGGCAACTATACTGACTTGCATGTCATGCAGATCCCAAATTAGGTGGGTTTGTGGTGACACATGCAAATGAGTGGGATTTTGTATATAGAAATTGTTTCACACCAACTGATCATCATAATCTGGGAGCTGCAGCATGCTTAAATTTAAAGTGGCTGTCATACATTTTGAACTGGTATCCATTAGATCAGAGATGTTACAGCTAGAGACAGGTGGGGGAGTGTGACGATTACAATTTTTCTCTTGAGGACACTCAGGTTTTGCATCATGCTTTGATTGAAAATCATATTCCGTGCATTTCAGGCAGAAACTTGTGCCCAGCACAGCTTGACTGATAATTCTGTGTATGATTTTCCCTTCCCTTTACCTTGAGTATGAGATTTATCTCACTTTCTTGAATTATGTGAGCTATGTTTATCATGGTACGACTTGTTCAATTCTCTTCAGTAGAATAATTTGGATTACGTGGCTTTATCCTGTAAAAAGGTTTACAAATGAGTAATTCTGTTTGGGGCAGGGATCGAACATGTGTGCAAGTATTGTTTCCATAGCTTTAACACCTGCAAATGTGCAGGGGCATACACCCTTCGCCTCCTGCATTACTGTACACTCCTGTATCAGAAAAGCCTTCTTACAAAAAAGTCAGTGATTCTGAAGGTGATTCCAGAGTGTGTGTGTGTATACATTTCTCTGGCTTTTACATGGCTGAATGTAGCCTACTGCGCAAAGGGTAAGAATCTGTTACTCTCCACACTTTAGTTTCTGGATCCACCCATTACTGACATGCCATCCCGGAAGGTTGTCCTTAAGAGAATGTGACCCTTGAGTTGCAAAAGGTTCCTCCCCTGTCCCCTTGTCAACTGTAGATTATGCTAATATCATTTCAGTCTGTCTGAGGCTATCCAGGCTGTAGAAAATGTCAGAAAGCTAATTTGGCTTGCAGAAATGTGTTAAGGTCTGTGCTTATGAAGTTATTGATAAAACACAAGAACCGCCCTCAGTTTCTTGTTTCAGCACCTAAAGCATGCATTTGCATGCTCTGAAACGTGCATTGTTCTTTGAGATGCAAAGGTTGAATGGAATTTGTGCTTCAATTCAATGAATATAATGGGAATAAAAGCTGATAGGAACGGTTGGTTACCCAGGTTATGAGGAAGGTTATGAACCCTTTAAGTGAAGCTGAATGGTCAGTAAACACTGGCTCTGTTTCTCTTTTTTAATTATGCCTTCTTAGATGTTTGCAATAAATGAAGCACTTACGCATGTTTATATTAAAATGCCGGTTTGAGATACAGTACTGAATTCTGTGCAATCAGGCAACTCAAAGCTATTGTATCAGTTAAAGCTATTGTCCGTGAACCACTTTAAGCATGCATACTTATATCTAAATCTGTTTACATCCATTGAGTGTTATAGGCCTAATCTAGTTTAAGTACATATATACCTGTTTAAAAGTTTTATGGTTCATAGTGTATGATATAACTGAATATTACCAGCACAGTATAGAAGTTTGAAACCAAAATAAAGCTGCCATTAGAAGAACTATCAGTTGAGCACATCCAAGAGCTGAACCTTGGATGACATCAACAGAGTGAAAAGGATGAAGGGAGAGAACCATGAATCATGGTGTTTCCGCCAGCAAGTGGGCATTTCCATGACTATTATACCAGTTCCTGGTTTCTGTGATTAATATTTCTATTTTATTTTATTTTATTTTATTAAGCTTGTTGCACTGTGATATTTTAATGTTCAATTTTTTTGTGAACCACCTTGGTATTTATATTTGAGATGAAAAACAGTATAATAGTACTGTGCAAGGTGCACACAAACATCCAGAGCAGAGCTTTTCAAACTTTTAATGTTGGTGTCACACGTTTTAGACATGCATCATTTCGCGATACAGTAATTCAGTTTTACTAGCAAACCAGAGGTTAAACTAACCCCTTTCCAGCCCTGGGGGGAGGAGTGTTCACACAATACATCTACACGCTGCAGCTGCCAAACTAACATGTCACGACACACAGTTTGGAAAGCTCTGCTCCAGAGAGTAGTGAAGAGAAGCAAAGCCACTATCAGCTCCACTGTTAAACCAACTCATTCCTCCATCAGCTGTCATCTGGCAGCAGCCATTCCATCAAACTCTAGCAAAGGGAATGGTGGAAAGCAGGGCTATTCTATTGGCTGAGCAGTTACATTTGACTTGTCCTTTCTATAGGGAAATGGTTGTGTCTGGCCCACTTTTTATACATACAAGATTAAATATTTGTGCTTCTTTAATTTTTATATTTCAATTTTTATATTTATATATGGAACTCTATTTTATTCTATTTATTAAATTTATATACCGCCCTTCATCCGAGGATCACAGCACACTTGTTGAGGCCTTCAGAGGAAAGTTCCCTGACACCCTGAGGTGGAATTCATATGTATAATGTGTGGTTTTGTAATAAATAAATAAATCATGTCCTCCTGTCCCATATGCAAAACTCTCCTCATCCTATACCACCATCGGTTTCATTTGCACAGGCCTCCCAGTCAGTTTCTCCTTGCTGGCAGAGTTTTGGAAGCTTCGTTTGAACTTCTGCAAGAGTAACTGAGAATTCCTCAACATTCCCCTTTTCTACTGTCATTCCCTTAGTAGCTTGACAAGCAAGAGAGTGACATCATCCAACATGAGTGACAGAACCAACCACTCTGATTACTCAGTGGGGAGAGCATGAGATGCTTAATCTCAGGGTCTTGAATTCAAGCCTCACCATTGGGCAAATGATTCCTGCATTCCTGGGGGTTGGACGAGATGACCTTCATGGTCCATTCCAACTCTACAATTCTATGAAAACACATGCTCTTTGAACTATTTTTCAAGGCAGTTGTTACAAGAACTTTGTAACCGAGAACTTTTCTTGCTCTCTAAGTCCTTTTCCTTTTGTGTTGTATCTTTTGGATTGTACAGTGGCATAGCATGGGTTGCCAGTGCCCAGGACCATGTGGAGGGGGGTAGGAGGGAGGGAAATGGATGGAGTACGCATGCTCATTCAACTGCCTAACCGCTTCCACATCACCTAGGAGATCACAGCTGCAGAAATAAGAAAGAGTTTCGTTGTCTGGAGAGGTCACTTCATGGTTCACATGGAGAAGCCATTTTCAACCGAGCCCAATGATGGAAGTGCATAGCTGTATTGAGGCAGCACTGGGTGTTGAAATTTTGTGCCCCCTAACAATTTTGTGCCCTGGGCAACTGCCCCTGTGACCATCCCCCACACTATGCCACTGCACCTGAGGTCAAGGGCTATCTTATTACAGTGGTACCTCGGGTTACAAACACGTCGGGTTACAAACACTTCAGGTTACAAACTCCGCTAACCCGGAAGTAGTACCTCAGGTTTAGAAGTTTGCCCCAGGATGATAATAGAAATTACATGGCACAGCGGCAGCGGGGGGGGCCCATTAGCTAAAGTGGTACCTCAGGTTATGAACGGTTCTGGTTAAGAACAGACCTCTGGAACGAATTAAGTACTTAACCTGAGGTACCACTGTATAGCTATTTCTTTGTATGGACACTATTCTGCCCTTTTGAGAATGAAGGGAGGTACCACTGTATTGATCTTCTCAAGCTACTCAGAGCTTTTTGCTTGCTTACTTGCTTAAGAGCAGGGTTAAAGCTCTCAAATAAATAAATTACAAAAAAGGCAAATAGTTTCAGCGGAGACAAGAAAAAAGCATTTTTGCCCCAGTATTTTTTAAAAACTACGGATTGTGGTTGGCGTATATAATGTGACAAGCAGCCATTTTAAACTTGAATTATAGTCCTTACCAATGAAGCTATTTAATTAGAATAACATGATGATTGATGCACGTTTTCCTGTCCTGACAGATGTAGTCTTACTGAGGCATGTTATCAGTTCCTTATAGCTACCATAGAAACATCTATGCTTTGTAGTGGTGGGTGGGATCGGGGAGGAGGTGTGGCATCCAGTAGTGGAAAAAACAATTGCACCTTTGAACATGCTTCATGAAGATTGATGTGACATCAGTGCTGATCACATAGGAGCTTTAAGTAAGTATGCTTTCATACTTACTTAATTAGATATTATAATTTATTTGTTTGTGTTATTTATTCCATTTCTGTGCTGCCTTCATCTGAAAATCACAGGACCGTTCACAATATAAAAGCACAAAAATGCATACTATAATATAAGACAATGTTTTTTGCTACAATAAAATGTAGTCCAAAATTGGGGATCGTCTTATACACACATGGTGAATGCACAGGGGTTAAAAATAACACTAGGAAAGCTTCTGCCATGGGAGGTATGCGCAGTTCCCTGTAATCATTGCTGCCTCCTTTCCTTCTTCCCCAGCCGCACACAGTGCTCTTTCTCATGCGTGCACACACGGGCACAGGTCTTTGAGCTGCACCACAAAAAGAGCAAGGTATAGGGTGGCAACTGGAGCCCTGTGGCTGTGCCAAAAACTCTGTAAGGGAAGTGCATCCCGGGCCTGCTCCACCCCTTTGTTTGGCATGTAGCATCGTTGCCCTGGAGAAAGCCAAGAAAAGCTCAACAGGGTGACCCACCCACCCAGGAGCTGAGCAACTTCTAAATTTCTAAATTTGGGGTTCAAAAAATAGGGGGCATCTTATACATGGAAAAATACAGGTACTTCCCTCTGAAGATGAATATTGATTTTCATAAACTGAATGTTTTTTCTTTTCTTTTTTATTGTTCAGGATTTAGAATGACTAACAGCACTTTCAGTTTTATGGAGACTGGTTTTCTTCATGTTTTGTTGTAATTATGCTAAGTTTTGCAACCTTGTGATCAGAGAGTCAGATTTGGAAATTACCTCCACCAAGTACAGTGGTACCTCGGATTAAGATCTTAATTCGTTCTGGAGGTCTGTTCTTAACCTGAAACTGTTCTTAACCTGAAGCTCCACTTTAGCTAATGGGGCTTCCTGCTGCCGCTGCGATGCCGCTGCACGATTTCTGTTCTCATCCTGAAGCAAAGTTCTTAATCCAAGGTACTATTTCTGGGTTAGCCGAGTCTGTAACCTGAAGCGTCTGTAACCTGAAATACCACTGTACTTTGATTCTAATACTATCCACTCTTTTGAAGCTTAATAGAGGAAAGTGAAGCTTAATAATAAAAAAAAGTGTTAGCTAATTGAAAGTTTAAAAATCTGTTACAGTTTGTTATATTTCATACTTCAGTTACTGTCAGGGAACTTACATCGGAGCCAGAGACGGAGGCTAGGCTCTCAAGCGATGCTGGAGAAGGGCCCAGCAGGGAGAGAGGCAGCTCACCAGCTGGGGAAGGAAATCAGCGTAACACCAGCGATAAAGGGGGGCAGATGGGGGAATCGGTGAGGGGGCTCCAGGACTCCTCGCCGGAGACCAGCGAGGAGAGCATGGGTCCTCTGCTACCCACACCCTCCCTGCGCAGAAGACTTCCGCGCAGGGAGAGTAGGAGGAGACTTGGGGTCAAACAGCTTTTATGCTGGAAAAGGTTTAAGAAACGCCCACTGACGGATGCTGCTAGCGACTGAACAGCCACGAAGTGAAGGGCTGTCCAGACAGAAAAGGTTTAACAAGGCAACCTAGCCAGGAGTGGCGGCAACTTACGCACAAGCAACCCCTATATTTATTACAGTTACCATGCACCTTAATAAAGTGCATTGAAAATAGCATTTCCTATGGGATAATACAGCTCTCTGTTTCAGAAAATATTAGGCATTTTTATAGAGCACATTTGGTAAACATATACATTTGAAATTCATGTGTTATGGTAGATGACATAACATACAAGAAACTAAAATTTCTTAAAATAAAGGATATGTTATTGTGTGTGTTATAGTTTCCTTTCCATGTACACAAAACTACCAGAAAGCACCCATTTTAATGTTAGTCTTCTAATTTACTTCATATGGATTATTTTATATTTTGTAGGATACAGTGTAGCTGGTATTTGAAAAAGTTGTTGGATGGATACCAGCAAATTCTAAAACAGGTATGTTTGTGAAACGTGTTGCTGAATTTACTGAATTCCAGTAGCTAGTGATGTTATAAATACTTGAGAAGGCCTGTAGCCTACAATCCATTTGCTTGTAAGTATATATTTAAAGCGACTTTGTTGTCTTCTGTAGAAATGCTTCAAAGTAAATTAATTTTCAGATCACATCAAAATTGAGTCTGCTTATGACCCTGACCCTGAGTAGGGGAAGCTGAATCCCACAATGAAGTCTTATGGAGTGCTCTTCCTATTAGATAGGGAGAAGAATGTGCTCCAAGTTTGGTTGACTGATAGTCTTTCTTTAAGAGCTCTGGCATTCTGACTTCTGAGGATGATGGGAGGACAATGTGGGAACAAAGTCATGGTCATGTAGTCATCTGCTTCACTAAAGGTTTTCTACAATAGGAGGAAGGGCTGTAGCTCAGTGGTAGAGCCTATGCTTTGCACACAGAAGGTCCTAGGCATCTCCTGGTAGGGCTGGAAGAAGACTCCTCTGAAATCTTGGAGAGCCACAGCCAGACAATACTGAGCTGACTTGGTACAAGGCATGTTTCTATGTTGAGTGAGAGACTTTCTTGGAAATCCTTCAGAAGAGATTTGGGAGTTTGTGTGTAGAGATGATATTTTTCTCGAAATGTTGAAGCCATGGGGTCATTTTTTATTTCTCACTTGCTGAGAAATGGAGTCCTGTCTAGCTTTAATGGTATCACTCATATGCTATATGATTAAAAAAAATAATATTAGCACAAAGCATTACATGAAATAATTAATAAAAGAAATGTGTTTTTCAGCGGTTGCAGCACTCTTCAGATCTAGTCAGTTTCATGGTGGAGTTGAAGACTGTTTTGGTGAGGAACTATATTACAGAGGATTAGTGATCCTAATTTGTCTCCTTACTGTTTATTTTACTTACTTGTATAAGAAGCAAGATACCCTATTTGCTAATCTTCCATAGCAGTTGCAGTTTTTCATATGATCTTTCTGGAATTGTGTTGGATCTGCAATGTAATGGCCAATACTATTGCTTATGTAACCTCTTTTTACAAGTTACAGTGGTGCCTCGCAAGACGAAATTAATTCGTTCCGCGAGTTTTTTCGTCTAGCGAATTTTTCGTCTTGCGAAGCACGGTTTCCCATAGGAATGCATTGAAATTCAATTAATGCGTTCCTATGGTCAAAAAAAGTCCAATCAAAGCCAAATTTGGTACAACAAGAGTTTATTAACTGCTCTTTAAAGTCACACATACTTTAAAGAGCATATCAAAAATTGAAGGAACAATAAATTAAGTTTCTAAACATGACAGGAAAAACATTTAAAAATCAAAAAGGGTACATTACATTTTCTAAGACTCTGGGGGACCACTCGAAGAAGGTTCCTCTTCCACTCTTTGCTTCTTGCTGAGGAACCTGTCCATGGTCTGCTGCTTCATCCGCCTTTTCAGCAGCTCCCTGAGAGGCAACATGACCGTCGTATCAAAAGTGTTCGCTTGGTCATGTGCCACGTGCTTGATAGGGTGGTGCCGCTCTGCAAAAGCCTGCACCTCCTTCCACTTCTGGCAAATGTCCCTCAGTTCTTTGGAGGACGGCCGTTCCTCAGTTGCTTCCTCCTCTTCCAGCGAGGCCTGCTCCTGCGCAACCTCTGACTGCAGTTCAACCAGCTCCTGGGTGGTCAGCTCGTGGTCGTGCTCCTCCACCAGCTCGCAGACGTCCTCCTCTGTGACCTCCAGGCCCATGGTCCTCCCTAAGGCAACAATGTCCTGCACCACTGTTGACTCTGGTGCATCAGAGTCACTTGGTGCCACACAGTCCGGCCACAGGCTGCGCCAAGCGCAATTCAAATTTCTCTGGCTGATCCCGTTCCAGGCCGTGGTGATCATCTTCAAGCAGGTGACGATGTCGAAGTGGTCCTTCCAGAATTCCCGCAGGGTGATGGTGGTGCAATCAGTCACCTCGAAGCATCGCCTGAAAAGCTCCTTGGTGTAGAGTTTCTTGAAATTGGCGATGACCTGCTGATCCATCGGCTGGAGCAGTGGCGTGGTGTTAGGCGGCAGGAACATGATGTTGATGAAGCTGAACTCCTCCAACAAGTCCACCTCAAGGCCTTTAGGATGAGCAGGAGCATTGTCCATCAGAAGCAAAGCCTTCAGCGGCAGGTCGTTGTCCAGCAGGTACTGTTTGACAGCAGGGCCAAAGGCAAGATTGACCCAGTCCACAAACAGCACACGTGTGACCCAAGCCTTGCTGTTGGATCGCCACATGACACTCAGCCGCTCCTTGTCGACCTTGTGTTTCTTGAAGGCCCGTGGGTTCTCCGAGTGGTACACCAGCAGGGGCTTGATCTTCAGGTCGCCGCTTGCGTTGGCACAGAAGAGCAGGGTCAGACGGTCCTTCATGGGCTTGTGGCCAGGCAACTTGGCCTCCTCCTGTGTGAGGAAAGTCCTTTTGGGCATCCTCTTCCAAAACAGCCCGGTCTCGTCGCAGTTGAAGACCTGCTGTGGAACGTAGCCCTCCGTCTTCACAACCTCCAGGAACTCCAAGGCAAAGTCTTCAGCCGCAGGAACATCAGAACTGGCAGCCTCTCCATGCCTGACCACGCTGTGGATTCCAGATCTTGCCTTGAACCGGTCAAACCAGCCTCTGCTTGCCTTGAAGACTTCTGGCTCGGCCTGAGGTTCCTGGCTGTTCCCGGATGAGGTCTGCGTGCAAGGCCTTGGCCTTCTCACAAATGACGGCCTCAGTCACTGTGTCCCCTGCACGCTGCTTCTCTTCTAACCAGATGAGCAGCAACTTCTCGACCTCCTCCAGAACAGCTGGGCGGTTCTTCACGATCCTGGTGACTCCCTTGGCTGCATCAGTCGCAAGGATCTTCTCCCTCATCTTCAGGATGGTCCCGATGGTCGATGGGTTCCTGCCGTACTCCCTGGCGAGGTCCGTCACACGCATTCCACCGTCGTGCTTCCGGATGATCTCCTTCTTCATCTCCAGCGTCACCTTCTCCTTCTTCCTCTCGCCGGCCTCCGCAGCAGCAGCAGTCTTCTTGGGTCCCATGGCAGCACAGCTGTTACCTTTGTAAACTCAGAAAAAGAAAAAAAATCAGCAATTCAAACCCAGAACCAAGTCCTTGAATTCCAAACACCCAACCCAAAATCCAAAACCCCCAAAAAGTTTTAAAAGTTTAACTTACGAAATGGCTGCAAATCACCAAAGTCTTCAAAATCCTCAAATGGCTGCAAAAGAAGTTTTGGGAAAGCTTTAAAAATCACCAAAGTCTTCAAAAACCTCAACTGTTCCCCCCAGCCCCTCCCCAACTGTTGCAAACCCCTCCCCAACTGTTGCAAACCCCTCCTCAACTGTTCCCCCAGCCACCCAGCACACAGAAATTCAAAAACCCAGAAATTTTTTTCAAAAAACAACAACATGGCCCAATGGTCACAGAAAACCATAAAAATTCAAAAAAAACCACACAAGCTCCCAGATTCCTGCAAACCCCTCCCCAGCTGTTCCCCCATCCACCCAGCACACAGAAATTCAAAACCCAGAAATTTTTTCAAAAAAAAACAACATGGCCCAATGGTCACAGAAAACCATAAAAATTCAAAAAAAACCCACACAAGCTCCCAGATTCTTGCAAACCCCTCCCCAGCTGTTCCCCCATCCACCCAGCACACAGAAATTCAGAAATTCAAAACCCAGATTTTTTTTTTTAAAAAATAAACATGGCCCAATGGTCACAGAAAATCATAAAAATGCAGAAAAAAGACACACAAGCTCCCAGATTCTTGCAAACCCCTCCCCAGCTGTTCCCCCATCCACCCAGCACACAGAAATTCAAAAATTCAAAGCCAGATTTTTTTTTTTAAAAAAAATAAACATGGCCCAATGGTCACAGAAAATCATAAAAATGCAGAAAAAAACCACACAAGCTCCCAGATTCTTGCAAACCTCTCCCCAACACCAAGTCCTTGAATTCTAAACACCCCAACCCAAAATCCAAAAAACCCAAAAAAAGTTTCAAAAGTTTAACTTACCAAACAGCTGCAGAAGAAGTTTTGGAAAAGCTTCAAAAATCCAGCAAACTCTTTAAAAAGCTCAGAAAGGCCACCACACCGCGTGCAATGTGTTGCTCCTCGAGGTCAAGTCGCAACTGCACCTCTTCCAGCAATGCACCCTGGGTTTTAACGGTTTTACGAACAAGGAAACAAACTTGCAAGACGTTTTCGTCTTGCGAAGCAAGCCCATAGGGACATTCGTCTTGCGAAGCAACTCGAAAACGAAAAAACCTTTCGTCTTGCGAGTTTTTCGTCTTGCGAGGCGTTCGTCTTGCGGGGCACCACTGTGCTAGTTAGAAACTAGGCTATGATTTTCCAAATGCAACTGTTTTAAGATACTCCTTTTCAAATGTAGCCTTTTATTAGCTTTGTATTATATTATGTCATGTTACAAATGCCACGAAGTAAACCCATGAGAGGGAGCAGTGGGGATGAGTGTGCTGATTTTATCTCCTTAGTTATTTTTGTTTTTCCGCTTTTAAAAATTGATTTGTCATAAAGATTTGTACAAACTAACACATAACTATGTAAACCACCGCCCAGAGTGGCTGGGAAAGCCCAGCCAGATGGGCGGGGTATAAATAATAAATTATTATTATTATTATTATTATTATTATAAAAAACAATAGTAGAACCATACATGGAGCATACAGTGGTACCTTGGGTTAAGAACTTAATTCGTTCTGGAGGTCTGTTCTTAACCTGAAATTGTTCTTAACTTGAGGTACCACTTTAGCTAATGGGACCTCCTGCTGCTGCAGCACCACCACCGCACGATTTCTGTTCTCATCCTGAAGCAAAGTTCTTAACCCAAGGTACTATTTCTGGGTTAGCCGAGTCTGTAACCAGAAGCGTATGCAACGTGAAGTGTATGTAACTTGAAGCGTCTGTAACCTGAGGTAGCACTGTATTCAGTATAAAAATCTAATTACAGAGATGCAGTTACATATAAAGGTAAAAGGACCCCTGACCATTAGGTCCAGTCGTGGCTGACTCTGGGGTTGCGGCCCTCATCTCGCTTTACTGGCTGAGGGAGCCAGCGTACAGCTTCCGGGTCATGTGGCTAGCATGACTGAGCCACTTCTGGCGAACCAAAGCAACACACGGAAACGCCATTTACCTTCCCACTGGAGTGGTACCTATTTATCTACTTGCACTTTGATGTGCTTTTGAATTGCTAGGTTGGCAGGAGCAGTTACATACATAGTAGCACAAATTTTAAGAAGGGTCTCTAGACCCCAACCACAATGATGAGTGACTCATGGGAGGAATGCTTCTATGACTCTCTCTATTTATATAATTTATTTAAAAAAGTGAGAACCAGTCCGCATCAAAATTGACTGATTTCACTTTGCCCTGGACTATTTGTCTATGTCTAACTCAACACTCAGTTAAAACAATGTTCCATACATTTGCAAACCTCTTTGTTGTTTTCATTACCTTCAAATTTGTGGAAGATGGCTGTTTGAAGCAGAGAGCCTTTTTTGATTTGTGGAGACTCATACATTTTGGAACCTTCTAAACAGAGTGGAAAAACAATGACAGAGGAGGCAGAGCTAGTGTGGTCATCCCCATTGTGCCCATCATGTGTTTATTTCTTGGATTGGTAACCCCTGCATAGCGCTTGTTTGAATAGGCAGAATCTACCTTATCTGAATATCTTTCAGACTCGAAGGGAGGAAAACGGTTACCTCTTAACTTCATTGCTGGCCATAAAGGAGGAATATGAGGCAATGTGCATCCATTAATTTACCTGCCTATTTAAGTTCTTGGGTATGTCATGTGCAGCACAGTATTACTAGTGTAAGAATATCTCTTTATTGCCTATATATCCATCATAAAGGTGATTCCTGAGCTAAAAAATGAGAGGCATGCTTTATTTTGTTCTGATTTTACCATGGCCATGGTTTCTGATTTATACCTTTGCCAAGCAGAAATGGAATAGGAACCGACCATTGCAAGGTGAAATCCAGTTGCAACTTCAAAAGAACCACAGTTTCATTCCTTTGAAAATGTTAAATTTCAGAACCTGGGGATTTGGATATTTTGGAGAAACCTGAGCTATTTTCAGCTGGATCTAAAGAGGCTCTCTATGACACTGGTGTTTTTTTAAAGTACAATTGAAAGTACATACACACTTTATTTGAACTTGCTTTTCTTTAAATATTTTTCCTGTTTGCTGATAATGTTTAGTGCTGAGGGCATTTTTAGACTGTAATTTTTAACACAGTGAATGTGCAGCAGTTATACACTTGTTGCAGAAGATCCAGATTCTTCTTGAGTAGCATATCATATTTTTCCAGCACTCAGGCAACAATATTTTGTTGCAGGTTAAATGATACGCTTTTGTGCATTTCTTCTGCAAATGCTGTGTGAAATGATACTGCTACATGAGGGCACCTCTTGGATAGTGCTTCTGACTGTCTACTGATGAGCAGCATAATTCCCTTCATATCTGCACTATTTTATGACTTCTTATAATTTCTTTTAGAGGTTGATTGCTCTCTCATTGTGCCACTCAAGTGCGTACGTGCCCATGTAACCCTTTTAAAAAGAAAACTGCAGACACCAGCAAGGATTTCATGTCTTCTTTCCCTCTCCCTGCAAAAATTCTACCATTTCATGATTTTTCTTCTTCTCTTTTTTACCCTAAGAGTGTGTCCTCCCCTTCCTGAGCTCTGGAGCACACAGATCTTTTTTATTTTTCTGTTTCAAAAAGACAAAAACCACAGCTAACCCATGCAGCAAGGCTATCATTTGCAATCCATTTGGTGTGGACAGTTTGTTGTTCTGCTGCCAGTAGATTGTGGCAAGGTGAAAGGCTGAGATTTATCACCTGATAAGCTCTTAGAACTTGTAGTTGGAAATAAAGTTGGAAACTGTCATGATGTTTCTATCATACTACTCTTCATTTTTTAGGATGCCTCATATTAAACTTTCTGATAGCTCTGAGCTTCATTTTCTGAATCATACTGGAGTATATTTCCAGAAGGAACTTGGTCAGTGGTTGTGAATTTTTTTAACAGGCAGTTCCACTAGACATAGGTTTTATGTATCCCTTTCTCTTCACGGTGTCCTTCTAGTCAGAGTGTTTGAGTGTTCCCATTTTTTTTAAATCTCTGAGGCATGCTTCAAATTTGTATTCATATATGCATTGACAATGCCTGATTAAAAATGCGGAGAGATTTCTACCAGAGGGTTCAAAAGCAGTTTAATGGACCCAACCTTTATTAGTATGAGGACCCCCTTTTAACCTCAAAAAAAATAAATAAAAATAAAAATGCAAACCCCATCATTCCAATTGTTGCAATTTTAGGCTTCATTAATTGAGAAAATACATAATGACAAAAAAACTATTATGAATTTAATATGGTATAAAACCAATGTAGATCTACGCAGAAGTCAGCGCACACTGAGCTGTCAAATGAGCAATTATGATATGGTGCTATCTTGTACATGTCTACTCAGAAGCAACTCACAGTGAGTTCACTTATTCCAAAGTGTACAGAACTGAAGCCTCAATGCCCAGACTTTCCTTTATTTACTGTTAAGGCACACACTTCTTTCTTGTTAAAAGGAGAAAGGATATGCTATCTTGGTTCTTCCTTTTTCCTTTGATTAAGGAATGAGACAGAGAAGATTGTCATTCTCCAACTCCTCCTATACTTTTCTTTCCTTAGTTTCCATCTCTGTTCTCACTCCTTGAATGCTTAGAATCTGGCCATTTTTATGTACAGTGGTACCTTGGTTCCCGAAAGGCTTAGTTGTCGAACAAATCAGCTCCTGAACGCCGCAAACCCGGAAGTAACTGTTCCAGTTTGCAAACGTTTTTCGGAAGCCAAATGTCCGACTCAGCTTCTGTGGCTTCTGATTGAGTGCAGGAAGCTCCTGCAGCCAATCAGAAGCCACGCCTTGGTTTTCGAATGGTTTCGGGAGTCAAATAGACTCCCAGAATGGATTAAGTTTGAGAACCAAGGTACCACTGTATAGGGAATAATATGTAAACTTCAGAAGACAAAATTTGTGTCCTGGTCCCAACCACATGTTTTGTGGAAACGGAAGGCACAAAGAATGAGCAAAAGAGAGCAAATTGGGTAGTAACAAAATTTGGGTGAGAAGAAAGAAACGGGGTTCCTAGACTTTGGGTGCAAAGAGTACAAGAGTTATTGGGAGAAAAGGGGAGGCTGATGGGGGGAAATAGTTTTATTCTGGAGAGGCTGTCCAAGCAGAGTCTGTTCCTCAGTGCTCCTGGAGCAAGCCCTGTGGGAGTTGTGGTGTCAGCTGCTACTACGGGTCTGTCCTCCGTGAGGTCCTTGGAATCCACTCCTGGCATACCTGAGCAACCAGGCTAAGCCATGAGCTGAGCACTGGAGAAGCAGGAAGGGACCAGCTCTGTGGTGCTGACAAGGCCCTGCCAGCAAGGCTTGAGGTGCAGAGGAATCAAACTCTAGCAAGTAAGTGTCCATAGCCTTCACACACTTACCTCAGTGTAAGTTCCATCGAATACACCGAAACTTCTGAGTAAATGTGCATAAGATTTCATCCATAAGCCTTGCTGAAAACAAGGAAACTCATTTTAATTATGAGTGTCTTTTGAATAGACATATAGATTTGCATTGTTAGCCATGACTAACCTTAGCTGGATTGGGATTCATCTGAATGTATACAATCGGAATATATATATTTCTAAGTTGTTTAACACTTTACAAACGTATAAGATGCTATATTTTTCAACAGGAAGTTGCTTTGAAAAACACACAAGAAGTTCATGCGCCTCCATCTCCACACTATTACTCTGGTGTCATCGGAGATATAGAAACTTTGGGATGGAATAAGTATGCCATGTTTAATAATTGTGATCTTGAATAAACTGTTTAGGAAATTTAACATGCTTGTTCCTGAAGAAATAGTATTTTCAGGTTTCACTCTGATGGATTAAATACAACTTGCGTTTAAATAGCTTTTGGTATTGTAACTATCCTTTAATTAAGTTCTTAACATAGATTTTTTAAAAGGTCTTAAGAGGAACCTACAGGTCAAATCTTGTTTACAATTGAAAGTCTTTTCCACAGAGTTTATGTAGTATGTAATTGGGATTCCCCTCAGGGCAGTTAGGGTAACTAGTCTTTTACTCCATTCTTTTTTTGCTGGTTTAAGAAAGGACAAATTGAGAAAGTCAGAGCTTTACTCTTGTTTTCCCTTTCCCCTGATTATTATAGGGTAGACAGAGGTAGGGGATCTTCCAGAATAACAGATGCAAAACGCTATCCTAGTTACACAGGAGTACTCACTTCATTCTTGGAGGAGGTACATCAAGCCATGCCCTGATAGAAGCTACAAGGCTTTGTCTTCCTGCCTGTATCAATTGGCTGGGGAAGGGTGGCAACCTCCAAAGCAGCTCTGTGGAACCACAAAGGTAGTGAGTGGGTAGCAAAATGCACATAGGAGAAAACAAGGGGGTAAGCTCTGGAGCTTCAAATCCTTCTGTACAAGTAACATTTCTTAATGCCCTCCCATGGACAGAAATCACTTGTCTCAAACCTGGCTGACATAGAGAAAAACAACTCATGGTACAGAGCCCCCACAGAATCCCACCCTTCACACACCCCTCTTCATTTGCTATTGCAGAGATCTGCACCTTGAATCCTTATCTGGAACCATGGGGTAATAGTTATGTATTGCATGTAGAAGGACTCTGTGGGTTGTATTTAACTAACTTTTACTTGGAGACAGAATTAATGGACCTATGTTAGTCAGTTTCTGCAGAATACAATTTCATTGATTACAACCCTACGAATGGGGAAGGAGGAAGTGGTGGACACTGCTTCTGCTAGGGTTGCCATATGTCTGGAATTTCCCAGATATACCCGGAATCCTGCAGTCGGAAGCAATGTCCGGGCAGAAATTGGCAAAATGTCCAGGAAAATCCGGGCGTATGGCAACCCATTCCTTAAAAATAGCTCAAAAATCTAAGGTTCAGTCCCTGGTATTTCCAGGTCAAACTGGGAGAAAGCCCTATTTCAAACCCAGAAAGCTGCTGCCAGCCGTAGATAATACTGACCTAGATGGACCAAGGTTATGACTTGGTATCAATATGGCAGCTTCCTAACATTAACAGTAACTTGAAAGTCAGCTGAAAGCAAAGCTTCTTCTTACACCCAGTTCTGTTTGCCTTTTGGTTTTGTCTGACTCTTTTATAGTAGAACTTCTGTATGCATAATCTGTAGTGTGACTCAAATCTTCTGCTACTTGTTATCCATTGAAATTTCACATAATCTGAAAGTGGTCTTGTTGCCACAATGCATGATAATGCTTTCACAAAGATTAATCGTATATAAATTGCTGTGCTGAATTTGCTATAGTACCTGTATTTATAATTTGTTGACCGGAACAGGACAGTCCAAGCATGTAACATCGATTGTGGCCTGACTGCTAGTTGGTGGATGAGCATTTACATTATGTTTTATTATGTGTTTCGTATTTTAAATATTGAATAACTTTATTTTAATATTTTGTAAGTCTGAGACATTTTGTAAAAAATGATTAACAAATATTACATATATTAAATAATAATAATTATAATGAAAATGTTAATTGAAGAAGGAAATCCAAGCACAAAAGTCTTCTACTTTAAGAAACTGCAAAAATGGATCAAATAGTTGACAGGAAGTTTAATGTGTAGATAAGTGGAGGCTGACAAGAATATGCTGTGTGTGCCAAAGGTTCCAGTGATGGAAAACTGAAACATAGTGCTCACTGACCACAGCGTGAGCCCTGACACACAATGTAAATAACTCAGAGATATATGACTGCATTAAGCAGCTGGCTGGTGTATTTCAGTGATAAATCTGCAACAGCAGAAATGGCTGTCATACAGATTATTTCTGATTAATATATTTGTAACAGACTAATAGGGGTAAGGCATAAATGAAATTACACCAGAACTTGTTTCTGTTCTTCTTCCAGGGTTGTTTTTGTAGATCCTGGTTTTAGTACCATCAGGTTAAAAGCAGAAGATTCCTGTGGCCGGGAACATCTAATAACATTGAAATTAAATCCAAAGGTGAATGAATGTTTTTTATGGTTTTGGGAATGGGGAAGTACATTTCTATGACTTGTGCCTCAGATATATTTTTAGTAGTTGATCTGTTGAGTAATATTAAAATTGATATATGTTTAACCAATTTAAGAATAGTCATTAAAGACAGGTAGCTTTGTGATGTACAGTGGTACCTCAGGTTAAGTACTTAATTCGTTCCAGAGGTCTGTTCTTAACCTGAAACTGTTCTTAACCTGAAGCACCACTTTAGCTAATGGGGCCTCCTGCTTCTGCCGCACCGCCAGAGCACAATTTCTGTTCTCATCCTGAAGCAAAGTTCTTAACCCGAGGTACTATTTCTGGGTTAGCAGAGTCTGTAACCTGAAGCGTATGTAACCTGAAGCGTCTGTAACCTGAGGTACCACTGTAATTGCAACCTGTAGAAGTTTCTGATAGAAAGTAACTATCCAAAGTAAAAATTCTACATCAGTGATTTTGCCAGTAGAAACTATTTAATATCCTTTTGGCTTGGTGTGGGCTTTAAATTTCACTTCATCATCAGTCAGTTTTGAAGCTCTCTAAGGGTAATGGGCTTTGTATTAGCTGAACGTTTTCCTAGTTGAGTTTTAACTACCTAGAAGTGGCCTTCCCTTGAACAAGAAACAATTCCCTGCGTATAGATTACTTGGCCACAATTGTGGCTCCCTGGCATGTGTGTGGAGTACAGGTTACAGATTCCCCACCCCCCACCCCCCTGTAAGATGGTTTGGAAAGAGAGAGGTCTAAATGACTCCTACGAAGCGCTCTTCTGTAGCTGGCTCTGGCATGTGGTTATTTGTTTGCTTTTCATTTAAAACATTTCTGTGCTATTCTTTAGTTAACAAAACTCCCGCAGTGGTTTGCAACAGTCATAACAATATCAGATAAAAGAATATAAATTAACAATGGCAGAATATTTTTTAAAAACACACACACACGTAAAAAAACAGCAGCAACCAGTAAACATCATCAGATTAAAACCTGCTTGCATGCTGAAAAGACTGGGTAAATGAAAGCAGTATTTGCTTGCTATTACTGAAGAGCTCAGCCTTACTGTTTGTTGTACTATGTATGCCGTAACAAATCTCCATGTTGTCCATAGAAGGCATATCAAGAAGAGACTTGAGACAACAATGGCAAGGTTGAACTTGTGGTCCTTTATCAGCATATACACTATTCATCTTATTTTTTAATTTATTTTGTTAGAAAAGACAAGAGAGACAATGCCTGTTGTCTGCACTAGAAGGGACTCTTCACCAGCTATGCTTAGTAGCATGAGACTTCTTTAAAATGCAAATATCTGTTATTTTCTGTGACTCAATCAAGTTATCCTCTAGGAGGGCACTAGGGCTCTTCTACCTCTACCAAATTTTAACTTTAATCTCAAAGTTTCTGGTTCAATTTAAATATCACCTGCATAATTGACTTCTTATTTCTGCAGCAACCTGTATGCCAGTATTTCCCTTTTGTAACAAATTGTATATTCTTAACGAGACCCAATTTGTGTTCCTCCCATATATGTGAACACTAATATGTAGGTTAGGTCACATGATTACACTCACCTCAAATTGGTAAAAGTAAACCCCTCCAGGGAGGGCATTCCACATGTGTGGTGCCAGTACTTAAAATGCCATTTCTCCAGTCACCACCTCCCTCATGTTTAGACATTGGGAGGATTTGGAGAAGGGTCTCTGATTTTTACCTTAATAATTGAGCAGGCTTATGTGAGAGAATATGATCCTGTAAATAGATGTTGGTAGGTTCAGGGCAACGTTAGGATTGTCATCTGGGTCTGGTGGAGTTAGACCTGTTGCACCTTCAATTTAATCTGGTGACTCCAGTACTCTGAGCCCAGTCTCTTTTAATTCATTTTACAACTCTCACTTTAAATCTTTAAATCAAAATTCTGATTTCTTTAAGTTTAATGAGAGCTTACAGGGTGAAATTCTAAAGCCTTCACTGCATCAGTTAAAATGTTCCTTGCAAAAAATAGCGGTCCCATTAAGTCAGATTCTTGCAGAAGCCAAGAGTGTTGCAAATTCAATTTATTTTGCACTAATTCTTCATAGCTTTGTTTTATCTAAAGTGAGTATGTTGTTGGAAAAGGAAGTAACTATTTTAGTTTTACTGTGCAGTGACCAGATTATGCAAGTTGCCAGTTGTACCTAGTGGTCATCAATCAACTCTGTTTCACAAGATTATAGTGATGAAAGGATCAATTGTGTTTGTCCTTTTTAAAAATGTGTCTGGCATTTAAACTTGCCAAGGGAGAAAATTAATATATAAAACGTGTGCTTGGTGACACAGGGATTTGATTTCTGGTAATATATGTAATAAATACACTATGCAATGATGCTCATTCATGTTATTTTTTATTTGAACAACGTCAAGCAGAAAATGTTTGGGCATAGTCCACCAAAACTAAATTTATTTAAATCAAATTTTTTCAAAGTATGTATTAAATTCTGCCATTGCAATCAATAGGACTTATGGTACTGAAAAGTGCTCAGTTTTGGCTGGATCTTGCCCAATAGTATTCTAAAAGGTATGCAGGGGTTCTGCATTTTTGAAGAGCTGTTCTAGTATTCCTACATACATTGCTTTTTCTTAATAGGTGTTAGAAGGTTGTGTCCTTCCTTTCTTGGTGTAGATGTGATACTACCAATCTACTCATGATGGGGAGAGTACTACAGGCTTATTTTCTCTCTCCTTCCTGTTCCTGTCTGTGTGAATTCTACTCTCTTCCACTCTTGAAGGAGGTTTATAAAATATGCACGATGGAAGGAATATGGACAGAATTTTCTCCCCTTTCTCTTCTATAGTACTAGAAGTCTGTTTATATATACAATGAAATGGATAGACAGAAAAATCAAGACGGATAAAAGAAAGCACTTCTTCTCATAACACATAATTAATTTATAGAATTTGCTCCCGCCAGATGTAATGATGGACATTGGCTTAGATAGCTTTAAGTGGGGATTGGACATATTAATGAAAGATAAGATTATCAGTAGCTATTAGTCATGATGGCTAGGTGAAACCTCTCTGTTCAGAGGTAGTATATCGCTGAATATCAGCTACTGGGAGCAATAGTAGGAAACACCTCCTGGCCTCCTGGCCTGTTTGTGTGCTTCCTGGAATCCTCTTGTTGAGCACCACTGGAAGCAGATCGTAGGATTAGATGGACCATTGGTCTAATCCAGTAAGAGCTCCATTTATGTATTTATATTTACCCCAATCTCTAGTTTATGTTAGCAAATAGTAACCAAAGGCCTAAATCTCTGTGGAATGATAATCCTGTATCTGGGTTGCACAGCATCAGATTTTATGAGAGTGGTGAAGTGATTGAATGTTCTTCCACACAAAAAAATTTCCTGCACATGGAAGAGAAGATGGAACATGTCTCCCTAACATTTAATTGATTGTGTGGACTCTGAAGTCGTATAACCCAGACAAATGGATTAGCTCCTCAGTGGAAACTAGACCATAAAAAGGAGGGCTGGGATTCGGAGAAAGAAGTAGCCTATAGGTGACTCCCTGTCACCTTACCAAAGTTAGAAAATTGCTAGTGATGGTACTGTATTGGGTTTATTATTCTTGGTAGCAATTCAGCAAAGAAGTATTTACATGTTTGAATTGTTGGGGCTGGGGGCTCTGCTTAAACTCTGTTTTTAGGAGGCTACATGATTTGGCTACATGATTTGCTACCAAGAATGGAAGTCAGGGTGGAGGGCTTGTGGGCCCTTTTCCTCCTCTAATTCAAGCACTGGTTGTAGGCACTGCATTATTTTAATAGACACTATATGAATGCCTTGAAAAAGGACTATTGACTAGTAATATTTGTTGAAAATGTCCATGATTTTTTCATATCTCGTACAAAATAATATGTTACTATATGTAACAATCCAGGTTTTATTGAAGACTTCACCTTTACAGTGAACTCTCTCTCTCTCTCTCTCTCCCCCCCCCCCCTTCAGATCCATGCTATTGTGGCTTGGTTTCATTTTCTGAGTCCATCATTATGGCAATAAGTTAAAAACATAAATAGAACTCATATTCTTAAAAGCATAGAGCAAGCCCACACCTTTCTTGATAAGTGAGAGTGGTGTAGTCAATCCTGTAAAAGGAAAGCAGAATGTTAACTGACATTGGGTTCTTTAAACGCAGAAGAATGATTGTGTTAGTTTCTTGGGCAATTCATTGTATTTTGCCTTTAAAAGGCTGAGAATAAATGCAGATGTGCTTGAGCATGGGGTTGTGTGTGTTAGTAGGTATAAAACATATTTTAAATGATTTAGGTCTTCCATAAATGTATCAAAATTGCAGGCACGTGATGTTTAGAAAATCTGGAGTACTTAAGCATACAGTAAGGAGTACTTGTCTCTTGCACAACTGCAATCCTAACCACAGGGTGTAAATCTCACTGATCATCTCAGTAAACATGCCTAGAATCACTTACTGTTATTCCTTTTTCCCTTCCATTGTGTGACGTTTTAAGAAATGTATACCTAACTGGTACTGAGTCTAGACTAATTTTCACACTGACTCATTTCTATTCTATTCTAATATATTTTCTCTCTAATGCAGTAAAGGCTGAAAAGCTAATAGTCTGCACATCTCAACCCAAACTGTCCTCTATGGTCAATCAATTGTCAGGAAGTGGGATGACTTAACCCAACACCTACAGTCCTACAGATAAGGTGTGTGGCAGAAGAAAATGGTGCATGCCTTCCCTTCTCCAGCTGTATTTCCCTAACCACTCCCTCTTCATTTTGTGACTTGTTCAAAAGTCATTAGTGTAACTGACTGAAAAGAGCATGATAAACTGACAAATCATAAGAGCTTTTGCAAGCCATAAAAGTTTCCTTTAAAAATGGAAAGTACAGCAGGGGACATGAACCATGGTAGGCGTAATAAAATATAAGTGTAAATTTGAATACCAAGTAGCCAGAGAAATAAAAATAAATGTAAGTGTAGCATAGGTGAGGAGCAGGTGTGAGAATCAGTGAGAGATTACCAGAAGCGGATATAAAGTTATAGAGAAGCTAAACTTCATTACCATAAAAGCCAATTGGATGTGGTCTACTACTGAATTAAGTTTAGCAGGGACCATAGCATTAGAAAACAAAGTAGAAGGATAATACATTCAGAGTAGTAGGTGGCAAGTATCCAGGATTAATGTTGGGTGGATTCATTTGGGAAGGTTTAAGTTGTATTTATATTTAACCTCACTTCCTCTTAACACCTCAAATGTTCGTGTTCTGCCTTTTAATCAAGAGTTTTATGAAGGTGGATTAGGGGAAAGGTAGTGGTCTTTTCATCAGTGCTTCTCTTTCAGTTTCAGCCAAACTTGGTTTTCTACATTGCGTTCAGTTGCATGTACAAGTCCATCTTATATCAGTAGGAGTTGCATTATATAAATATGTATGTATGTACAGTTTGTGTGAGCACTGGAATCAGTGGAAATTGGAGCATTAACGTCTGTTATGCTGGATCAGTCATCTCTTGTTTTCTTCCCATAGGTTCCAGAACACTTTAGTTATGCATATGGCAGTGTTGTTAGGTTTATTAAGTTTAAAACTCATCCTGGGGCTCAACTTGTGACAGGTGGCCAGGAGATTTTTGTGACGAGAAAATGCCCTACTTTGTCTTTGCATATATAGAAAGAGATTGTGTAACACATTATATATAGGATGCACATAAGGCAGAAAGATTTTTTCCTGTTAACATTCTGTGCTTCCCAGAGAGGTCTGCTTTGAAACTCCAGAATACCTGGTTTGTTCAAATTTTATTTATTCTCAGGGGTGGCCCAAGCCTGCGATGCCCCTGCTGAAGCCTTGTTCATTGGGGTTATGCAGCTTTGGTTTCCAGATTCTGGTGAAATCTTGCAATAACCCTGTGAGATTTCACTAGAAGCCACTGCAGCTGCTTCTCCAGCAGGGGGAGCACGCTGCCTGTGTGGAGCCTCTTGGATTCTGCTGCCTGAGATGGCTGTCTCATTCTGTCTCGTGGACGGGCTAGCCCTGTTCACCTTGTCTTCAACTTTGGATTTATTTAAACTAACCTCAGCTATGTGTATGCGTACATTGCAATCATCATCATCACTCATAAGGTGTAAAAATGTTGAACTTCCACATTTCTGTCTCAGTATCCCACAGAACCACCAGATTGCCTTGTGGACTTACCAGTTCAGTTCTCTCTCTCCTGGATTCCAGAGGTAAGCAGCCTTCCTTCTTTTCTCCGGTTGTTAATGAACTTACCTGCTTAGCCTTCTGCAAGTACCTTGTCTAACATATACTTGAGCTCTCTTCCTTCTGTTCCATTTATGTGAAAAAATAACATAATGAACATTTTATATTCTATGTAATCAACTTAGAGGTTATGTGTGATTAAGCAGTATATAAATCCTGTTACATGAATAAATAAACTTAATTTTGTATTTAGTATTAATAGGACAAAATCCAAAGAGTCAGTGGTCAATTTTTCTGCACTCCATAACAACAACAACTATTATTATTATTATTATTATTATTATTATTATTATACCCCAGCCATCTGACTGGGTTGCCCCAGCCACTCTGGGCAGCTTCCAATGAAGCATAAAGGAAAACACCAAAACATCAAACATTAAAAGCTTCCCAATACAGAGCTGTGCACCTGGCCCTTTAGTGGCACAGTTACCTCATTCTGGACCCGGAAGTCCCCCCATACTGTTTCTGTCCAGAATGGGGTACCTTCTGTCTACTTGGGACTCAACCTCAATCCGTTAACCACCATCCATCCATTGGGCAATCAGAGCTGTTTCAAATGCAACATTCGATATGTAATGAAGTTCAGCTGCCCAAAGAAAAGTCTTCAAATTCCATTGGCTGGCACAAGATCCTTCCATGTCAGGCTGTAGATGATGAATATTATTATTGCTATTATTTTAATTAAAATAGCTTCCTATCAATAAATATTCCCTAGGTGCCTTCCAACTAAACAATATATAATATGCAAAGCAAACAATGAAAGACAATGGGAAAAATTCTGTGCAACAGACAGCCATTCTATAACTGAATATACTGTTTAAACTATTCGCATCACAACTCTGATATACACTCCCCCCCCCCCTCCCCTGCACTGCTGTCCTATGCCATTTGGGACACGTGGGGGAACAAAAGACTGCAATATCAGGGAAATGGAGGTGACGCAAAGAATACAAAGAGTTGAAATGCTAGTAATTACCTTCTGCAACAAGAGGAGGAGAATGAGCAATTTCCTTGAGACTCCTGGTTACTCAAAGGTTGAGGGATCAGACTGGATACTGAGGCTTCCGTAGTGGCTAAGCATCCCCCTCGGGCACTACTTACAGGCTGTAAAAATTGAAAAGCAGACTATGTTTCGTACAGAGAAATTACTATGGTGAGGGGACCAAAGGCATGCAACCCTTCATAGGTCACCCTTGAGCCCCAAACTGTGTGGTTCCAGGCAGGCAACCAGGTTCTTTAGAAATTAGAACTCTTCAAAAATGATGAAAGGTCAAAAAATCACCAGGAAGTAAAACATGAAGGGTCATATTCCTGGAAGATCCTTGAGTAACCCAGGAAAAACAAACATGGAGAATAGTCAAGGGCTCAGGGGAGAGAGAGAGAGAGAGAGAGAGAGGGTAGGGTAGGGTGACTAGCTGGGGTTGAAGAAACCTGTCCTGTAGATGAAGTTTGAAAACATTGCATTCCCAGGCAGATTGAAGAGCATATCTTGAGAACAAGCACTGAAGTCAGTTACCTAAGGGGAAGGGTTATATGAAACAAAGGGAAAATGGGCTGTATCCAGCAGAAGGAAAGCATTACAAGACATGCTGAATGAGTGTGGATATGATGATACAAGTTTCCCACCATAGGATGCAGAGGGTAGTCTTAGGATGGAACAGTGAGGGCCTCCTGGCGCTGCCGGAGCATGATTTCTGTTCTCATCCTGAAGCAAAGTTCTTAACCCGAGGTACTATTTCTGGGTTAGCGGAGTCTGTAACCTGAAGCGTATGTAAGCTGGGTTACTACTGTATATTCAGACATAATTTTATTTGCATACCACCTTTCCACAGTTCAACCCATTCACAAGGCAGCTTACAGCATGAAAAAACACATTACAAAAGTAGTCACAAATAAGATATGGGAAAGCTAAACAAGAGAAAGACATAGCTCAGTAGATGAGTGTGTGATTTGAATGCAAAAAGTCCCAGGTTCAATCTCTGGCATCTCCAGGTGGGACTGGGAAGACTCCTGTCTGAAATCCTAGAGAGCTGTTGCCAGCCAGTGTAGACAATATGGAGCTAAATAGTAGACTCAGTATAAGGCAGTTTGATGTTTCTAATAGTGAAATGACCATCATAATGCATTAGACATACAACATACAGAAATCATCTTGGGCTTTGGACTGCATAGCTTTTGTGAATTCAGACTGAAAGATAAATCAAATGATTGTCATTTCCATACTTTTCCATTTCTGTCGTGGTGGCTTGCCAGCCTCTCTGAGAAATCCACCCTTTTTCTTTCTTAGGTGCAAGTGTAACACACTGACTGATACTAAAATGTTATCCCATGAGCAGCAATCTAATGTGAATTCACAAATATTTTGATGTCTAAAGGTGCTGAAAATCTTTGAATTTGAATTCAATATAATTCTTTATATGGGGAGCTGGTATTTATGATGGCTGTAAATACTACACTCTAACCCAGTAAAATATATCGTTACTAGGAATCATTTCATTCCTGTTAAATATAGAAACTTGAGTACCATATATTATTTGTATAGAATTAATAGTTTGTCCTGTTCATGGGATGCCCCCCTCTGGCAAGAATGCAAAATACTTAATTTTCTAAAAGTTTTTCACATTGAAATCATTATTTTGCTTATTTTTAAAATGTAGTGCTGTCAGAGAACATGCTGCTTAACAGAGCAGCATCAACTCTGTCATGCATGGCTGTGTGGTTTGTGAAAGTTCAGGGTGCACCAATTTGGAGAAGTATTACAAAAGGCCTGAAAAAAGCATCTATATTCAGTATCCTCCTGCAAATTCCCCAGATGGCATTATGGGCACCATAGGTTATCTTATCAAGGGTGTGCAACTCTTTCATAATTTGAGGCATCTGTATTGTTCAGTGTTTTAGACAATGAGCCCTGCTTACATCTATGATACTCCCATTACATCCCTCCTTCTGTTTCCATATTTTTCTTCTTCCCAAAAGTCAGTATTCTGTGGCTACTGAACATGCTCTGTCCTCACTAAGATGTTTTAGGGTTTTATTTTATTATTATTATTATTTTGTACTTTTACAAATCTTGGAGCTTTCCTGACCTGCTGATATTTCTGTCTCACGTGTGAGCTGTGCAGTCAGACAACCAGTCTACATATTGTTTTTCATTACTCACAAAGAGAGAGAAAACAGTGAAGTCTTTTGAAACCATCAGCCAGGACATTAAGACTCAAGAGATAAGTCCCGTTATGCTTAAAATTCTATATTGAAATATCAGATTTGTAAAGTGTTGCGTTGATTGCCTCAATGCCTTCGACATATGTTGTGTCAGGAAGATTTGGGCACCACAATGTAGGACAGAGTCTCCAACAAAAATGTGCTCTCCCAAGCCCACATCCCCAGCATGTTTGCACTCTTGTCTCAGTGATGTCTGCACTGGCTTAGTCATGTCCACAGAATGGAAGATGGCAAGATCCCCAAGGGCGTGCTCTATGGGGAGCTGGCTTTAGGCACTAGGTCTGTTGGCAGATCAATTCTGTTTTACAAAGATGTCTGCAAATATGACATGAAGGCTGGCAACGTCAGCCCGGTTGTGTGGGAATACCTTGCAGACAACCACAAGGCCTGGAGAAAGACAGTCGGACCGTGCATCCAGAGGAGGAATGACCTCTGGGAGGAGTGCAGAGAGAGGAAATGTCATGGTGCATCTGCAGCAGCCAACCGGACACCTTTGTCAGCCCCAGCTGCAACAAAATACGCCTCTCCCGTATTGGTCTCTACAGCCACAGCAGACACTGCAAGCTTCCAACAGTTTGACTTCACCCTCAAAGAAACACTCTTCCATTGTCTCCCAAGAAAGACAGATGCCAACCAAATAACTGTACTGAAAACATTAAACTGCCAGGTTTTTATGGTAATGCAGTCTACATCTGCATAAGAAAACTGCAAATGATTTTTTCCTTGTCCAATATTATTCACAAGTACAAACAGCTGGACTTGCCCCTTGATTCTAAATGTCCAGGTTGATGGTTTTAAAATACTTAGCTGTTTCCCCTCTCTCTTTGTGAGTAATGGAAAACAATATGTAGACTGGTTGCCTCTTGTTCTAGATATTTTGGGTATTCAGCATGCATGTGCTAGTTCTTGATAGGTATTTACTTCTTACATCTGTAGGTCACCTTAATGAAAACATTGACAAGACCCTTAACTCAAACAGTGCAAGTGTCACTGTTAGAATACCAGCACACTCTTGTTAAAGGGAATGTAAATAGATTTCAGGTACCATAATTGATTTCCCCCACTAACAGCTGTTTCCTATTTCATCTTCTAGTACTTTTGGACTTTAAGCTTGATGGTTGTCCCCCCACCTCTTTTTTTTATATAATAATAGACATGGCTTTATGGCATCTGTATTAAAAATGGGTAATTTTCCTTATGGTCCCTGTCTTCCTGCTGGGTTGATAATGTTTTGATGTATTTTTCTTGTGCTCTGATGAGAGGTCTGCTGCTGCTGCTCTGACATATTCATTTGGATGAATAATTATAACGTGCACAATGTCAAGCTGAAGATGGTAGGGTTTTGTGCGTCATGACAAGCCTAGTAGCCAGTGCAGGTGTCTCACAGCATGATCAGTAGCAGCCAGTGTATTCTGGCTCAGAGGAGACATTTTAGAATAGTCAGAAATCAGCACCAAGGGCAAGGCGGCTGCCATTGTTTCATGTGCCAAATAAACCAAGAGCTTCCCAATGACAAGTGCGAGTACATCTACTTACTTCAGATACATACTTTATTTTTTTTTCTAATTAGCCTGATAAATTTGCTCTCTACTCAGTTTTTGCCAAAATATGCAGTTAAATGCATATATTATTCAAGGGACCTTATATTAAAGCCCTCCCTTTTCCTCTGAATTTTTAGTTAAAGTACATATCCAGTAAAATATGCGATGTAGGATCTTCAAAATAAGCCTGGTGTATTTCTAGCTTCTATTGCTAAGCCTGCAATGGAATTGTGGAATATTGAATCAATAAAACACACAAAGGCTTGGATGGTTGACAAGGGGAGTTTTTTTAAAGATTTCAGATCTGATGCTTTTTTTTTTCTTTCACTGGTGGATATATCGGAAGAATCGGGAGGGGTACTGAAGAGGGGGTTCAGCTTGAGTAAATGACAAATGGAAACCATTTTCCAGGCAAATCTGAAAGAATCATAAATTACTAGGGGAAGAGACCTAGCGGGTCATCCAATCCATACCCCTGCTGTGTCAGAACCTGTTCACTGCAGTGCATTTTTCTCATGTTTTTGTCTTAATCCTCCAATCAATGTAGTGGATATTGCCTAGCCTAGCAAGTCTTTCCCTCCATTATTTAGTTGAAAGGAATTTAAATTTCTTCTTAAGTTTTAATCATGAACACTTTCTCTTAAGTTCTGTAATTGGGAATCCAGAAGATGTATTGCAAATCACTGAAGCATCTAAAATCTGTGTATTTGTGTTGCAAGATGCAGTTTAAAACTTGCAGATGAATGTTGCCAGGATGAACAACTGCATCCCTTAAGCCATAACAGGGTTTTTTTTTGGGGGGGGGGGTGGACCTTGAGGAAGCAAGAGGGAGAGAGCAAAAACTTTAGACACTCTGCTACATCATTTCCTCTAAATAGTGAATTCAATTAGTCAAGTGCCTGATCAGTTTGGAAGGAAACTGTGTGCTTCGGGTACTTGCTATGAATGCAGAAGTACCGTATTTTTCGCCCTATAGGACGCACTTTTTCCCCTCCAAAAATGAAGGGGGAATCTGTGTGCGTCCTATGGGGCGAATACAGGCTTTCGCTGAAGCTTGGAGAGCGAGAGGGGTCGGTGTGCACCGACACCTCTCGCTCTCCAGGCTTCAGGAAGGTATCAGCAAGCCTGGGGAGCCTGCGGGAGTTCCCGCAGGGCTCCCTAGGCTGCGGATAGCAGCCTGCCGCCCAGGCGTGTGGGGTGCCCTGAAGCAGAGCGACCCGCGTGCCGGGCAGACATCCGCAGCGTGGGGAGCCCTGCGGGAGTTGCCGCGGGCCTCCCCACGCTGCCGATAGCAGTCTGGTGCGCAGGGTGCCCTGAAGCACAGCGCCCCGCACGCTGGGCAGACATCGGCCAGCCCCACAAGCTCGGGGGACAGCGGGGAGGCGCAGCGCCACCATCCCGCTGTTCCCTGACCTGGTCTTGGGGGGGGGGGAAATAAAGGAATTTTTTTTCCCTTTGTTTCCCCCCCCCAAAAAAATTAGGTGCGTCCTATGGGACGAAAAATACGGTAAATAAGTTTGTAAATGAAAAGAAAATGAATTTTTAAAAGACCCCAAAAGCTACCTGACAAAAAGAGGTGTGGGACACTCTCTAAATATACCAGATCAGAGGGAGATTTGAGTCTATTGATTGTCTGTAGTTGAGGTAAGGAATGTGAGAAAGTCTTTGAAAAACACCTCTCCCTGCCCCTCAAAAGCAGGACAGTATCCTGAAGGGGTTAAGAGTTGGGGAGGATGCATGCCATGAGATTTAAAAACAAAATAAATGCCCCTTTTCACTGTCCTGCAATGTGTTCTTTTTCTCTTTCTCCATCTTTTTCTACTCACACTTCCAGTGGTGTGGGGCTGGCAATCTTCTAGCGCTATATAGCACAGCAGGAGTACAAGAAAAGTGTGAGGAGGTGGTCACACATTTGAACCTCTCTGCAGACAACTGCACAGAACATCTAGTTGCTTCAGGTAGAAAACCTGGGGTTGGAACAGGGCTAAAAGTGCTTTACATGTGAGTAACATGTGGATAGCTCTAATTTCTAAATATGGCTATTTGTTGAATCTCTCTCTGTGTGTGGAAAGAGCCAGATACTTCGTATCTTTCAAGAGTTTTATTTTACCACCATGATCTGAGCCCAGCATTGGTCATCTGCCTATCACTTTGCCTTCCTCCACCTTGTAAGACAGCAGCACTCTTCTCTAACTGTTAGTTGTCTTGGGACAGAAGAGATTAAAGTATGAATATACTCTGGCTTCTAGCACCAGCGAGGTCACCAGGGGCCAGTGGGAGATTGCACTTCCTGGCCCCATCAACTGTGTAGTGAAGGAGCAGCTGCTCCAGTGCTTGCTTATAAAATATTAGGTGCCTTATAATTGTAATCATTATTACTAATGTCATTTCTATACTGCTTTATACTTTTAAGGAAAAAAAATTCAAACCAGTTTACAACACATTAAAACATCAAATAAAACAATCCCAAATCACTGAAAAAAGTCAAACATAAAGTAAAAATTCAAAGCAACATAATTAACAGGAAACTAATTGTCTTAAAGATTTCAAATAAGTGTTAAATAAGAAAAAATTGAAAGTGAAATGGTGCAGTTCGCTTTTCTTGCTCAGTTCCTGTTTGCACTGGCTCAGCCACTCCTAAACTGAACATGATCCTTAAGCATGTCTATATTTCAATAGATGCCAGGATTGGAGATCCAAACCCAACACCCCACCACTCTGTTCTGAACAGAGCAGAGGTGCAAAGAGCTTCTGTCTTTGAGTGATGGTGGCTGATACAGATGCCCTTTCCCCGGGCACCAATGACACACCCTCAAATTTCCAAATTTGCCTTCTGCTTCCTAAAAGGCTCCATCTTACAGTACCCTGGAGATGGTGATGAAGGGCAGGCAGATGTGTATTTCGAAGTTAAAATGCTTGCTTCCCTGTGCTAATAGAGGGCTGGGGGGAAATAAAAATAGGATATGCTTTTTTTTCAAACTCTCCAGGAACGTCTGTAAGTCCCAAACAGCGCTACAGTCTGGAGCCCTCGAAAGAGCACTCTTTTTGGGGGGCTGGAGATAATTAACAATGTTTTGTTGTGGGTCCTTGCTTGTTCATATTCTTTTTTTAAAAATGCAACTAAATTCCACCCCCCCCCCGTTTATTTTGTATAAGTCACCTTTATTTGCAGGTATAATAATAAATCAGTTGGTGGAATCCAAAGATGACATTCTGTATGCAGAATACATCCTCTGCTCCTGGAAAGGCTTTTAAGTTGCACTAGATCATTTTGTGAGAAAAGAGAAACTAAATTCTGCTGGATGTTTGGGAATTGGTAGCATTATTTTCCTTTGGCTTGTACTATTGGGACTTACTCTGTGCTGCTTGTTATTTTTAATACTGTATTTGGTGATTGGTCATTAGCATCGCATCTGAAAATGGTCTGGGAGAATGTGATGGTAACTAATACCAAGATGAAGGCCTACCAGGCTTGCGTGTTGAGCTTTACGGAAGTGAGAGATGTTGAGCACCATGTTGCAGGACAGAGTCTCAAAGAAAGATGAGCTCCCCCACGTCCCCAGCATATTCACACTTCTTTCTCAGCGACGTTCACACAGGCTGGATCAGGTCCACAGAATGGAAGATGGCAGGATCCCCAATGACATGATTTCCGTGGAGCTGGCTTCAGGCACCAGGCCTGTTGTCTGACCAACTCTGCATTACAAAGATGTCTGCAAATGGGACATGAAGGCTGGCAACATTAACCCGCCTTGTGGGAATCCCATGCAGATGACCACAGCACCTGGAGACAATCAGTCAGGTCATGTATCCACAGTAGTGACCAGATGAGGAATGACCACTGGCTTGTGCATCTGCGCAACCGCATACTTTCATCTGCCCCAGCTGCAACAAAACATCTCTCTCCCCTATTGGTCTCTACAGCCACAGCAGGAGCTGTAACTCTCCAACAGTTTGACTTAACCCTCAAAGGCACACACTTCCATTGTCTCTTGAGACAAATCGATGCCATCCGGTGGCTCATACCAGAGTTTCACTGTAACTTGTCCCTCTAAAATCACGAAGCGGCAAAGTCACTCTTTATTCCTTTACCAAGTATCTTGTCACAGATAAAAATGGAATCCATGCAAATTGCTTAAAGGGGAAATGTTCAGAAATAAACTGGTTGAAGTGTAAAATGGATGATAAATTCCTCCATGATTTGCATGACAAAGTAATGCAGCTGATTTTCAGATAGAGATTTAGATATGCATATGGAAAGTCAGTTGGCAACATCAATGAAGCATGCAAATAAGATCAGATGAGCAGATCACTTTAAGAAAAGATTTGGCCACCTTTTAAGGAACATCATCGAAAAATTGCAATTAGTATTAAAATTAATTGGATTTCAAAATGTATCTGTGGATTCTAATCCCTTGATGTTTCTTTATTTCTACTGGAAACCCTTTGAATTCCCTAAAGATAAAGATAAAAATGATTATTAGAGGATTTATCTGTATGTGATGTAGGGAAATGTGAAAAATCAAAATGGAAAGCATCTGTTGCAAGTACCAGAAAATTATGCTATTAATTTAAGTGTCATCAGAGCACAAAAGATCACATTCCAAGACAGTGTGAAAATTATTAAAATACTGGAAATAATAGTACTTAAGATGAAGATATTATGCTCTAAGATCTGGTTAAGTGACTGACACTATTATATCACTTCAGGTATTATAAAAGTAACAAAATGCTTTTAAAGATAATAAGCGTTACATTTTGAGATTGGCAGTATTCACACTTTTCTGCTTAAGTGCTTTCTCACTTTAATATAATTTAATAACAGTAGGGGGAAAATCCAACATTTTCTTTCTCAAGCTCTGCCCTTCCTTCTTTCAATATTTTTCATGTAACAACAAAAAAATGCATCTAAGCAATTTTTGCAACACCCAAAACTTCATTTTTGCCTTTTGACACTTTGGCTAAAAGACCCATATTTGTTCTTTACTCTTAGAAGATATAATTTCAGTTCATGGTGCTTTAGAATTGAATACTACATAACTCTGTTAAAAATAATAATACCACACACCTAAAATACCTTGCTGCTGTACTGTAATGAAATTTATATATACATGTATAAACTCTGACATTATACAATTTGGTGATATACGGGCTCTACCAGATGTCCCTGCTAATTTTGCCAAAGGACCCTGGGGTCTCCCAGAGTCTAATTTAAAAGTGTGTTAAATGTAACAGGAGAGCAACCACACAAGTTTCTCTCTCTCTCTCTCTTCCTGCTGAAATGTGAGTCAGCAGTTGGTTCTTAGCACACATTTTAGTTAGCCCCCACCCCACCCCCACATTATTGGCAGAAGATTATACTGGATACAGTTGTAACGGGATTCCTTTAATTGCAGCATATTTCTAGGCTTCCTGGTATTCTAAATCACTTGATGTTAATTGTGTTGTGCTGTATGTGTTAGAGGCCTTGCAATGCAAACCTGATGTTCTCAGAGGTAAATATCAGATATTCTTGGTGGTTGTTTTTTTATTGACCACTGAATCCATTTGTTATGAGTTAAAAATAAATTTTAAAAATAGCTTTGAGAAATAAGCCATGTTTCCCCTGCTTTCAGCATGGAATACTTTGCATTGGATTCCCCCCTCCCCCTTTTTTTTAATAGTTTGAAAGGTGACTCATAGCATAGCTCAAAAATGCAGGATTTGTGTGGCCTGTTCAAAACTCTAAAGTGTTTTGGGGGAAATTCCAGTCTCCCCCCCCCCCCGCCACATATTTTACTGTTGGATGTATGCTAGACTTTAAACTGTTGGAACAGGCTGTTATTAAAAAGCTATTCTGTATTGCTGTTGGTAAAGTGCCATCTATAAAATTTGTTACAATTTCCTTCTCTCTCAGAGCTCCTTATTAAGCATTCACAGTCAGTTCTTGGCAGCATTAGAATCATTGAAGGAGTTTTGGAATGCTCTAGATGAAATTGATGAGAAGACCTGGGTACTTGAGCCAGAAAAACCCACACGGAGTGCCACAATGCGAAGGATTGCCGTTGGTAAGAATAAAAAGGACAACTTCATGTTGACTTCAGGTTAATGGAGATCACAGAAACGGAAATGCAAGACGTTTAAAATTATTAGTTTTCATGCGAAAATGTGGCTTTAAAACAGAACACATTGATTAATATCAGCTATTAAATCTGACATCGTTTCACGAACAGTGCAGTATCAAATCACAATGTGTCAGAATTTAGATTGCAAGTTCCTTGACTAACTTTTAAGTCCCATAGAATTCAGTAGCATAACCATCCCTTGGTTTTTAGATGGTGCATGCAAATGTCACAGCAAGTGCTGTCACAGAAGACTCGTTGCATGCTTCTTTCAAGATTCTACCTGCCTTCCATAGCTTTTTTTGAACATGTGAATTAAAAAGTATTTAACATTTTTTAAAAATACACCTGCTGTTTGAATAATTTGGTGGTGTTTTTTTTTAATTGATTAAAAGTAGTTTTAATCGATACCTCTGACCAATGAAGCAACTAGCTAATGTAAGCCTAATGAATAAAAAAACATGTTATAAATAAGAAGTGGGAAAGCAAAGCATGTGAAATGGATAAGGTCTGATGTATTGTTTTTAGAAATGACCGGCACCATGTTTTGGGCTCAAAGCCTAAACTAAGATTGCTCTTGCAGATTCCTTTTGTGTGTGTGAAGCTTAGTTGAGTAAGGATGAAACTATATGTAGTTATAGCTCTGTTCATCTACATGTCTGTTCCAGGAAACAACATTTCAATTAATATAGAGGTAGATCCCAGACACCCCACCATGCTTCCTGAGTGTTACTTTCTTGGAGCAGACCACGGTAGGATGACTCCTATTTAAAAATCCATTTTGTCAATCATAATAGCTTTTCTGTCGCAGTGTATATCACTTTATGCTTACCGCAGGTTAACTTTATACTAAATTGAGTCTACTTGTTTCAGGCAGACCAAGCTAGAAGCACACCATTGACCTTAATTTTTTGAAAATTGTGTGTGCGTGCGTTGCTCAGAAAAACGTTGAAGATTCAATACATTACAAAACAATTTTGCACTGTTTAATATATTGCCAACCTGTTCTATAAGATGAATTTAGCTGCAGTGTTACAGAAAGCTATACTGTGCCCCATGTCTTCTTGGTGGGCTGCATGTCAGTTCTCAATCCATTGAAAAAAGCTGCAGTAAAAGCCTGGGAACTAAGGTTTGGCCAAAGGCAGATGGGTTTCTGGTGACTAATATGCCCCGAGATTTATTCAAAGCTGAGTTGTTTCCAGTTCTGTCAATATATTTGTATAATGTCATTATGGAATTGGCAGTTTCATTTTCAGTCCCTTTCCTATGATCCACCAAATGGAATTTGCCTTTTCACAGCAGTTGCATACCTTGAGCTGATTTTTTTCGTTGAGGCTGCAGTCATTGCCTATTAAGCCCCTATCAGCATATCTGTGAAATTAGGAGTTTTTACCTCAGTGTGCATCGACTTGCACTTATTTAGTTTGAACTGCACTTGCCATTTTACTAGCCTGTTCAGCCAAATTGGAGAGCTACTTAAATGGTGAATAATATAATATCATCCACAGACTTTGCTATCTCGTGACTCTTTCCCTCAAACTCTGCATCATTATAAGCAAGTTAAAAAGACAGAGGACCCTATATAGATCCATGGGCAATATCTCTTTAAAATAATTTATATCCAGATCTTAATCCCCAACAAGATCAGAGTAGTATACAGTGAATGCTAGTGATGTGCTGGAAATGTTTGTTTTTAGAGCGGGATGGGGATTTGTTTTTGTTCTTTTACCATTCTCTATTAAGTAATAAAAAAAGGTATTCGAAGGGGAGGAGAAATTTCAGTGAAATTTTCATGGGTTTCCGTGAGTGTTCTTTCATTCTGCAAATAATATCTCCCGTGGTCTGCACTCTGCAGGCTTCCTGAAAAACCCATGGCATCTATGACTGGGCTTTCTTGTAAGTGCCATTCAGAGATGTAATAACTAAACATTTAATGTCTGTAAACATTGTGCCTTGCATTGCAAAATTACTTAAAATCAACAATGCAGAATACAGGGTACCCAGTTACATGATGTGCTATATGCAGCATGCCTAACCTTGCAGTGCATGGACTTACATATCCAGCTGCCTTGTGAGCCAATATGCAGAAAAGTGGTGTATGCATAGAAAAATTAATACATGCCTGATAATTGAGAATTCATTCTCTGCTGAATCAGGCAGCCCGGGGGTGTCACTGTTTTTATTATGACTGTGTTGTGCATTTTGCATATTTACGATGTAAAACTGTGATAAATAAATGTAATAAATAATAATAAACAGCATAAAAGTTTAGGTTGTAGCTGCCCTCCTCCTCCTCCAGTCCCCATTGTCCCCTTTGAAGGAAGTCTGTTAGTAGAATGCTCTCGGGAGTAGCGCCAACACATATGATTTTTATTTTCAGTGGTAAATCCCTTGAAAGTCAAGCTGAACAGCAACATACACCTGTGGTAAGTGTGTTTGGTTGTAGACATTTAGTTCATAGCTTTGTTGGGAGTGTTGATACTTTATTTTCCTTCTTCTTTTCAGGGATCCAGAACTCAGTTTACTACAAAATCTGAAAGAGGTTTTAGAGATTGATTTTCCATCTCGAGAAGCTCTAGAAAAATCTGTAAGTGGCTCTGTGGTTATTATGTTCATATTTTGAATACCATGGCAAAAGGGAATTCTGTAGCATAACAAAATAATAGGAACATTAATAGGAACATGTGATTAAGACAGCCAAAATAAGCTTCACTTCATTAGTTTTAAAGATTTGTTAAAATGTTTACCTCGTCTCAGTAAGAAAAATTTGAAATATGACAGAGTATGAAAGAAGATAATAAATTACTATTTATTTATTATGTTTAAAATTTGTATGCTGCTCTATACCTGTAGATCTCAGGGCAGTTCACAATAAAAAGAAACCAAATACAATTTACAATAAAGGGTCGTTGCATGATTCATCGAGTTTTATTCTTAATAAGGACATGATTAAAGCTCAAAACACATTCTTAAAATAGGCAGACTACAGCTCCCATCATGCCTGAGCACAGGCCATGCCGGCTCATAGTTGGAAGGTGCAACACACTGGCCACCCCTGTTCTAACAAATGACCATTTCACATTTCCCTCTGTGTGCGAGTAACGGGATAATACCCGCTACCTACGGATAAATGTATTAAAAATAAAGGGTAAAAAAAGCATTTTCTAATCAGTTGGGGGATGCCTTCAGTTGATAACAATTTTAAAGTTTAGTCCTTAATAAATTACCATAAATGGACTCTTGTACATTTTCTTATAAACAATAAGCCAACCACAAATGTAATTGTTTAAAATGGGTGAAACAAGTTGACATGCTTTATTCTATGTGCTTGAGCTGCGTTCCATGTTTTTTTAGGACTTCTCTATGGATTGCGGGATCTGCTACGCTTACCGTCTTGATGGGACTATTCCAGACCAAGTCTGTGACGACCCCCGCTGTGGCCAGCCTTTCCATCAAGCTTGCTTATATGAGGTAGAGCAATTTACGGTAGCGTTCTAGGATTATGGAATGGAAAATTGATGGGTGGGTGCAATCATACGGGTGCTCTTTTGTACTGTTCTTGGACAGGAGGCATTTTTTCCTGCAGCCTCCAGTGCCCACATCCGCAAAATAAATGTTCTGAAGAATGCTTGTAGATAGCACATTGAAGCTGTTTGTACTCCTGATACAAACCAATCTTACATGTTGTGTTTGATCACGCATTATATGCCAGTCAGCATATAAGCATGTTTCACCACAGATGTGTGAAATTTCAAAATTTTGGTTTAGACTCACAGCACAGGAATGTTGTGCTGCAAAGGAAAATGCAAAAGATCACACAGTTCCAGTTGGGGTTAAATTGAAATTGTAAAGTTTTGTGACAAAACTGAATAGCCTGGACCATATACTTGGTCTTGAGTAGTGTGTGCCAAAATGTAGGTTGAGGATCCTTAAAAGATCCCTGTTGATTAATTTACTGGTAGGGTAGTGCTGTGGGTTAAACCACAGAGCCTAGGACTTGCCGACCAGAAGGTCGGTGGTTCGAATCCCCGCGACAGGGAGAGCTCCCGTTGCTTGGTCCCTGCTCCTGCCAACCTAGCAGTTCGAAAACACGTCAAAGTGCAAGTAGATAAATAGGTACCGCTCCGGCAGGAAGGTAAACGGTGTTTCCATGCGCTACTCTGGTTCGCCAGAAGCGGCTTAGTCATGCTAGCCACATGACCTGGAAGCTGTACGCCGGCTCCCTCGGCTGCAACCCCAGTGTCGGCCACGACTGGATGTAATGGTCAGGGGTCCCTTTACCTTTAGGGACAATACCTGGTGGAGAAGCAGCCACTTTTGTTCTCACCAGGACCAAGTGTGGCCAAATATGCTCAGCTTGGCAGCTGGCAAATAGATTGGGGGTAGGATTAGATATTTCTGGAGCTCTTCTACTCAGACGATGGGGGCAGGTTTGTTTCCTAAAAATGAGGACAACCAGTTACACCAGGCTTTGCTTTCTCTGTCCTGCTAGTCAAAAACTCATGCTTTGAGCAGCCACCTGGAGAGTGAGACTGGGCAACATGATTTAAGGCCTTGAATAGTAAGAGAGCTTGCTGTATTTGAGGCCTATTCTTTGGAGTCTTTTCCTGGGACTTACCTAATAACATGCATTTCTCTGTAGTGGCTGCGTGGACTTCCTTCCAGTCGGCAAAGTTTTAATGTCATATTTGGTGAATGTCCATATTGTAACAAGGTAAGGAAAGCAACGTAGTTGCTGGATAATTGGAACTGTTTCTGTATGAGCTTAAGTTAGGGTTTCAAAATACAACTGAAATTGGCTTGTCTTCTTTTAGGAGACTTTGCTGCAAAGTTACTGTCGTGCACATACTTAAATCTCTCAGATACCGGTGTCTCTTGATACTTAGCGGGGGGGAATTATTCTTTGTAATAAATACCTTGGAAAGTACTGTAAGCAAAATTCAAGTACTTTATTGATTTTTAATTTTGTAACAACTCACCTTGCTTTGAAAAACCATTCCAGCCAATAACACTGAAAATGTCTATGAAGAAAGTCTGAAGTGGAATTTCAGAAGCCTGTAACTATGTAAATGTACAGTCTTAAGAATGCTAACACATTAGACATGATATCAAAGAAAATACACAGAAAGCAGTATTAAGAAGAAGAGGACAATGATGGTCATCATGTATTGGTACAATTCTTTACGAAGTCCAGACGCTTCATGAAGTCCAGACTCCAAAGTGCTGCATATAGAAGAGCTAGTCGAAGTCTGAAAGCGTTGTGGTTGAAAGGCTTCAGAATATGTAACTCCATTTCCTATGAATTTTTCCTCAATTTGCCAGAAGGTGTTGCAGATAGGTTGTGGCTCTCTACTTTTCTGAGAAGGAAGAAGAAAACAAATCTATCCATATCTTCAACAGAGATCTGCATGAGAACAAATATTTAAGCTCTGGTATTTTCATAAATATATATAAGTGACTTTTTTATACAATAATAATAATAATAATAATAATAAACTCATGGTGCAAAGATAATTGACTAAGTGTAATAATTCACCAGATACATTTATAACAGCTTTTCTATGTCCATTATCTCAGTTATTCTTTTCACAGAAAGCCCATTGCAAAAAGCCATACCAATGTCCTACAAAGTAATCCTCCTTGTTTGTATCTCTTGAAGACTGAATTTGTTTAGCCAGCTTCTGTAATAAAGCCGTATGCTGAGCATCGAGACACCTTACAGGAAGGGATTGACAGTCCAGTTTTGGGCTATGACTTCTCTTTCAGCCAACAACAGAAATGATAGCCAAAATACAGAACTTCCAGAATGTCATCATAATTTTTACAAGGCAAGTGGGGGGTGTTACACCTATTCAGGCAATTCTACATTCAGCACTCCCACTATATCAGCATATAAGTCCCTATGGTTTTACGTTTCCTCCAGCTTTTTCAGTGTTACATACCAACTTATAGTTGAAACGAGTCAGGGTTAGGAAGCTTGCAGGACAATTAACAGCACTCCTCTGGATAATTCAGTGATTGAGCTGGGAAAGAAGGGCTCTGGTGGTCCTTGAGGTATCTTGGGCCCAAGTTGCTCAGGGCTTCACATATTAATAGAACCGTGAACCTGGCTCAGTAGCCTATGAGCATCACAGATGCTTCAAGCTGCCTGCTGAACTCACCTTGACTAACTTCCTCCTGTAAACATCGGTTGTGGCTCCAGCTGGCTTTCCTCCAGTCTCAGCGGGCTAGGAAGAACAAACAGAACTAGCCAGTAGTAAAAGCCTTTAGAGTAAGGGTGAAGTTTGGGGGGTGGGGGGAATGCAACCAGCAGCTGGCTTTAAAGTAACACATTTCTTGCCTCGGGGAGAACATAGTTCATAGGAAGATCTATTAAGGTGACACAGGTGTATATGCAAGTTCGGGACGAACGCCTTTGAAGTAACAGAATTGTAGAGTTGCAAGGGTCCCTGAGGGTCATCTTAATTCTGTTCCGCTTTTAGTGGAGAGCAAAAGGGCTCAGGGGCGGGGGCTGCCCACAGAAGCAGTGCCGCCACCCCTGGGCTTACAAAGCCTTCATGTGTGGTAGCTGCTTTTCAGCCTTCCTCTCTCTCCCCTGTGCATAGCAGTGTATGTGTGGGCCAGGGCACATAGTAAATGCTTTTAGAGTTTACCCAGGTATGTGTAGAATACTTGCATTGGTATGGGTTTTAATGGGCAACAGCAAGTCAGCCCCAGTTAGCAGAGGAGAAAACAATCATTAACCTTTCTAAATTTCAGAAGACCTAGCACTTAGAACATGAGAAGCTATACTATACTAACTGGTCATATTGGTTTAAATGATTGTGAAAAGGGGAACGTGTTAAGTTCTCAAGGGCCTGTACCATTTCAAAGTGGGGTAGCATCACAGCATCCATCAAAATCCTGTCCCCCACCTATCCACGGCTTATGGGCAACGTACATTGCAGGAAAAGTAACCTTTGTTTGGCCATTTCTCACCTGCGCTTAATATTTTCCAAGGTGTGCAGGGAGTGGGGGAATGTACAGCTAGAAAAGCAGGAGTTTTCCACAAGCCAGGTACAATTTAATGCAGCAATTTTATTTATTTTAAGAACTCACCGCTTCATTCTGAAGCTGCTTGCTCAGCCCAGCCAGCATCTGCTCGTCTTGTCCTTGGCTGCTTTGCATTCCCACAGCGGCTCTTCTACGGTAGGAGAGGTCCTTGCTTTCGAACTCCTTTCCCTTCTCGTCTTTAACTTGCCTTGGCACTGGCTTTGGCAAATCAACCTGTTAAATGTACAAGTTGAGTGACTCGTGCAGCTGCTACTCCTGCTTTACAGAATCTGTTCCATATACTGCGGCTTGTGTGTGAAATGAATGGCTTCTGCGCAACTTCTAGCAAAAGCACCACTAATCCGCCAACACAAGGAACGGCCAACATTTACCGCGAGTTGGAACTGCACAGGGCAGTCATTTCGTTGAGCTCTTGAGCAGAGTGCTTGCACTTGTGCTATCCTAAGGGGCAACGTTATTTATTGCAAAAATTTGTTCCAAGGATTCTTAAAGAACTCTTAGATGAATGTTATTAACCTTTACTGGATGCAAAACCAATAAGTCTCTGTCAATTAAGCTTGCATTAACTATATCTAAGTAAGTTGTTTTTATTGTGGTGATTCTAATTAATGTCAGTGCCTGGAATGAGAAAATAATCACTACTTATTCCATTAGTGAGGTGATCCGACCCGCCCTAAATGGGGCGACAAATTTCTCATCTTCCCCATAATACTGATATACTTGCTCTCGGGGCACCCTGAAAGGTCATGCAGCGCCCCCCTGCCCACTTGAGAAGCTGCATTTACATTAAAAATGTTGTTTCACTGCTAAGAATATCATTTGTCAAATTTCTAGGTTGCCCTCCCTGGGATTATTTTATTTTTAACTTGCAGCAACGACATGTAGTAGGGTGAACTGAGCAATACGTTGAGTGAGCTGCACTCTTCAAGCAACAATTGAAGTGTGGATTTCCCATGTCCATTCCCTTACAGGAGGAGAGGGCAAAAGGCAGACTGGGATCTACTGGTCGATGGCTGGGTGATCTGTAATAAATAGGCAAAGGCTTCCAAATCCCAGTAGCAACAAAAGTAGTACCTCCCCCCCCAAAAAAATAAATTAAGATAGAATCTGTATTAGTTGATATATATTTGTTCTTATATATTCAGGTTAAGGCAACGTACTTCTTACTGCAGAGCTAGGGAATCTGTCGCCCTGCATATGATGCTGAACTCCTAACTGCCATCAACCTCACCAACCATGGTCAATAATCTGGGATGCTGGGAGTTGTATTCCAACAACATAAGGAGAGGCACAGCCTCCCTGTACCTGTCTTATAAGGTGAACTGACCCATCCTATGATGGTGACTAATTCAACGGTTCTCAACCTGTGGGTCCCCAGATGTTGGACGACAACTCCCATCATCCCTGAGCTCTGGCCTTGCTAGCCAGGGGTGATGGGAGTTGTAGTCCAACAACATCTGGGGACCCACAGGTTGAGAGAGGCTGCTGTAATTTGTTTTAAATTCTTGTATTATACCTTGGAGCTTAGGGTGAAGGGTAGATAATAAAGGGGGGGGAGTTGCATCTGAACCTGTCTATAGCCACAGTGACTAATAACCATTGAAAGGCCTTCCCTAAGTTAAATTGTCCAATCCCCTTTTTATGGAGTTGTAGAGTTGGAAGGGACCCTGAGGGTCATCTAGTCCAACCCCTGCAAGGCAGTAATTTCAACTAAAGCATCCATGAAAGATGCCCATCCAGCCAAAAAACTTCCAAAGAAGGTGAGTCCACAAGTCCCGAGGGAGTCTGTTCCACTGTCAAACAGCTCTTACTGTCAGAAAGTTCTTCCTGATGTTTAGTCAGAATTTTTCTTGTAAATTGAAGCCACTGGTTTGAGTCCTACCCTCTGCAGCAGAAGAAAACAAGCTTGTTCCCTCTTCCGTGTGGCAGCCCTTGAGATATTTGAAGATGGCTATCATATCTCCTCTCAGTGTGCTCTTTTCCCAGGCTAAACACACCCAGCTCCTTAAACTGTTCCTCATAAAGCGTGGTTTCCAGACCCTTGATCATCCTGGTTGCTCTCTTCCGCATGCATTCCACCTTTAAAAACACCTGTGCCTGCATCCATCAGTACAACTTCTGGCATCACGACGAATAGCCTGCTTCACAACAGACATTTCAATATCTAAATAGCCCAAGTGACTAGGTGCCTTTTCCCACTACAATCACATCCTTCAGTCTTTGCCTGCTCCACACTGGGAATACAGAGCAGTCCTTGCACCACTTCTTCCTAATGCACAGGCGTCAATGGCAACAAGAAGGTATTATAAAGGTAAAGACTGGATGGTTAAGTCCAGTCAAAGGCAACTATGGGGTTGCAGCACTCATCTCACTTTCAGGCCGAGGGATCCGTCGTTTGTCCATAGAGTTTTCTGGGTCATGTGGCCAGCAGGACTACACTACTGGCACACGGAGGACCGTGACGAGTGCCAGAGAGCATGGAAATGCCGTTTACCGTTCCTCCGCAGCTGTACCTATTTATCTACTTGCACTGGTGTGCTTTTGAATTGCTAGGGTTGGCAGGAGCTGGGACAGAGCAATAGGAGCTCACCCCATTGCACAGATTCGAACTGCCAACCTTCTGATCGGCAAGCCCAAGAGGCTCAGTGGTTTAGACCTCAGTGCCACCCACTTCTCCTAATGTATTATATCTCTACAGTGGTGCCTCGGGTTACAAACACTTTGGGTTACAGACTCCGCTAACCTGGAAGCAGTATGGGTTAAGAACTTTGCCCCAGGATGAGAAAAAGAATTTGCACTGCAGCAGGAGGCCCCATTAGCTAAAGTGGTACCTTGGTTAAGAACAGTTTCAGGTTAAGAACAGACCTCCGGAACGAATTAAGTTCGTAACCAGAGGTACCACTGTACTTGAGATCAGGTATGTGGTCTCCCATTCATTCAGAGATGTGTTGGGATTTCTGGCTTTGTAGGTTGGAGTTTTGAACAATTAACGGGTAAATGCTTCCAGTACCGGCTAATTTGGAGCCATTTTTAATCTGATCACGTGGCAATATATGCAAGATTATTCACTCTCCTTCTCCCCCAGAATCCAAACTGATTATCGCCTTCATTGTATTCTGTATGGCTACTCCATTTTCACCTACACAATCGTTAACTGAATTGGGGGTGAAGTACAATGCTTTTCAAACTCAAAAGCAGTTGAAGCTTTTCACAGAAAATGGACTTTCCTGCCTTTATTCCCTATTTGCCGACGGTTCACAACACGCTATATTTTAGAATACCCTCGAGTCAGAAACAGCTCTCAAATCTGAGATGATGCAAGGTATGCATTTCATGCTAATGAAAGAGGATATTTGAAATCTCCACGAAAAACTCAGAGGATGATGGGGACGAGGTTCAAGTCATCTGCAAACAGCACAGTTCTCTCCCTGACCTTGTTATTGGCCATTAAAAATACTTCTGCCTGTGTCTGAGGAACAGAAGCTGTGATAATTGACACTCCTCGCTCATGGACTTTAAATGGGGTTATGCACTTGCAAATAGCAAATACTATTGCAGATCTCTCTTTTCTTGCAATCAAAGTTCAGCAACATCTTGTTTGACATCAATATCCAAGGTAAGTTTTAAGCTAAATACAAAACGTAATAGATTTCTGCGCTTTTGGAGGAAATGGAAGAGGGGGAAAGGGAAAAGGAACTGCTTTGTCCAGTGGACTGGTAGAGTTTCAGGGGATACTCTCCATAACCCAGCCTGTACAAAAACTTAATCTTTCCAGAACCCTGGAACTGGCATAATTGGGATGAATAGTCCTTTTTCCAAACATTCTTCTATGACCCCCTACTTGTTTTCCTGCGCAGGAGCTGGACACAGAGCGGGTGTGAGGGGTCCTGGCCGGTTGTCACTGGCTAGCTCAGTTGGTGAGAGCCTGGTGCTGATAACGTCAAGGTTGCAGGTTCGATCCCCAGATGGGATAGCTGCATATTCCTGCATTGCCAGAGGTTGGACTAGATGATCCTTCCTCAAGGTCCCTTCCAACTCTACAATTCTATGATTCACCTGATTAGGCAGAAAGCCTGTCCAGCGGAAATGAGAAACTGTTGACCTTCTGGCACCCTGCCCTTCTTGTCTAAACAAAATGGCTGTGTTACACTTGCAGTAAAGGGTAAAGGTAAAGGGACCCCTGACCATTAGGTCCAGTCGTGGCCGACTCTGGGGTTGCGGCGCTCATCTCGCTTAATTGGCTGAGGGAGCCGGCGTACAGCTTCCGGGTCATGTGGCCAGCATGACTCAGCCGCTTCTGGTGAACCAGAGCAGTGCACAGAAACGCCGTTTACCTTCCCGCCGCAGTGGTACCTATTTATCTACTTGCACTTTAACGTGCTTTCAAACTGCTAGGTTGGCAGGAGCAGGGACCGAGCAACGGGAGCTCACCCCATTGCGGGGATTCGAACCACTGACCTTCTGATTGGCAAGTCCTAGGCTCTGTGGTTTAACCCACAGCACCACCCACGTCCCACACTTGCAGTACCTAGCCCCAAAACGACTGGTCAAAGTGTCCTGTTGGCATGTGCTATGAAAGGGACGGACCTTTGTACAAGTCCAAAATTGGATGCTTCCCAGCCCTTGTTCTGCCTTCCAAAGCCAGATAAGGGAGGTACCGGTCTCTGACAGAGGTCTAAAGCCCTCCCATCTCCTTCCCAAAGCTGGACAACTGCTAACTAGGCTTTGGAAAGGAGGCAGGAAGACTCTAGGACCCTGTAAGAGCTTTCATGCCTCCTTCCTGAGGCCCAGTGATTATTAGGATTTGGGACAGAGACAAGAAGGCTCCCCCTTGGCCTCTGCACCCTGTGCAGGGGAACCAGTCACAATGCCCTAAATCCGCAACTTTATGATAAACAGTGACTACACGTCAGCAAGCCAAATCTGCTTGTGCTGGACCAACAAACTGACTTTTCCTAAGGAAATGGAACACACAAGATACATATCACAGAACTAGTTCATTGAAGCAAGATGGTGGGTTAAGCTTGTTTCTCTCGGGTTGTTATTGTTTAGTCGTGTCCAACTCTTTGTGACCCCATGGACCAGAGCACGCCAGGCACTCCTGTCTTCCACTGCCTCCCGCAGTTTGGTCAAACTCATGCTGGTAACTTCAAGAACACTGTCCAACCATCTCGTCCTCTGTCCTCCCCTTCTCCTTGTGCCCTCCATCTTTCCCAACATCAGGGTCTTTTCCAGGGCATCTTCTCTTCTCAGGAGGTGGCCAAAGTATTGGAGCCTCAGCTTCAGGATCTGTCCTTCCAGTGAGCACTCAGGGCTGATTTCCTAGAATGGATAGGTCTGATCTTCTTGCAGTCCATGGGACTCTCAAGAGTCTCCTCCAGCACCATAATTCAAAAGCATCAATTCTTTGGCGATCAGCCTTCTTTATGGTCCAGCTCTCACTTCCATACATCACTACTGGGAAAACCATAGCTTTTCTCTCGGGTAGCATCTCCCAATGTTGCCCGGCAAGTTGCTTTTGAAGTGAACAGAAGTTTAAGAACCTAAGAAGAGTCCGCTGGGTTGGGCCAGTGGTTTCCACGTAGTCTAGCATCCTGGCTGCTCAAGTGCTTATGGGAACTCCAAGCAGGATCTGAACATCTTCCAGCAGCTGGAATTCAAAAGCGTGCCGCCTCCAACAGTGGAATTGTTAAGGTGACATTTGGGAAAGAAGGGTCAAGAGTTTGAAGAAGAAAAAACACTTCTGGATCGCAACCACTGGCTAGGACCCCCAAATACCATCAGCATCATAGTTCTAAGTCCAGATTTGTTGTGCATCAATAAATCAAACAGCAACCACATAGCAAAGCAGTTTTGAAATGAAGGGAAATACCCAAAGTTTGCAAAATGGCTTGGTAAGGGGGAGTGATCCACAGTTCGGGGGGAAAGTCAAAATCCCAGGGCAGGGACATCTGTGCAAATTCCTAAGACTACTGAGAGCACTTTGAATTACAGCTGTTGCTGCTGTTTTTATAAAGTTCTAAATGGTTGTCTAAAGCAGAAGAGGTAACCCAAGTCACTTTCCCCTTCAATCTAGCAGCAAAAATATATGCAGCCCAACTTAACGCAGGTAGTTCTGACTGTCATAGGCAGTAGTTACTAGTTGGTAGTTCTGACTGTCATAGGCAGTAGTTACTAGTTCTTAAATCTGCACATTCAAGAATGGGCGAGGGGAAATCAAATTGGCCGAACATCAGAAGTTTAGAGAGCAGATGCCTTTTGTGAAAAAGGAAAAAAAAAGAAACTTACATATTTCAATTAACTTTAGAAAACTACAAATTGCAGAAACAGAGAGCCACCGCTCAAATTAGCATAGATTAAATGGTGACCACAACAGCAAGCAAACTACTGTCAAAGAAATGGCTTTTTGCTTTGTTGTAAAAGTGATAAAAAAAAATACCAAAGTCTATAAAACTCGGGGGGGGGGGGGGAGAGTCTTGGTAATTACCAAGATCAAAATCCAGTAGCTTTTTATTAAAGATGAACTTTTGTTCTGCTTTTCTACACAATGTAAATAGTGCTGACAATTGGGTTTGCAAAGGCATTCGCTACAATAAAATGTAATTGTATCATGAGAGAAAGGTGACAATCGGGAGATCATGAAAAAATTACATATTCTCACTGGTAGTTAATTAGCCATGCAAAAGCCCCTCAAACAGAGATTCTCTTCTATTAGGAATGATTACTATGCAGACCTACAGATGTCAATACTGGAGTCATTCAAATACTTCTTTCGCTACTAATTGAAGGTTGTAAAGCTCTGGTGCCAAGGTTTGGCTTCCAAAGAGCTAATTTATGACTAGGCGGCTATTTTATGTCTTCAGTTGCAGCAGCTACAGAACTCGGCAAATCAGAACCATCTGTGCACCGGGATTTGAATCGCCATTCATCTCGCAGCCCATCAGTCGCATTAGTTTGCATCCCACATTTTTTTGGCTCATGTACCATTCTGACAGTCCAAAGTTCACGAGGAATATTAAAAATGAACTGATGCCTTGACCCTGCCATATTGTGTCAGCAAAGGCTGCGGGCTCATATGGCTACTAACATCCCTGGCCGACGCTCCTAATCAGGCCCTGTGAATACTGCTAATTACACCGGTCTAAGTTTATTAAAAACAAAGTGGTTTGCATTTATTTGTTGGTTAGCTGTATATTGACAGGACTGGGAGGCAGAAAGGGAAGAGTGTGTGCGTCTCAAAAAGCGAGCATGCGCCAAAATTCGAGGAAAGCAGCTTCTTGAAGGCCAGAGCAAAAAGAAAGAACAAAGTTATTTTAGGGGAACAATGGTTGCATCAATAAAGGCAACTCGGCTTCTGATCCATTCTGAAAGGACAGCTGTCATCCAAAGCTGTCCCTTGTGAACAACTCTGGCACTATCCCACTGCACAGGAAGCAAAAAAATTTGCACAGATCTTACTGTTTGGAGCTGTGGTTCCCAACGTGGGACATACCCCCCACAGGGCGGCAATTTGATTTTTAAGGGGGGGGGGCAATTTGATAATGAGTTATTAATAGTGAATGGCCTTTTAGGCTTCCTCCGCGTGAATAGGACTTCACTTTTTGAATAATAAGAATTATATGTCACCGGGGAAGAGGGGGTGACATCAGGATTTTAGAGATGCTTAGGTGGGGCATGGCCAAAAAATGGTTGCGAACCACTGGTTTGGAGGGAAGAAAAGAGCTGTGGGTCAAAAATTGAGTTAGGGCAGTTTCCCTCTGGTAGGATGGCATCCAACCTCTGAACATAACCCTCAATCTTTCCTTGGATATCGACAAGCAAATCATCCTGTTGGGAGAAGGACCTCTGTAAGGGCACTTCCTCTCCTTGCCCCAGCCCCCCCCCCAAAAAAACTGTTCTGAGGTTCCTCCCAAAACTCTAGGGCATATTGGGGGGAACAGGGGTGTGTGGGGAGAGGAAGCCCCATTGCATGGGATTATGTCTTTAGGTGCAACCTTAAACATGTACTTTAACATTTTACATCATCAGCTCCTTCGTTGAGTAGAGAGGGGGAGACTCATCCTTATATAGTGAATCTCTGGCTCCACCCATTAAGTTACTGTTGCTTAAAAAATATAGTGATATTTCCTTTGTTGGCAACTAACTTCCAAAAAGTAGCACTTAAAAAAAAAATACGTACCGCTTCCACGAGCGTCACTTTCCCCCACGTTAAATTTAGCTGTAAACGAAACTATTCCTTAACAGGACATGTGTTAGATTTATCCAGCCTTGACCAAATCCAATGGCTATGTACTTACTTTCTTGTGTTTAGCAGCAGATTCATTTGGAGGTCTTTTGGCAGCGGTAAAATTCAGCGCCCCATTGCAACAGACTCCTTTGTGTTCCAGACCATCCAGGAGGATTTTCCTTAGCGCTTCATAATCAGGCTTTTCCTTGTACGCTAAATCAGATGCATTTTTCAAAAACCTGGCTATTTCACCTATAGAAATACAACATTCAATTTGTTTGAGATCAGACATTTTTTAAGGATGCAAGAGCTTTGCTGCATCCAAAAGCCTCTCTGGCCCACGTTAAGCTTTCCAAAGTGGCCAACCAGAGGCTACTGAGAAACCCCCATCATTTCCTTGGCTGAAATACGCAGACATATATTAGCAAGTATTTCTTCTTAAATGACTTGGAGGTCACCAGCTCTGTGATGGCCATGCCCAACATGCATTTGCATGACCAGCTAAAAAGGTGGTGGGCAATTGTGAAACCTCGTGAAAACTAGTGTTAACACGTGAACTTGGCAACGCGAACCGAAACATGGGAAGCTGATTAGGCTGTAATGCTATAAGCTTCTTGGGACTAAGCACAATGACCTTAATGGACTTACTTTGGAGTAGAAAAGTACTACTGCTGCTGCTTTTAAGCAGTTGTTAACAGCTTCAAAAACCAAATCCCTAGCCGGGTAATGGAGCTGAGTACAGGACTGTAGTGTTAATCTTTCTGTTGAGTGCAGAAGAGTCGGTGCAAGGTATGTACGATATGCAAAGGACCTAGGAGCGCAATCTAGGTTTCATAAGCTCAAGTAACACACGCATGCATCATAAACTCATTTTCAGACTTGTGCCAGTAACGTAGCTCAAACGAAAATTGAAGAAGAAAGCAAGCAGCATTCGGGGTAGACACAGAGCACTTGCGAGCATAAGATCCTAACAAAATAGGAGCAGGCGAATGGACCATCTAGTCACGCATTCTGTTCTCCCAGGGGCCAAACAGATGTCTGTTGGAACCTGCAAGCAAAATCTGAACTCAACAGTTGTCTCCCTGGGGTGTCCTTTGTTGCAAAAGCATTCCTCTTCTCCCAGGCATGTGATACACAACAGTCATTCCTGACCCTTTTAAGGTGGAATGGAACTATATCCTAACATCCTCCCCCTTTCCATGTAACCTATAGTACCTGTGGTTCAACCCAATTGCAACCTCTGTACATAGACCTTAAGTTGTTCTCTGTTAACAACCTTTTAAACTGAAAGGGGGATATTGTTTTTGTTTATTATGCATTTTTGAGTTTTTCATATTGTAGATCACCCTGTGATCTTTCGATGAATTTAATTAATAATAATATATCCTGAATCTTCCAACATTCAACTTGATTAGATGTCCATAGACAGTGCCTTTTTATCTAGAATATTAGCCTAGCTTCGTGAAGTCCTGGCCACAGCCAAGGTAGTTAGGTGTAAAGAAAACAAATTGCTCACAATTTGCAATGTGCTGCCATGCAAAACTTCGCTCAGATGCCTGAAATATCCTTGTATTCTCTGTTGACTACACCTTTCCTTTCCTTCCCTGTTCCAACTCTGAGATGCTTCCGATGTGAGCCAAAGAAATTGCTGCTGCTGCTAAATTTGAGTAGTTTTGAATGGAAGCAGGTTCCTTTGGAACAGGGGCGCACCATCAGATGTTTCTGGACTACACCTCCCATCAGCCCCAGCCAGAGATCAGGAATGATGGGAGTTGTAGTCCAGAAACATCTGGAGGGCTACAGCTTGTGCACCCTTGATCTGGAAGGTGGCAATCCTTCTGGCACTCCAATTCCAAACCATAACGGGCTTTGAAGGTTGATTTCTGAATGAGAATGTTGGTCAATCGGCTCAACTTACTGCAGTCTGTTCCTGCGGGAGCCCATCTTGTCACTGAATCAGGGAGTTCGTCCAGGAGCCTGAAAAAGTGAGGAGGCACAGAATGTTAGATCAGAAGGTTGCAAAATCCAAAGGTTGTCAGGGACGAGATGGGGAGGCAAAGCAGATCAGCCTCCTCTTGAAAGCTGGAGACTCCTGGAAATTTGGAAGACCTGTCTACCCACTGTGTTAACCCCCTTTGCATCGTGTGACTATAAGCACCACTATAGCCTGAGCAGAATTACGGCCAAGGAAATGTCTTCGCTTTCCAGAGCTCTTGCCAAATGTTTTGCAGGGTAATGGAATCCCTTCACAAACACACACCACCCTGAGATAAATTTGCTTTCTTTACTCCCAAGTCCACAGATTAATGGTCGTCTAAAGTTCAGCACGGTTCACCAGGCTGGTGCTTGTTGCTCAAAAGTAGATTCTGAACGCAAAATGGCAACAGATGGATAAGGTAAGAAGAAGAAGAAGAAGAAGAAGAAGAAGAAGAAGAAGAAGAAGAAGAAGAAGAAGAAGTTCTAAAGCAGTACCGAATTAAGCTGTCCTGGGCAGTGAGCGAATGGACTTCTAAAGAGAGTTGTGCATGCCTTTTTTGCAGTTAGGGTTAGGGTTAGGGTTAGGGTTAGGGTTAGAACCTGACAGTGTCTTTTAACATCTGAAGGACATACACAAGCACAAAAACACATCTCCAGGAGGGAGGAATTGACTGGAACTCACAGGTGTGTGTTTAAAGCATGCTTTCAGAGCTACCACTGCCCTTGAAACGATATAGGAAAAGTCCTCCCACCTCCCCTAATTGCTAAGGAATGTTTTAAACGCTGGATTTTTTTTTTTATAATGTGTTTACTGCATCTTGTTTTTTATTTGTAACATTTCATTGCACTTGCTGCAATTTGATCTTTATTTGCAAAGCTTTACAATGCCCATAAACCACTTAAGAGATTTTAAGCGGCATATAAATTGCCTAAACGAGTACATTAAATAATTACTTTTCCCATCCTATTTTCATATGATAATTTTAGCTTCTTAAAAAAAACCTATATAGCCATTTTTTTTGGAACTTTAATAAAAAAAAGATTAAAAATAAAACTTTAAAGAAAGAGATGGTGGACCAATAGCAGGTTCCATTTCTTGCTAGGAAGTCCAAGCGGCCTTCACTTTTTGGTAAGACATTCCGTAGGGACTCAAAAACTCCTGCACAAGTTTACAGAAATGTCAATTCACCAGGGGTGCCAATGCTCCATCATGTATATTTTGTTGACACTATGTGTGTGTGCGCACACACACACACACACACACAATACTGAAATTTCAGAATCCCTAAATCATCTTTCATTCCTTACTGGCCTTATCAGTCAGCCAGAGAGCAAAAAGGGGAATAGGGACATTTTAGCACTTGATATTGGTTCGTGCAAGGGACGTGGGTGGCGCTGTGGGTTAAACCACAGAGCCTAGGACTTGCCGATCAGAAGGTTGCGGTTTGAATCCATGCGACAGGGTGAGCTCCCATTGTTCGGTCCCTGCTCCTGCCAACCTAGCAGTTCAAAAGCACGTCAAAAGTGCAAGTAGATAAATAGGTACCGCTCCGGCGGGAAGGTAAATGGCATTTCCATGTACTGCTCTGGTTCACCAGAAGCGGCTTAGTCATGCTGGCCACATGACCCGGAAGCTGTAGGCTGGCTCCCTCAGCCAATAAAACAAGATGAGCGCCGCAACCCCAGAGTCGGCCACGACTGGACCTAATGGTCAGGGGTCCCTTTACCTTTACGGATTCGTGCAGCAGCCAACCCTGTCCTGACTTTCTACTCCCAGTGTATAGTCCGGATTCTGCACAGAGAGAAGAGGGAGCAACAGAAACGAGAGGCAAGAGCCTAGCCCTAGATTATCCCATCTGCTTGCCAAGAAGGCTATGACAGATTTCACACATTATAGTGAGAGCAGATTTGAGTAAGCATGAAAACCAGATCAGGTTTGTTTGTTTGTTGATGGCTATGCCAGTTGAGGCAGACGGAATCTGTAGTCCAAAATATCTGCAGGGCACGAGGTTGGGGAAGGCTGTCCTAAAGTGTGATAAATACAAGAGTCTTATGCCTTTCCATATGTGGTGTGGATGATAGGAACATTGGTTGACCAAAATGCTTTGCAGTTGGCATCAGTCTGCCTTGGGAGACATTGGAACAGTGTGCCTTTGGGGGTAAAGTCAAGGTGTTGGATGGAGGCATGGGAAAGACTGTGGAACACAGACATAAAACCTGCAGCATGTTATGATTTAAGAGAAAACTATAGGGGAATGTTATACAGATGGTATCAAGCACCAAGTAGATTGGCAAACATATAAATCAAAATTGAATTATGTGCTGGAAATGCAAAGGGAAAGAAGGTACCTTTTTCCATATGTAGTGGTCTTGTAATAAGGTTAAAGACTACTGGGAAATGATATATAATGAACTGAAAAAGAAGTTAGCATTTGTAAAGAAGAAGAAAAAGAAGCTGAAGCTGAAGCTTTTATCTTGGGAATTATGCGATCAGAGTTACCTAAACAAAATAATAATAATAATAATAATAATAATAATAATGCCCAGCTCATCTGGCTGGTTTTTCCCCAGCCACTCTGGGCGGCTTCCAGCAGAAATTTATGTCATTGGTGGTGAGCATCACATTCTCCCATGCCCTTTTGGAGAGGCAAGCCATTGCCGCAGCTTCTTTGCCAATATGCTTGTCCAGAACTACATCAATGGAGACATTGCTGGTGATGGTGGAACCCAGGCAGGCAAAATCGTCTCCCACCTTAAGTGTGTGGTCACTAATGCTGATGCGTGGAGTGCAGGTGATGTTCTGACCCAGGACGTTGGGTCTTTGTAAGGCTGAGACCAAACTCCATGCAGCCTTGGACAAAATGGTTGATGAGGCTCTGCAGAGCTTTTTCTTATCGCTGTACTGAACTGAAACCGAACATAAAAAAAAGATCTTTGCTGGATCAGAGCAAAGGACCTTCGACCATTCTGTTCTCACAGCAGCCAACGAGACACCTATGGAAAGTCTGGAAGCAGGAGCTGAGCACAAAATAAGTCTCCCAATTTCAAGCAAGAAGCATTCGGTGGAGGTAGAACACAACCACTGCAGCCAGAAGCCTTTGACAGCTTCATCCTCCAAGTTAGTGGACATTACTGTATTTTGTGGCAGTCAATTCCAATTTAACTATGTGCTGTGTGGAACAGAACTTCCTTTGTCCTGAATTTAGCGTAATCAGATGGCCCTGGGTTCTAGAAACATGAGGAGTGATGTGGACTAAGCAAGCCTGCATGGAGATTTCCCCAGATCTTTCTTTTCCAGTTTTTCTCCTGTTTCGTAAATTCATTTGTAACAACGAACGGAGGCCAATATCAAATACTGCATTAGACAAGCCTGGCAGTTTGCTTACTAAATGCAAGTAAAAGAAACATGGTAAATTAGATCACCCTCTAGGGCATCAGAAGATGTTCCGATGTAAACTTAAAAATCTCAGAGGCAAATTGTGTTATTCAAATGGTCCTAATTTGCATAGGATGTGTTTTTTTCCCCAGATTGTAAGAGTGGGAGAAATAAACCTCTATCTGTTTGCTCCACACCATACTAAACGGGTTTGGAAGCACTGCTTTAGATTGGAAAAAATGATAACCAAATCCAGGATGCTTCACGAAAAGCAAGAGCACATGCTCTCCTTTAAAGTTTAGCCCCTTGTCACAAAATACAAAGCTGTGCACATCAGCACCTAAAGAGCCACGATGATATTCAACTCAAGCAGCAACATAGGAAGTGTGTTTCACTAGTGAGGTCAGCCAACGTACACGACACTCCCTCACACTGATGCTGCCCAGAGGGGGATTTCAGCTTAGTCCTGTTGACTGATGAGCAGTGTTTGGCCAAACCGGGGGTTAAGAATGTGGTGCCCTCCAGTTCCCATCATCCTTGACCACTGGGCAAGCTGGTTGGGGCTGATGGGAGTTAGGAGCCAGTGTGGTGTAGTGGTTAAGAGAGGTGTACTCATAATCTGGTGAACCGGGTTCGCTTCCCCGCTCCTCCACATGCAGCTGCTGGGTGACCTTGGGCCAGTCACACTTCTCTGAAGACTCTCAGCCCCACTCACTTCACAGAGTGTTTGTTGTGGGGGAGGAAGGGAAAGGAGAATGTTAGCCGATTTGAGACTCCTTCGGGTAGTGATAAAGCGGGATATCAAATCCAAACCCTTCTTCTTCTTAGGAGATCGGCAACACCTGGAGGCAGGGTGTGGGGCACCCGGGCGCCGGACTCTCAGGGGCACCAGGCTGAGAGTCCAGGGCCTGAGAGTTGAGTCTGGGGAAGAGGCAGCCCATTGGTCAGAGTGCCGTGGCGGACTCTTCTGCTGCGGCTGGCTCTGCGCCACGAGTTTGGGGGCAAGTGAGCTAGCGAGGCGCTGAGGCGGCCAGCCGCCTCTGCCCTCCTGCGCACCTGGGATTGGCGTAGGGCCATGGAGAGGCCCGCCTGTGGGGAGGCCCACACAGTACATTTCTGAGCACAATGCAAAGTGTTGGTGTTGACCTTTAAAGCCCTAAGTGGCCTCGGCCCAGCATACCTGAAGGAGCGTCTCCACCCCCATCGTTCTGCTTGGACGCTGAGGTCCAGCGCCGAGGGCCTTTTGGTGGTTCCCTCACTGCAAGAAGCTAAGCTACAGGGAACCAGGCAGAGGGCCTTCTCGGTAGTGGCACCTGCCCTGTGGAACGCCCTCCCATCAGATGTCAAAGAGATAAACAACTACCTGACATTTAGAAGACATCTGAAGGCAGCCCTGTTCAGGGAAGTTTTTAATGTGTGACATTTTTATGTATTTTTAATCTTTGTTGGAAGCCGTCCAAAGTGGCTGGGGAAACCCAGCCAGATGGGCAGGGTACAAATGATAAATTATTATTATTATTATGCAGCTTACACCACGAGGCGCCCAGCTTTGCTCAGACGCCGACGCTTTGGGCTGGTTTGTTTCGCTGGGCTCCTCTGCTGCTTGCGTTGGTTGCCCACCTCAGGAGCCCGACAACTCTGGGAAACCTTTCCTAAAAACTTTGGGGCATATGCTTAAGACACAGCATTTGCTACCCCTGTCTTTGACAGAGGATCTTCCCAGTCCGGTTACCTGAAATTCTATAATGCCATCATTGCTCATGGGGATAGCTCAGTTGGTTAGAGCGTGATGCTGATAACGCCAAGGTTGCAGGTTCGATCAGCTGCATATTCCTGCACTGCAGGGGGTTGGACTAGCTGATCCTGAGGGTCCCTTCCAACTCTATGATTCACTATTGATAAAATCTTGTGCTCTGCCACTGAGCTGCAACCCTTCCTTCAGCCACCCCATTCTTAAAAATTAAAAGAGGTGCAACACGCACACACAATAGTGTATATGGATTTAGTTTGGAGTCTTGGGGAGGGGGGGAAAGGAAGTATCATCCCTCTAAGGGGTTAATCCTTGGCTGGAGAATTAATAAAGAAGCTTGATGGATTACATTGATTGGATGGCGCTGAATGGCGCTAGGGGTGGTCTGTGAGGGACTCTAATGATCAGAAGTTCTAAAGGAGGGTGGGTGGGAAATAATATATATATTAAACAATACTGTACAAAGTCAACATTTACAGATGCAATCTGTATTATCTGTAGCCTGCAGGCTCACCCCGCTCTCCCCCACCCCCTCTCTCTGCAGAGAGCCAGTGCCAAACTGAATGCACAGATTGATTTCTGCAGATCAGCTCTCCCCATTGTGTACCTCTGTTGTGACTTGCCCTACTTAAAAGTTTGCTGCCTCCACCACTCGCAGCACCTCCATCGCAGCGTTGCCGGTGTTCCAGCGACCGGCTATGCGGGGCCACAAGCAATTAGCTTCCTCAAGTCCCACCAGTAAGAGCAAAAGAGCGACAACAGGCAGTGCATTTAACCAGGGCTAATTACAGTACGCATGCTGGGTGGAGGGGGAAAAGGGCGAGGGGGAAAAGGGAAATGCTAAATGTTTGTGTTTTTCCCCCCTCCTTACATTCATGAAATGCTTTCCCAAAAGAGATGAGGGGAGGAAACACCCAATAAAATCTCCTTCCAATATCCAAAGCACTGTCACATGGAAGAAGGAACAAGCTTGTTTTCTCCTGCTCTGGAGGGTAGGACTCGAATCCAACTCTATAATTCTTACAGGGGGCAGGAGGAAGCAACAGCATTTAGAACAGGGGTCAGCAAACTCAAGTCACTGTGACGGAAGAGGCGACTTAAGTGGAACTGCCTGGCATTCCCTTGTCATTGAGCTTAGCAATGTAAGAGGCAGCTGTACCAAAATACTGCCTCCATCTAGGCAAAGAGAGCTATGCTTTATTTTATTATTTGGAAATCATGAACTGTGGCTAGCCAACTGCAATTCTGACACTGCTTAAATGCGGGTGGGGGTGGTGGCACACACTTTAGAGCAGGGGTCAGCAAACTTTTTCAGCAGGGGGCTGGTCCACTGTCCCTCAGACCTTGTGGGGGGCCGGACTATATTTTGAAAAAAATAATAATGAACGAATTCCGATGCCCCACAAACAACCCAGAGATGCATTTTAATAAAAGCACACATTCTACTCATGTAAAAACACCAGGCAGGCCCCACAAATAACCCAGAGATCCATTTTAAATAAAAGGGCACATTCTGCTCATGTAAAAACACGCTGATTCCCAGATCGTCCGCAGGCCGGATTTAGAAGGCGATTGGGCCGAATCCGCCCCCCAGGCTTTAGTTTGCCTATCCATGATTTAGAACATTAAATGACTGCAGGAAAGTTACCAAACTAAGCATACATTTGTGTGGGTAGGCTGTGGCTCTCTGGACATTGTTGGGACTCCAACTCCCATGAGCCTCAGACGGCACAAGGGATGCTGGGAGCTGTAGTTCAGCAACACTCATGCTGGTAGCTTCGAGAACACTGTCCAACCATCTCGTCCTCTGTCGTCCCCTTCTCCTTGTGCCCTCCATCTTTCCCAACATCAGGGTCTTTTCCAGGGAGTCTTCTCTTCTCATGAGGTGGCCAAAGTATTGGAGCCTCAGCTTCACCATCTGTCCTTCCAGTCAGCACTCAGGGCTGATTTCCTTCAGAATGGATAGGTTTGATCTTCCTTAATTTCGTGCAATTTAACTGCTAGTCCTTGGTCCTGATCAAGCTGCAGAGATATTCATGGCCTTTATATCCGAGTTTGATCCCTGGGATCATCTGCAGGAGTGTCGTTGGCCGTTCCCCAGGTTGGCTTGGTTCCTTTGACAATAAGAAACTAACCCCCCCCCCCAGTTATTGACCCAGAATTATGGGATGCTCTGCCAACAGTGATTCAATAGCCACTTTCCGTCTCTGCTTTTAAATGCTTGCTGGAAACTTTTCTATTCTGCCAGGCTTCTGTGGGCAATTAGGAACACACCTTTCTGCAACAGTTAGCTGATTTCTAACTTTTTATATGGTTTTACTGTGCGGTTTTATGCATAATTTGTTGCAAACTGCTTGGAGATTTTTCTACGAACAGCAGTACGTATTTTTATAACTACCTAGCTATGCCCTTTGAGCCAATGGAACAAGTGAGCTACCTTTCTTCTGCTTTCCAGAGGGGCTGTTCAGCCACGATGACTTTTAGCGTGATTTGCGTGGTGGTGGAGGGTAGATAATACTTTGTTCCAAAGTTTAGTTTACGGACAGATTTTAAACATTGCGTTTAGGCAACAAGATCCCCTTGATTCTTAACCATTAAAATGTCCTGGGTTGGTACATATACAGGATGAAATCATAGCCATATAGGAAATATGAGAGACACAGAGAGAAAGAGGCAAATTTCACAGAGATTTCTCTTTGCTTTGCCCAGTTCCGCTTCCTTAAAGATCATACGCAGGGCTGTATGTAATTTCACGCTTAAAAATAAACCCGACTTTTGGCAGCAAAGTAGCCAAAACCCCACACCAAAGAAAAAAGAAAAAAAGGCAGAATTGAGCAGGCTGGATCAAATTTCATCAAATCAAGCTGGCATGCCACTGTGATACACTGCACAGCATGTTGGGACTAGGCAAACCTGGGTTCGAATCCTCATTCAGCTATAAACAGCTGGCTTAGATTACACTGGGACATAAACAGCCTGTTTATCTTTGCAGGGCTGTTGTGAAAGCAACATGCGACCCAGCCAGCCAGCCATGGCTGGAGAAAACAGTGGGGTTTATACAGTCGTAGGTAAAGGTAAAGGGACCCCTGACCATTAGGTCCAGTCGTGGCCGACTCTGGGGTCGCTTCCCGCCAGAGTGGTACCTATTTATCTACTTGCACTTTGACGTGCTTTCGAACTGCTAGGTTGGCAGGAGCAGGGACAGAGCAACAGGAGCTCACCCCGTCGTGGGGATTCGAACCGCCAACCTTCTGATCAGCAAGTCCTAGGCTCCGTGGTTTAACCCACAGCACCACCCGCGTCCTTGTCATGCCTTGGGTTAAAGACGCTTCAGGTTAAATCTTTTCTGGTTGCGTCCCGTGGCGACCCGGAAGTACCGGAAAGGGTTTCTTCCGGGTTTCGCCATTCATGCATGTGCAGACACTCAAAATGACGTCACGTGCATGTGCAGAAGCAGCAAATCGCGACCCGCACACGCGCAGATGCACAGACGTGGGTTGCATTCTGCTCAGGTTGCGAACGGGGCTCCGGAATGGATCCCGTTCACAACCAGAGGTACCACTGTACAGTGGTACCTCGGGTTATTACATACGCTTCAGGTTACATACACTTCAGGTTACAGACTCCGCTAACCCAGAAACAGTACCTCGGGTTAAGAACTTTGCTTCAGGATGAGAACAGAAATTTTGAGGAGGTGGAACGGTGGCAGCTAAAGTGGTACCTCAGTTTAAGAACAGTTTCAGGTTAAGAACGGACCTTCAGAACGAATTAAGTACTTAACCCGAGATACCACTGTATAGGCAATTTGTACAGCTCGATCAAATTCGGTCTGAAAGAAAGACTCTCAGGAAGAATGATGTCAATTCAGCAAATGCCAAATGTGAGGGCAGATGTAGAAATCAACCATGGGCAGAGCCCAGCCTTGCACTGCATAATTCAATGGTGCTAGTTCTCCACCTCTAACCTTGCACCAGATTTTTACATTTTTAAAAACAAGCATTTAAAAAGCATTTTTTAAAAACAAGCTGGAAGAGACTGACAAATTTGTCAGTTTCAGTTCCTCGGGGTTTTTTCCCCAATTTTAAATTCAAGTTTCTGACATTTCTGAATTATTATTATTATTAAAAATAGTCCTAGCCAAAATTTGGCAGCATTTCTCCCAATATGCACTAATAATAATAATAATAATAATAATAATAATAATAATAATAATTTATCATTTATACCCCGCCCATCTGGCTGGGCCTCCCCAGCCACTCTGGGCGGCTTCCATAGAAACCAAAAATACAGTAAAATATCACACGTTAAAAACTTCCCTGAACAGGGCTGCCTTAAGATGTCTTCTGAATGTCAGGTAGTTGTTTATCGCTTTGACATCTGCTGGAAGGGCGTTCCACAGGGTGGGCGCCACTACCGAGAAGGCCCTCTGCCTGGTTCCCTGTAGCTTTGCTTCTCGCAATGAGGGAACCGCCAGAAGGCCCTCAGCGCTGGACCTCAGTGTCCAGGCAGAACGATGGGGGTGGAGACGCTCCTTCAGGTATACTGGACTGAGGCCGTTTAGGGCTTTAAAGGTCAGCACCAACACTTTGAATTGTGCTCGGAAACGTACTGGGAGCCAATGTAGGTCTTTCAAGACCGGTGTTATATGGTCTCGGCGGCCGCCCCCAGTCACCAGTCTAGCTGCCGCATTCTGGATTAGTTGTAGTTTCTGAGTCACCTTCAAAGGTAGCCCCACGTAGAGTGCATTGCAGTAGTCCAAGCGGGAGATAACCAGAGCATGCACCACTCTGGCGAGACAGTCCGCAGGCAGATAGGGTCTCAGCCTATGTACCAGATGGAGCTGGTAAACAGCTGCCCTGGACACAGATTTGACCTGTGCCTCCATGGACAGCTGTGAGTCCAAAATGACTCCCAGGCTGCTTGATTTAAAAAAAATCAAGACTTTTTACAGCTATTTTAACTTCATAATAGTTAAAATAGCAACCTGGTAAGAATTATGAAATAACATAAATAAATAAAAAGAGTAAGATAAACAGTACAACATACACACACACACCAGGGTACAGAGTTAATACTTCATAAAACAAGGAACATTCCCAAGAGACTACAGTGATTTAGATGTTACGACAGAAACCAACCTGATAAAGAAAAATACAAAGCAAATGTTATGAATATCAAAAAAGGGTCATATTTCATTGGAACTTGCCATCCCCATGACTGGCCTGTCATATAAGTTAGAAATGGCTACCAAACAGAGGCAAAATCCGTAGCTTTAGCTGCACCTCAAGATACTCTTAATTTATAAGTCAATCTTTCAGTAATGAGAATAAACATTAAATATTTGGTTCAATAAAGTAAAAAATAAATAAAAATAAAAGCTCCGAGAAATCCTTCCAGCCCTGTGATATAGTCAAGCGAGCAGCTACTAATAGCAACGATTATAAGTGGTTTACATAATTAAATCCATATTTGACTCATCAAAGTTGGGTTTTTAAAAAGCAATTTGGGGTTTAAAGGCACCAGTGCGCCTATTATTTCAGAAATTTCCTTCATGACGCCTTCCCAAAATTTGCACACAAGTTTGTAAGAGCACCACATGTGCCCATAGGTTCCCCTTTCGTTCTGAATGCAATTTTGCCTAACGTACACATTTTTGCAAGGGCATTGCTGGAAATTAAGAACGTTAGCAACTAGTCCAGGATCCTATTCTCACAGTGGCCAACCAGATTTTTATTCTTATTACGTATTTATACCCCACCTTTTTCCCTGATGGGACTCAAAAGATGTCTCACAAATATAAACAAGGATCAGTAAAGACATAGAAAATAAGACCAATTGTTTTTTGAAAGCAATATTACAAGTAGGGAGGGGCACAGTTGCGTTCAGATCATGATAACAGGCTTCCCACTGAAATATCTGTTTGGCCACTTTGAGAAGAGGATGCTGGACTAGATGGGACTGATCCAGAATGGGATGCCTTTGTTTCAATTTGCATGTTGTTGTGGGAAGGGCATATCAGGGAGCTGCTGGAAACTGAACCTGCAACCTCATGCATGCCGAGTTACGGATTCCTCCCCAATAATTGATAACAAATCACTGTCATCTGCCTGCTAGCCAGAGCAAGACTCAGGACAGACTGGCCCATATCTGTGGAGCAACAACTACAGGTGATTTGTGTCCTTTCTCTACGAAGACTACAAAGGGCTCATGCAATGGCAGCTCTGATCATAAACTCATTTAGACTGTCAGCTGTCCAATGGAATAGACAATGCAAGAGAGGGGTGACCCTCCCCACCCTGCAATAAGGAATATACCTTAACCCCGACCCCACCCCCCGCAGCTGCTCCCCATTCCTAGACCTCTGTGGTTATGTAAAGAAAAGGCACTTTTCATATACTGAATCATACACTGGAAATTAAGAAGAAGAAGAAGAAGAAGAAGAAGAAGAAGAAGAGTAGTAGTTTGGATTTGATATCCCGTCTTTGACTCCCTTTAAGGAGTCTCAAAGCAGCTAACATTCTCCTTTCCCTTCCTCCCCCACAACAAACACTCTGTGAGGTGAGTGGGGCTGAGAGACTTCAAAGAAGTGTGACTGGCCCAAGGTCACCCAGCAGCTGCATGTGGAGGAGCGGAGACGCGAACCCGGTTCCCCAGATTATGAGACTACTGCTCTTAACCACTACACCATACTGGCTCTCAAATTAAATGAGGTTGCAGTCCTAAGCATGGTTCCTTGAAAGTTAAATTAGTCAAAATCACATTAAGAGTTACTCCAGATAATGCATGTTTAGCAATGTGGGGAGGGTGCGTTTGTTAACATGAAGTGCACTAATATCTGTCTTCTGGAAATCTAGCAATGGGAGAGTGCTCACCCCGCTCTCCAGAAATGCACACCCACCCTTGTGGCCAGCACTGTTCTCTGGTTTCCTGACTATTTGAGAGCTATTTTGCAGAATTGTAGAGTTGGAAAGGGACCGCAAGGGTCATCCAGTCCAACCCCCTGCAATGCCAGAATCTTTTTGCCCAATGTGGGTTTTGAACCCGCAACCCTGAGATTAAGACTTGTGGAATTGTTGAAGGAAATACCTATCTCTTTCAGTTAGGAACACTGGAGCAGGTACCTCAATGTTGTCGGCACTGAATGGCAACAGCTCTCCTCCAGGGTTTCAGACAGAGGACGTTCCCTTACCTGGAGATGCCAGCGTTCGAACCCAGAACCTTCTGCACACAAAGCAAACGCCCCTGCGATCCTTCCCTCCCCATTTTACAGATGTAACTGTTTCACCATCATATCCTGCCCTGAGCTTTGGAGGGAGGTGAGAATACCCCAAAATACGTATTAAATAAATCATGCTTCTGTTTTTGTTTTTACTTTGCTTTTGCATCCCGGACGGCATCGGGGTTCCTCAAATTCTGATCCCAGGGCAGATTCCCACACATCCACTGGAGCATGCAGAAGCCGAGAATTTCAAGGTCTCCTCGTCTGGATGGAGCTAAAAGGAGAGAGAAAGGGAGGGAGAGAAGGAATGTAAAAGAGCACTTTTGAAAGGTGGGGATGGAAAGAGATGGGGGTGATGTTCAGTTGGTCCCCCTTTTTTGTGAGGGAGGGAAAGGGAGAAATGGAAACGGCAGTAACTTGAATCTGCAGTTCGATGCAGCAGAGCAACAGGCAGAATCGCGTTCTGTTTGTTCAGCTGCCCCACGAACTCCAAACGGCCCCAAATTTTGGCTGCGGCCCACAGACAGGCCAGGATTTGTTGCTGCTGAGAGAGGAGAGAGAGAGAGGGTCAGTTTCCTCACCTCCTCAGACTCCATCCTTCCCTTTAGCTTGGCCTGTCACATGAACTTGATCCCCGTGGCCTCTGACATGCTCCAGACAGCCCATAACCCAGCACCGACACTTTCTGCAAGAGCCAGGCAGTAAAACAAAGAAATAAATGTCTGCTGCTAAATTGCTAACACATGTTTCGGGAAGTCCATGGGGTCCACACTGGTCATGTGGAGACCCTTCGAGAGCAGACTAAACAGAGATGGCCTTCCCTGCTCCAGCGCGCAAGAGGCGTCTGCCGGTGGAAGGCAAGGCAACAGTGCGCTCTAGTGGGCAGACGAACTCTGGCAAAGATGCGCAGGGAAGTTCCCTCGCATCGGCTGAAATCATAAAGCCCACTTGGCTCTCTGAGCGAAACTGCTTGTCAAAATTCAAACTTGGCTTTTGTTTCCAAAGCCTCGGACGCAAACAGTTTGAAGGGGCACAGTCAACTGCGGCTGGCCTAAGCGGCAAGTTGAATTAAACATATGCATGCAACACACACACACACACACACACACACACACACACCCTCTCTCTTTTCTCCTAGCAACATTAAACCCAAAACACGTATTTGCAGGCAGATAGCTGAAAATCGCACGACAGAACGGTTATTCCCAAGGGCAGAGGTCATGTGCACGGAAGAAAAGAGTCAGGCACACATTATAATCCCGAGATCTCCGACATCCATGGCCGTTTTAAGCTTCATTCTCAAACAAAGATTGCGGGAGCAAAAGGAGAATTCTGCATATCTGAAGCTTTCTCTTGGATTTAGGGCACACTCAGGCATGCTGTTTGTTGAACGTTCACCCAGGGAGAATAGATGACTGGCTATTTTACAAAAATTCATCCCAATTTCTTCAAGGGGCGGTAAAGTGATGTTGCATCCAAGCAAGTTTTGCTTCTCGGTGCATTCTTGCAAAAGGTCCAATCTTTGGGGAGGTGAAAAGGTGGTTTGTTGTGCAAGACCTTTCAATGAACTACAATTGTGAAAGCTGAATTTGCCAGGATGCAACTTAATCCCAGCTAAAAACAGCCAACAGTCTGGAAGCATCCATATAATAGAAAGAGGGAGGGTTGAAGCTAGGGGAGAGAAAACTAGCCACAAATGCTTTGACAAAATCCGTTATTAAGAATTGTGCATTTGCACTGAATTTCAGTGCAAGTTTCAGTTTTGGTTATTTTGACGGTGCAATGTTTTCCCGACCTCTCTATTTGCATCCTGCTCTAAGAACAGGAGAGCTCGTGTTTAGCGAGGGAGGCAGGAAAGTACCAGAGACTGATGACGACCCTCGGAGGATGTGGCCGTTAACCCAACAGGTTCTGTATTATGAACTTTCATTACAGGAATTCCAACAGAGACCCCCTCAGCACTCTTTTTAATTATAAGAGGTGACTTCTTGGAAGGCCAGTTCTATGAGACCACCGTCCCTGTTATCCCCCTCTTCTCTCTCCCGCACCTCTCTCTGATATGATGAAAGCACATAAATTCTTAACATGTTCTCTCTATATTAACTGCTGCTAGACTATCGGATTATGAAAGGCCCTTCCATCTAGCTGGATGCCATTTTATCCCCCTGGGGGTCGTTTGCATCCTACGCCAGCCTCTGCTGCGTCCGAAAGCCAAAGGCTCGGCGGGTCTTGTATAAAAGCCAGCCGGCCTCGTCTTTTAACACTTGCCATACTGTTGTCGTTTCTCGAGCTGGAGTCGCCGTAATTAAAAGACAGTAGGGCAAAATATTTCCATGCGAGTTCAGGCAGCACTCCTCCCTACACACACACACACACACACACACACAGAGAGAGAGAGAGAGAGAGCTTTTCCTGCCCCACAAACCAATTATGTTGCTTCCTTCATCACTCTCACTCCGCTTTCTCCAAAAATGCTGCTCTGGTACCTGTTTTGTCTTTTCCCAGAGGAACGACAGCTAAATCCTCTGGATGAAAGTTGTCAGAATTATAATGATCCAGTTCTTCCCCCACCTACGCACGTGTGTGCGTGTTTCAGTTTTTTATTAAAGTTTAAAATCCTTACATATGAATTCCAACTTTCAAATGTCTTTGAACTTTTAACTTCTTGCCTTCCCCTCCATGCTGTTCTTAACCCCATCCCATTCACAAATGGCATTCTAATAAACATTTCACCCAAGACATATTTTTATTTCAAATATTATCGTTTTCCTTCCGCTCCTCCCATTTCAAATCCTGCTCGCGATTTCATCTGATATTTTTTTCCAGGTATCCCAAAAAGGGCTTCCATTCCCTCATAAATAGTCTGTCCTGTTGGTTTCTTAATTTTCTGTTAGTTTCACCAGCCCTGAATAGTCCATTAACTTTAAAGTCCATTTTTCTATGCCATTATTATTATTATTATTATTATTAAAATTTATATACAACCCTTCGTAGATCTCAGGGTGGCTCACAACATACAAATATTCCTCCTCTACTCCCAACTGAAGATGCAATTTGACACGAAGCCAGGAGGAAACATTAAGCCATTTAAAATCCTGTAGCTAAATTATTGCAACTCTTCTTCAGGAGAAAAAGACCCCAGAGACACAATTTCCCTCCACTTCTGCGCACGATGTACCTATATCCAAGCTGCTTTGAAATCTTAAAAAAAAAAAAAAAAAGATTCCCCACAATGCATTTTGCTTTGCGGTTTTTAAATGTATTTAAAACTTGCACGTTTGAGACATTTGGGAAGCTGGCATGTTTGCTGTGCTCTCTGTTCCCTGACAGAGAGGAAGAGGGTCACCATTCTTTTATTCACTCTAGTCCTTGTGTGCATTAGCGAGCACACACACACACAAAATAAATAAGTATGCAAACTGCCAAAGATGAGAGGGCGAGAGGAAATTATTAAGGATGCCTTGAGACAACTAAGCTGAACGAGTACCAAATAGAAAGTTGTAATGCAAGGCATTTATCAGCCGCCTTGTGTTATTTGTCAGCCTGCTTCCTTGAATAAAACTCACCTGGTCCTCATTTAAAAGTAAATAACAAAAAGTTGCAATTTCTAAGCAAATCATTTCATAATGCATTGATCTGTACCCCCACATCAAAATCCACGCAGTTTTTTACACAAAGGTGCACATATTTCTTTTTCGCTGCATTTCTACTCAAATCAGACTGTGAGGGCAGAATATTTATACTGTTTTAAAAGAAATATTGGCAAATTATTATGCTGTTACTGGGTGTGGAAGGTTGGTTAAGAATCCAGAGACAGTGTTACTGAGGGCTTCCTGTCAATTTCAAAAAGGATAAATTTCACTGAGGATCGTGTTGCTTCATTTTTAAGATGTCATAAACAAAGTGACAATTCTGATAATTTCATGTCTGGAAAATCCAACACTTCCTCTCTATAATCCGTCACTTTTACAGGCCTATATTTTTCCCAAGGAGAAACCCAACCCTCATTTAGAATCAGATTAAGTTCAATTTCTCTGTGGACAAACCAGAACTACGAAGGGGAAAAAAGTAGGCATTTGAAAATTGTTTTGCTCGTTAACGGCATAATTCTTCAGTGACCGTTCTAAGCCAAGCAAAATAAATTTGTGTGGGGTGGAAGCAGGCCAGGAACGGGAGATGGCACGCACTAAGTAAATGTCCATAAATTGGCACATTTTATAACTGATGCATACGCAAAATCAGATCAAGCTTAAGAGGAGAATAGCAAGCTTTAGGGAAGCGTCACTACTGGGCAGAGGTTTTTTTTGTTTGACAGCCGTGGCCAAATCATGTCTGTGATGTATAATTTCTAGAACAATGAAACAAGAGCTCTGCTGAGCGGTATTGGGGGGGGGGGTGGCAATTGGCTGTGGGAACTGAAGACACCAAGGTTTAGTAGTCTAATGGTTTCCTAGGAAGGAGCAGAGCTTTAGGGAGTGACAACACAAGCGCTTTGATGACCTCCCTGCAAACGCAGAATCTGGTCATGCAAAAGGGGGACGTGGCCTTGCAGTTGCGACATTCCTTCCCCCAGGAAATGTGAACGGTCCCAGCAGCCTCAGTTTTCAAGGGGAAACTTTTAGAAGTTTTCCTTTCAATCTGCATTTTATTAATTGCTGCACTCCGGTTAACTTTGACCACTCATTTTAAGAGAGGTGTAATGTGGGTTTTAATTTGATGGTACTATGCAACACATCCTGTTTTGTTTTGTTTTGTTTTGTTTTAAACCTCTTGGTAAATAAAATAAAGCATCGGCATCTTGAAAATCTCAGCTTTAAGGCTTTCAGTACCAAAAGCTATGAAATAATAAATAATAATAATAATAATAATAATAATAATAATAATAATTTATTATTTGTAACCCGCCCATCTGGTTAGGTTTCCCCAGCCACTCTGGGCGGCTTCCAACAAAGATTAAAAAGACATTAAAATGTCACACATTAAAAACTTCCCTGAACAGGGCTGCCTTCAGATGTCTTCTAAATGTCAAATAGTTGTTTGTTTCTTTGACATCTGATGGAAGGGCATTCCACAGGGTGGGTGCCACTACTGAGAAGGCCCTCTGCCTGGTTCCCTGTAGCTTTGCTTCTCGCAATGAGGGAACCGCCAGAAGGCCCTCGGCGCTGGACCTCAGCATCCGCGCAGAACGATGGGGGTGGAAACCCTCCTTCAGGTATACTGGAAATAAAAGGTTTCAATGTGTGCTGATATCCTGGTGATATTTCAGAAAACAGATCTGGGATTTTTTTGGAGGTGGGCAGGAGGAGATGATATGGTGGTGGTTCTTCAGTGTCACACATAACTCTTTGTGTGTAATTCCTTATCCTGAGTAATTATTCTTCTGCAAGCCTCAAAGGGCAAACATGCTTCATTTGCATAATTAATAGAAATAGCACTCATTTTATTTTGATTTAACCCACAACCGCCAAAGCATGGAGTACCCCCATTGTTCTAGTTTCATGGGGCAGGTGGTTTTAAAACAACAACTACAATGTTTGATCCATTTAACCTACTACTGTCCCCAATGACTGGCAGAGACTCTGCAATGCTCTCAAGCTGGGGTCTTTCCAATATCTGCCCCCTGGACTCTTTAACCCTGGATGCCAAGAACTGAACTCAAGACCTCATGTGATTTCCTCCCCGAGATGCAGCCTCCTCCGCTCATGGTCCTCTGAAGCCTGATGTTGGCAACAGTCTTAACAAGAGAGATTCTTCTAGGGTGCTCAAAACCACTCTGGGTTTATTTCTAAAGGAAGAATACATAGGAAAGGGGACAGGAGTTGGGAAAGACATGCAGGGTTTTTTGGTTAAATATCAGCTAAAAATACAACAAATATGCACTCCAAGGTTTTCAAACTGTAGGAGAGATTTCTGGAGTTCCTCAAAAACTGATCAAATGCCCTTTATTTAACAAATGATCAGTAATCTTAGTCCAAAACCCAGCCACATGGTTTCTGATAGGGACTGGTCATTCATAATGCATGCTGATGTTTTCTACTTTTAGTCTCCTTTTCTGATTTTCCATTTTATACATTTCAATAATTTTATAATCATTTTTTTTACATTTCAAAACTTGACTTCCTTCCCCCTCTTTCTGCAGCTCCTTAAATTTATTCTTCATATTTTCTGCATATCCAAATTAACTTAATTTGCTCATTTATTCATCTACTTTAAATACATACTCTTATAATACATATTTTTATAAAACTGCACGTTATTACAATAATCCTGCCAAAATTCTTATCTGTTTACAGTTCATTTGTAAATATTCAATAAACCATTTCCATCCTTTTATTACAAGTTTGTTATGTTGGTTTCTTATTTTTTTCGCCATTTCTGTATATTTCACAGGTTTTTGTATCTATTCTTCTTTTCCTGCAACTTCCTTCTTCTTTCCATTTTTGGGCAAGTAACATTCTTGCCGCTGTAGCAACATACATGAATAAATTTCTATACGGTTTTGGAAGTTCTGTCCCTATAATTCCTGAAAGGACTTTTAGTCTCAACAGGTTTCGCCTACACTGTCACAAGCAAGATTACATTTTCCCAAGCCAGAATCAGGCCTAATAGTTCCAGCCTAAGATTGCGGCACATCTAGCAACATTTGCTATGCATGCTGTGTTGACTTTGCAAGGACAGAAAGGAAAGGAGGGTAAATAGGGATGGTGGTTCTCACAATGGTCAAAATAATTCTATCCTCCTCCTTTATCTGGCCAAAACTAGGGATATATCATCCAACAGAGCATATGTCTCAGCCAGGATGAAAACACTTTGTGAATGCAGAAATTAAAAAGGCCCGGGGCGAAAAAATACTAAAAAGCTGTTTTGTCTGGTATGGAAAGGACATCAAACCTTCCCAGAGATAGTTCTGGAGTTAGGGTCACCTTCCAGAGTTCTGGAGTTAGGGTCCATAGTTCTGGAGTTAGGGTCACCTTCCAGAACTGCTCACCTAAATGCCATTTAATAATAATAATAATAATAATAATAATAATTTCCCAAGCTAGTAAACCATTGTGTCTCATTCATTTCACAGAACCACAGAATGGTAGAAGTTGAAGCTGATGGTAGAAGTTGATGTTCTTCAACATCAACTTTGTTGGACTGGTCATGTTGTGCGGATGCCTGGTTATCATCTTCCAAAGCAACTATTTTGGAACTTAAAAATGGAAAGTGTAATGCTGGTGGTCAACAAAAGAGGTTTAAAGACTGTCTCAAGGCAAATCTAAAAAAAATGTAGTATAAACACCAACAACTGGGAAACACTTGCCAGCAAGTGCACCAATTGGAGAACCAAAGCTGTCATGGGCTTTGAAGACACTCGAACACAGGACACAAAGGAGAAACGTGCTAAGAGGAAAGCACGCTTGGGAAACCTTCACTGTGATCAACTCCCAGCCGGAAACCTATGTTCCCACTGTGGAAGGACGTGTGGATCTAAATTTGGCCTCCACAGTTACTTACGGACTCACTGTTAAAACCGTGTTTATGGAAGACAATCTTACTTGGCTACTAGTGATCCCCAAAAAGGAAGAAGAGAATGGTAGAGTTGGAAGGGACCCCAAGAGACATCTAGTCCACTCCCCCACCCCCTGCAATGCAGGAACCTCAACTAAAGCATCCATGACAAATGGCAAATTCGCTGCACTGGGTTTAAAACAAACCAAACAAAAACCAGCCATCTTGGTGCTTTCCTTGCTGCTCTTCTACATTGCTTTGCTTTTTACGTGGTCTTGCAAGCCGCTTTGTGTCTCCTTAGCGGCAGAAAAGTGGCATCGAAATCAAATCCTCGTTAATAAATCTCAGGTCACTTAACTGGGATTATTATGCCGCCGCAAAGTTTGTGGCCAAAAGAGGATCTGAACCCTGTACCGAGTTAATCTTATTCATAAAGGTATTTCTAGACTGCTTTTCATTTTAAAACATCAAAGCGGTTTACGGCGACAGTACGTGAAACCACACAATCAAGGCCATATAAAAAAGCTAAAAACAGACGGCAGTTAACTGCTGTGGAAAGATGTGCTCTTAATTGCCTGCGTAGGGCAGACGGAATTGAAAAGTTTTCAGCTTGCATTTTACAAGCTGAAATGGAATCCGCCTGCTGAATCTTTTATCGGCAAGAAACTGGCCCAATGACCACTTAAAAGCACTATTTCTCGTTGTTATCAAACGAGTCTCACAAGCTCGGCGAATCGTCATGCCACTTTAAACCACTGTTAAGGAATCCTGGGCATTACAGTTTGTTAAGGGTGCTGAGAGTTTTTAGGAGATGCCTACACGGAACTACAACTCCCAGACTGGTTTCCCAGTCCATCCCTTTTCCTGGGGGACTCTGGGAACTGTAGCTCTGAGAGGGGAATAGGAGTCTCTTAACCAGGCACAGGCAAACTCAGCCCTCCAGATGTTTTGGGACTACAACTCCCATCATCCCTAGCTAAAAGGACCAATGGTCAGGGATGATGGGAGTTGTAGTCCCAAAACATCTGGAGGGCTGAGTTTGCCCACGCCTGCTTTTAACAGTGCTCAGAACCCTCAACAAACTGCAGTTCCCAGTATGCTTTGGGCGAAGCCACAACTGTTTAAAGTGGTATCACAGTGCTTTAAATTTCTGCTGCGAATGTGGCTTCAGGTCCAACAACACATCTCTCATCACACACCGCAGCCTCTCTGCATATTTAAAACTTCGTGCCTGAGAATGCCCCGGTATCACTGCAAAACGCTTGTGCAGAAGTGCTTCAGCATCGCTTTGTCTAATTAATAAAAAAAGCATATTGAGATGAAGATTTCCACCTCTCTTAGGAAAGGAACAAACCTCTTAGCATCAGCTGTGTAATTTACTTGTTAAAAGCAATTGGACAGGAGACAGCACCTGAACTCTTCCTCCCCACCCCACTCCACCCCCCAGCCAGCCAAGCCAGCCACCCTCTTACAAATAAACACACTGGAACACATTTAATTCAGACAGTTCATATTCCTCTTATGTTCATCAATGATGGCAAATTAAAACCAGTCTCATGCACTCTGCGTGCAGGGTCCAGAGTATTTAAAAGAAGCTCGATATGTTAAGCGCAGTATATCTCCAGAGAAATTAGGTATTGACTGCATGCCTCAGTGAGTAGAAAATCTGCAAAAATCCATATGCCACATTGATCCAAATATTACTTTTTAACACTACTAACAATGTAACAAATTTTTAAGAGGTATGCTTGACGCAGGTATAATTCTCTTTAATTATCAAGGAACAAGCAAGGATGGCAACACTATTTGCACAACACGGCTTTCGGGAAAGAAAACGAATGCTCCACAAGATCTGGGCAGATTCTGGGATTAAAATTTGGGGTGGGAGGGAGAGAGACCCAAGCCAATCGTACGGTTGCTTAGACCATTGGTTTCAAGCACAAAAAATTGAATTTGGAGGAAATAAGAGCCCCCAATGCCAAGTGTTTATCGCTCATATAGCATTTTTATGGCTTTACAGCTATTTTATCACTTCTGCCGCAAGGTGGGCTGTGATTCTGTTTAAGACCGAGACACAAACAACCCCAGTTCGGCATGCAGAGGGGGGAGATTTTTTAGCAACGCAGAAAAGCAGTCTGTGGCAGAGCCAGTCCGTGGAGCCTCCTAGCTCACCTGTGTTGACTGACAGCAGTTTTCCAGGGCTTCAGACAGGGGACTTCCCTGGAGATCCCAAGGATTAAATCTGGGTCCTTTCATATGCAAATCACACGCACAGGTTTAGGAGCAAGCCAGTGATGCAATGCAGGCAAGGGGTGCAGAGGCAGGGAAGCCCATGTGCGTGTTCAGAGATACGGCACTGGACCCAAGAAGGGTTACGTCTTAGAACCCCCTTTTGGTGTTGCTGCTGCGGCAAGCGAGTCAGTGTAGCAGGCGACCTTCACGCCTCACGTGACGGAGATGAAAGGAAAATGGAAACAGCCTTGTTATGACAGTCTATCATCATCGTGAACGGACTTGGATGCATTTTGAGACACACTGGGCCACTTGGACTAAGGCGTGCAGTTTTCCAAAACGCCAAAAGGGGGTCTAAAGTGGACCTTGTGATTGATGCATGCTCCTAGTTTCTAGGCCTCCTAGAATTGTACATTGGGAGGGGACCCTAGAGGGTCATCCAGCCCAACCCTCTGCAATGCAGGAATCTCAACTGAAGCATCCATGATTGGTGACCACCCAACCTCTGCTTAAAAACCTCAAAGGAAGGGAGAGTCCACCACCTGCCAAGGGAGACCATTCCCCTGTCGAACAGCTCTTACTGTCAGAAAGTTTGGATCTCCTTTTGTGCAACTTGAACCCCAGAGCGGCTGGGGAAACCCAGCCAGGTGGGCGGGGTATAAATGATAAAATTATTATTATTATTAATCCATCTGTGGCGATCACACAGGGTCCCCAGACGTTTCACCATCTATTGATCCCTGTGCCACCACTTTATTTCTCGCTGCCACTACCCAGGCCCTACCTGGGACAATACTGAGTTCAGTCAGGGTTAAATTGGAACATAAACTTCTATTTATTTATTGCAGTTTAACAAGCGTGTGGTTTCATAAACGGTATCGGTCAATTACAATCAGGGGGTGCCTCTCCAGACCTATAACTTCCGCTACCTGCTCTCACTCACTAAACCACCTCTCAGATATTTACTTGTCTTCCTAGCTCCTTACTGTTCCTGACTCAGCTTATTTTGCTACACTAACTCAGCCTACTCACAGACTCTACCCCAATTCACTCCCACTCCAACCAACCACCCAACTCCCAACAAACTCCTCCCTTCGCCCTCCCAGAGCTGGTTTTATAGTCCCTCTGACTCCACCCCCTGGGTTCTGATTGGGTAACCAGTTTAACTATTTCACCTCCAGCACTCTCATATGTTAACGTCACACCATCCATTGGATCAAGTCCTCATGAGCACAGAAATGTCTGCTCTCTTCATCAACTCACTTCCCCTTGGCCAAAAATAGCTACCCCCACATATGCAAAAAAGAAAAAGCCCATAACCCATAGGGGTGGAGCACATTACACAAATGCACTCAGGCTGCGCAACTACAACTCACCACATAATTCAGCTATTTGAGCGTCTGCGGAGTAACTATTCCCTATTCCCTTGAACCAGGGAAACAGTGAGCGCTCAAATGCCATCCGTTCAGGAGCCGTTTTTCACCCGATAATTCCTTTCATAGACTAATGCAGGAGCCTTTTACAGAACAGGCCATGCTTGCCTGTCGCCACATGTCTCACAGCATCAGTGGACTTAACAGATTTCCACCCTCCTCATCCCGTTGCACGGGCCAGAAAAAGGCTTGCCCATTATGGCCCCTTTCCTCCTGAAATGCTTCCAGCAGGTCAAACAGTGCAATTGTCTCAGCACCAGAGAGGCGCAAGAGTCCCATTTCATTTTTCCTAATGACCAGTGTTAAATGACTGCAGGTCTTAACAGTGCTGGCAAATTATCAAGGCCCTCTACATTACATGGTCAATGGTCCTTTTAATAGAAAAAGCAATAACGTATAGCTGTTTGTGCCAAGTAAAACTCGTTAGAAAGTATTAGTTTAAGATAACAGTTCAGCAGCTATTAACAACCACAAATGTTTGCCGACGCGCACGTTCCCTCTTCTGGTGGGGTGGGAGGGAAGAGAGAGAAAGAAAAGGCCTGTCACTTTTTCTTAAGTATGGACATTATTGTTTATACAGAGCCATCAATGTATATGAGGCTTGAAGGAGGAGCCTTGGAAAATGGGCAACAGCTCAGTGGTCAAGGGCATGTTTTGAATGCAGGATCGATGCCCGGTTATCACCAGCTACAAAGTCTGCAGATAAAAAAGCTGGGAAAGATCTACAGAACTGCTGCAAGCTAAATTACACAGTATTGGCATATATCTGTAATCTCACTTCTGTGCCGCATTTCTTTAAAAGGAGCTTACAAGAGGGAGAGAGGGAAGACGGGGGCAAGGCTAGCAGCAGGATACAAGGCATGGGTAGGCAAACTAAGGCCCGGAGGCCGGATGTGGCCCAACCGCCTTCTAAATCTGGCCCGTGGATGGTCAGGGATTCAGCGTGTTTTTACATGAGTAGAATGTGCCCCTTTATTTAAAATGCATCTCTGGGTTATTTGTGGGGCATAGGAATTTGTTCAATCCCCCCCCAAAAAAAAAATACTGTCTGCCCCCCCCCCCAAAGTCTGAGGGACAGTGAACTGGCTCCCTGCTGAAAAGGTTTGCTGGCCCCTGATACAAGTTATGCATACTGGCAAATGCACCAACACTGACTTAAGTCTTTAAAAGCCCCAAACAGCTTTGGCCCTGTATACTTGAAGGAGCGTCTCCACCCTCATCGTCCAGCCCAAATACTGAGGTCCAGCTCTGAGGGCCTTCTGGCGGTTCCCTCACTGTGTGAAGTGAAGCTACAGGGAGCTAGGCAGAGGGCCTTCTCGATAGTGGCACCTGCCCTGTGGAGCACCTTCCCATCAGATGTCAAGGAGACAAGTAACTAGACAACTTTCCGAAGACATCTGAAGACAGCCCCGCATTGGGAAGTTTTTAATGTTTGTTTTTTCGTTCTTTTATATTCTGTTCAAAGCTGCACAGAGTGGCTGGGGCAACCAAGTCACATGGGCGGGGTACAAGACCTGTATATTATTATTATTATTATTATTATTATTATTATTATTATTATTAAGGCAAGGGTAAGCCAACCCTCCAAATGTTGTTTATCTCCAACTTTCATCATCCCTGACCATGCTTGTGGAAGCTGACGGAAATTAGAGCCCAACAACACCTATGAGAGCTGGAGAGTTTCTCCTAAAGGTTCCCTGAAGATCAGAAGCCCCAGGAGATCAGGGCCTTTAGTGTGGTTGCCCCTGTTCTGTGGAACGGCATTCCTGCAGCTATTCAACAGGTGCCTGCTATCCACACTTACCAGAAACAACTGAAGACGTTTCTGTTCTGGCAACCTTTTCCAGCCACGTGAACAGGGCTCTGCCAGGGGTGTTAACTCAGCAGCACTCCTTTAATATTTATCCAATGTTACTTCCTATGTTTGTTCCCAACTGTTTCTTAGCTGCTTTTGTTGAATTCCGTGCATTGCCTCAAGGCATTTGTGGAAGGCAATATGATAACATCTGGAAAGCACATGTTTGCTACCCATGGACTTGGGGTGGGGGAGATCAAATTAAAAAGCTTTATAGAAGAGGCAGGGGTTTTTTGGGGGGAGGGCAGGGGTTGAAGCTGGTAGGAGAAAGAGAGGAGGAATCTTATTGGCACATTGGGAAGGAATTTGAGACAGAACTCCTAAATAGCACCTACTTCCCCCCCCCCCAAAAAAAGTCTCAAGTTAAACAGTAGTCAAAGTTTGGCAATAATCACTTTTATTTTTTTCCACACTAGCATAACATTAGAATTGACTTTGTGTCTTGCTGACATAGCAACTAAGAAAGTCGTGTTGCATTGACCACCATCGATTGCAAGCAATGCAGCCATTGGGGGGACGGACAGGCTCGCCCAAGTGCCATATGTTTTCGATATTGACCTTTTTCTCTTTTTCTATGGCTCTTTGGGCCGGCTATTGAATTTGGACTGCAGTGTAATAAACAGCTGAGGTTTAATTAATGGTAAATGAATACAAGACACAGGTTATGACTTTAACTAATTAGGGAATTGTTGAATTAAGTCTGCCTTGGAATGCAAGGCAGTGCAATCAATATCCAATAAAAGGACTATGTATGTAATTTACCTGCAAATGTGTTTCCAATACTGTCAAAGTGAGTTTAAATAAGTAAGATATATGAAAGGCTACTGTGGGGGGGGGGGGAGCTTGAGGGAGCAGGGGCGGGCAAGAATTTTTTTAAAAGTTAACACTTCACATAGCTTGCAAAATAACGAGAAAAGATGATGAGCTTTGGGAAGTTTAATCAGAAACAAGGAGAGCCGTCTTGCCAAGAGCACGGCAGAAGATGGTTGGAAAGGGCCAGAACGATCACTGACTTTGGCCAACTGGTGGCCTGTAGGCAGGAGGATTCCTATGTGTTTTGATACGAGTAGAAAAATAAGACAAGCTACAGATGAAGCCGCAAGGTTAAATCTCTGCTGAATTAATTTAGCTTGCACTCAGTTACAGACCAGTCCCATTTTTGTGTGGGGATTTTCCATACAAATGTACGAATATTCCGCAGGTAAATTGTACACATTTTGTAGGCATTCTTCTTATACAGTGGTACCTCTGGTTACGTACTTAATTCGTTCTGGAGGTCCGTTCTTAACCTGAAACTGTTCTTAACCTGAAGCACCACATAACTAATGGGGCCTCCCGCTGCCACTGCGCCACTGGAGCACCATTTCTGTTCTCATCCTGAAGCAAAGTTCTTAACCCGAGGTACTATTTCTGGGTTAACGGCGTCTGTAACCTGAAGCGCATGTAACCCGAGGTACCACTGTAGAGCAAAATGCATAATTATCATTATTATTTTGCATTCTTTTAGGGACCAAAGGTGCGCTGCAAAATCTAGAGGTGCACATAATGCAGGAGGGAGGAATCTTTTTTTCCCCTTCAGCTGAAGGGCCACATTCCATTCTGGATAACCTTCTGGAGGGCCAGAGACAAAAGAATGTGGAGTCCTGAATTTAAACTTCACCTTATACAGCCGGCTGGTTTCTACGCATATTCATCCTGCCGCCTCTGTATTCTCGCATCCAGGCAAGAAAGAATCACCATCAGAGGTTAAGGACACACTCTCCAGGTAGGCAAATTTATTCAGGAATGGTGCCAATCAAGGATAGTGAGGGGCGTGGCCTGAAATGAGGCTCAATGGCCAAGACGGAGAGGCCTGGAGGGCCAGGGGGACGCCCGAGATTCTCCTTTCCCCGCGGTCTAAATTTGCAAGCAGGGATGTCAAAACAGATTCATCTGCTGCAAAAAGCGGACTGAACGAATTACTTGGCCTGTTCCCAAGTCAGGCTGGAAGCAGTGAGGGGGAAAAGAGTGAGAGAGTTCCACTCTACTACTGATCTGATTGTACAGCTTCACAGTGCACGACATCAAAGTTTACTTAAAGGCAGTAATTTCCTTTCTTTAAAAAAAAGAAGGGGGAAAAGGAAGTTCTCTTCGCCTTACAACATTATTCAAAATTCACTGTTCTTTATCATGCTTTCTGCCTTGCTGTACTCCAGACTGCCACACTGACTTAGGGGGACAGGAAGTCGCCACACAAAGCCCCATAAACCTGCTGCTTCTCCAAGTATGCTTCACACCAGCCCAATTACTCATTTCTTCTCCCTGAAATGTTTTTGAAGGGGTGAAGGAAGACCGGGGGAGGTAGAGAGCAACCTACCTACTCCCTTGTGAGCATCTAAGCTGGTAAACTCTATGGTCCCATTATGGCCCTTCTTAGGATTTTCCCGATACTCTTTGTGGTTCCCATCGGGACAATATCTGTAGGCGAGTCCATAATCAGCAAGATAAACCTGGAAGACAAGCGGAGAGAAATGAATGATGCTTTTGTCCTCTGGAAAAAGTATAACCTTTCTAATTAAGCTGGAGGAAAACGGTGGCTTGAGGAGACTCTCAGATCTGCATTTTATTAAGCCAAATGGCATCTCAGGATAAAATATGTCCATCGAGGGGCTGTTAAGAGCTACCCTCGCCCTCCTGAGTTGCGTGCCACTTCCATACCCAGTCTTATTTCAGAGCAGAAAGGAATTTTTGTCTGTTTTGCTCCTCAGCTATCTTCTCTCCAGGTGGGGCTCCAGACATCATAAAGTGCAAGATGTCTTTTATCTGTCTCCATGCTGCTTAGGGGACCCCGTCTCCTCCTTACTAAACACACTCACACACGCAGGCACGACAGATCGTGTCTTTCAACAGCCAGCCCTTCGACAAGTTCATAACAGCCGTGCTTACAGAAAAAGGACGGAAGAGGAAAGTTTTCCGCAAACACCAAGCGTACGACATACTAATGTTTCCTTCTGGCGGGGGGACAAAAAGGCTCCAGGAGAGAACATCTCTCTGTAGTTGGAACAGAAGCTTTTGAAAGTTTTCCAACAGCCACACAAAAAAAGAACCACAAATAATCCTGAAAGAGAAGGCCCCCTGGTTGTCAGTTTTGCCATGTCTGAATCTGGCAGCAATAAGGAAAAAATGGTAACCCATTAGGGGAGATGTCTCAAGCAAACCCAGCTATGCTCTTAGCATCTGATGGCCGCCTTGCTGAGCACTTGCTTGATGACTTGGTAAACTCTAGGTTAGATTACTGCAATGCGTTATACGTGGGGCTGCCTCTGAAGACGGTTCGGAAACTTCAGCTGGTGCAGAAGTTGGCTGCTAGGTTGCTCAGTGGGGCAAGAAGGTGTGAGCGTATTACACCAATCCTGGCCCAAATGCACTGGCTGCCAATTAGCTTCCAGGCCCAATTCAAACAGCTGCTTTTGACAGATAAAGCCTTAAACGGCTCAGGACTGCAATACCTCAAAGACCGCCTCTCCCCATATGAACCTACCCAGACCCTGAGATCATCCTCTGAGGTCCTTCTTTTTGTGTCTCCTCCATGTGAGGTCCAGAGGGTGGCAACATGGGAAAGGGCATTTTTTTTGAAGTAGCTCTCCATTTGTGGAATGCTCTCAACAGGGAGGTTCACCTGGCACCTTCATTACATAACTTGAGGTACCAGGCGAAAATATTCCTCTTCTCCCAGGCCTCTGGCTAGTTAAAGAATCAGTGTCCTCTTAAATTTGAGGAGGTATTGTCTTTGTCTGTTATCAGGTAATGTATTTTTGTGTTTTTATTTTGTAAACTGGCACATGATCTTCGGATGAAGGGTGATATAGAATTTTAAATAATAATAATAGTAACAATAATATAATAATAACGGTAATAATGGTAATAACTAGGGATATGTTGGGGTGGTTGGACCATAAAGAAGGCTGATCGCCGAAGAATGGATGCTTTTGAATTATGGTGCTGGAGGAGACTCTTGAGAGTCCCATGGACTGCAAGAAGATCAAACCTATCCATTCTGAAGGAAATCAGCCCTGAGTGCTCACTGGAAGGACAGATCCTGAAACTGAGGCTCCAATACTTTGGTTACCTCATGAGAAAAGAAGACTCCCTGGAAAAGACCCTGATGTTGGGCATGATTGAGGGCACAAGGAGAAGGGGACGACAGAGGACGAGATGGTTGGACAGTGTTCTCAAAGCTACCAGCATGAGTTTGACCAAACTGCGGGAGGCAGTGGAAGACAGGAGTGCCTGGCGTGCTCTGGTCCATGGGGTCATGAAGAGTCGGACACGACTAAACGACTAAACAACAACAACAACAATGTTGGGGTGGGGATCCTGAAAGATTTTTTTCCAATATATTCCATAAATGTTTCAAAGAAGCTGTTAGAATATAGTTCCATTCCACCTATAGAACAGGCATGTGAAGTTGTTGTAAGTCACATGTCTATTTACTTCCAGCACAGTCTGCTGGGAACTTCCGCTGTATATAGCTTTTGCCTATGCTGTTTGCTTGGACAAGAAGGGAAGCAGACATGTTTTTCCTTTGTTCTAATGCTGAATAAAATGCTTGTAAATACGCCTTACATATGCCTCTGTCCGCCACTTCCGTTGTGAAGAGTTATTCACTCTGCTGATTACAGCGTGCTCAAGTTTCTGAAGGCTTCTGAAGCTATGAGTCGCTGATTGATGCTGTTCCAAGGAGACCAGAGTTCACCCGGCTGCCGGCCGGTGGGCTGGAGCCAGCTGGGGCCTGCAAATTGCCCCCGTTCCCTGGACACATCCCAACAGAAGCAAACACAATGTACAGCAGTACCTCGGTTCTCGAACGTAATCCGTTCCAGAAGACTGTTCCGAGTTCCGAAACGTTCGAAAACCGAGGCGCAAAGGGCTGGTTGCAAATGCAATTGAGAAAATTGAAAAACACGCAGCGGAAGCTGTTTGACTTCCGAGGCGCGTTCGAGAACCGAGGTACCACTGTAGAAGAAATATATTTGTTACTGTACACCGGGGCGTCCAACTCCCAAGAGACTGCGATCTACTCACAGAATAAAAAACTGGCAGTGGTTCAGGTTGAAGTTTTTGAGCTTTTTTTAACAGAGGAAAGTCCCATTTTTTGGGGGGGGGGTGTTCGGGTCAAAGTTGTTGAGTTTCTTTAAGGGAGGAAAAGTAAAGGGGAAAGGGGAAAAGTCAGTCACCAAAAGATCGCTAAGGAAACAATCTGCCTCACGGCGAAAACTCCATCTTCTGGTTCCAGCGATCATGCAAAAATGGAGGATGGGGCAAGGGGCCGGGGCCAGATGCTCTTATGCCACTGCAAAGGAGGCCATGATTGACCAGAACGTCCTGGGGATCGACCAGTCAATCTCAATCAACCTGTTGGACAGCCCTGCTGTACACCACAGGGCTTGGGGAACTTCTGGTCCACAGATGCCATCTGACCTGCCATAGCTCCTCCAGAGCATGGAGTAAGGTAAAGGGTAAAGGGACCCCTGACCATTAGGTCCAGTCATGGCTGACTCTGGGGTTGCGGCGCTCATCTCGCTTTACTGGCCAAGGGAGCCGGCATACAGCTTCCGGGTCATGTGGCCAGCATGACCAAGCCACTTCTGGCGAACCAGAGCAGCGCACGGAAACGCCGTTTACTTTCCCGCCGGAGCGGTACCTATTTATCTACTTGTACTTTGACATGCTTTTGAACTGCTAGGTTGGCAGGAGCAGGGACCGGGCAATGGGAGCTCACTCTGTCACAGGGATTCGAACCGCCGACCTTCTGATCGGCAAGCCCTAGGCTCTGTGGTTTAACCCGCAGCGCCGCCCGCATCCCAGAGCATGGAGAACAGCGGCCACCTGAGCCTCCAGGGACAGTGTTGAATCCAGGAGCACCTGCAAGATGCAGACCTGCTCCTTTCAAGGGAGTGCAACTCCTCACCTGCCGGAGAGGCCACCCCCTGCGCTAGACTAAACATGAAAAGAAACGTAAAAAAAACAAATTATGGAGTTACAGCACCACCGAAGAAACAGCCCAGTGTCTTCGGAGAATAAGCACCTGCTAAAAGCTTGGCAATAATAAGTGGACATTAAGCAGCAGCAGTCACTGCCCTTAAGGTTCATGCTCCCGACCAACACCTTCGAAGCATCACCAGCGTTAAGAAAATCACTGCATTAATTTGCAAGCTGTTAAGTTGGAGAAACTACTTTCCGCATCACTCTTTAACTAGTTTTGTGCTTTCCTGGCAGGCAAATCCCTGCCCTGGAAAATATATATATATATATATATATATTTTAACAGCACCGGCCTGACTTTGCTCTTAATTTAATTATATTGCTCTTGATGGGCTTCTTTCTTTTCCGTCTCCCTTTTCCTTTTCTCTTTTTCTACAAAAAAAAAAGGCAGTCAGGCTATCTGGTAGCTGATTCTATTAAAATTACTGACTCCTGTTTGTGCCCCCGGCAGATTTACAATCTTGGGATGGCTGGTCTGTGTCTTAAAGGGGAGGGAGACCCTGTTTCTTGCTGCTGCATTTTCTGCGCCTATTTGGAGCGTGTCACCAGGACTGCAGCTTTCTGTTCCTGCAGGGGCAACAGCTTTTAAAGATTATACTGATTATATTTCTCACCTGACGACCTGTACAAACTGCAATACAAAGATTAAAGACTGGAGGCGGCGTTTGGAAATCTGGGACAAGGCATAAAGTTTTGTCAGGTTGACCGACTCTTATTTCCTCCCGTATCCTCTAGCAGATTCATGCTGCTTGCTACCCAACCTAGCTGAGCTGGAAAGACAATAATGCGTCAAGTCACTGTGACGGAAGAGGCGACTTAAGTGGAACTGGCTGGCATTCCCTTGTCATTGAGCTTAGCAATGTAAGAGGCAGCCTTGCCCAAATATTGCCTCCATCTAAGCACAGAGAGATATGCTTTATTTTATTATTTGGAAATCACGAACTGTGGCTAGCCAACTGCAATTCTGACACTGCTTAAATGAAGGGGGGGGGAAACAGACACTTTAGAGCAGGGGTCAGCAAACTTTTTCAGCAGGGGGCCGGTCCACTGACCTTCACACCTTGTGGGGGGCCGGACTATATTTTGGAAAAAAATAAAAATGAATGAATTCCTATGCCCCACAAATAACCCAGAGATGCATTTTAAACAAAAGGACATATTCTACTCATGTAAAAACACGCTGATTCCCGGACCGTCCATGAGCCAGATTGAGAAGGCGATTGGGCCAGATCTGGCCCCCAGGCCTTAGTTTGCCTACTCACGCTTTAGAGCACTTTCCAAAGCAGTTTAAGCAACTTTTAACGGGACAGAAAGGATGCCATAAAATAAACTCTGAAAGAAGAAAGATTCCACCAACCTTAAGACAAAAAGTCATAGATGTAACCGGACAGGGAGACAGAATTTTGGTCAAAAGTGAGGAAGCTCTTCCTCAATGTAAGAGCAATTTGGTCAAGGAAAGCAGCAGGTCAGATGATTTGAGGGACCATATTCCTTGAATACTTCCAAGGAAACGCTGGATGAGCAACTGCCTTGGATGTTTCAAGTATTTTATTTATTCATCGATTCAGATTTCAATTAAATCTTATTGTAATTACAGTGGTGCCCCGCAAGACGAATGCCTCGCAAGACGGAAAACTCGCTAGACGAAAGAGTTTTCCGTTTTGGAGGTGCTTCGCAAAACGAATCTCCTATGGGCTTGCTTTGCAAGACGAAAATGTCTTGCGAGTTCCTGCGGTTTTTTCCCCCTTTCCCCCCCTTTTTCTAAGCCGCTAAGCCGCTTATCTGCTTATCCGATAAGCTGATAAGCCGCTAAAAGCCGCTAAAAGCCGCTAATAGCGCTAATCCGCTAATCCGTCAATGGGCTTGCTTCGCAAGACGAAAAAACCGCTAGACGAAGAGACTCACAGAACGGATTCTTTTCGTCTTGCGAGGCACCACTGTATCTGATGGCTCAAGGCATAAAGTACCTGCTTCACACCCGATCCTTAGCAGCTACACGGAACTGAAAAATACACAGCAGTCCAAGGAAAAGCTTTGAAGGCTGTTGCCAGGGCAGAAGGGTCAGCACCCTCTCCTGATGCACTGCAACAACCCTCAAAACGTTAAGAGGCTTATTGATAAAAAGAGAGGCTCTTTTGCCCTGAAGATTCACTCAGTGGCCTAACGCTTCCCTGCAAGTGAATGAAATCAGCAGCAAGCTGACCTTCCGGAGGTCAGCAGATTCCGATCATCTTACAATTCCCAACACATCATTTAGGAGGTCAAAGGAAAAGGAGAGGGCTGGTTTTATTTGCTTGCCTTTCTCACTCCCACACAAGAAAACAAATAATTACTCGCTTTACACCCCCCCCCATTGTTGTTGTTGTGTGTGTGCTCTGCATTGCCTATGATGCTGGGAACATTTCAGAAAAAAATAATTTTAAAACACTTCTATATGGTATCTCTCTCTCTCTCTCTCTCTCTCACACACACACACACACACACACACGAATGAAAAGCAGATATTCTGGAATGGAAATTTCCAGCAGAAATAAATAAAATTCCGACACAAACTTTCTTGGTTATTTCATAAATTTTAACATAACACTTGACTGTAAAACAAGAAAGGAAGAAAAAGCCCTCAAGGCGATTGTAAGAAAGCTTTTCTTAAACCTGGTTTGGAATTGACTACAGTCGTACCTCATGTTATGTTTGCTTCACGTTACGTTCTTTCAGGTTACGTCCCGCAGCGACCCAGAAGTACCGGAAAGGGTTACTTCCGGGTTTTGCTGCTCGCGCATGTGCACAAGCGCCAAATCGCGCTGTGCACCTGCGCAGATACGGCGCTTCCGGTTGCACTCTTTTCATGTTGTGAACGGGTCTCCGGAACGGATCCTGTTCATAACCAGAGGTACCACTGTATGTCTTAGTGCAGGGATGAGGAACCACAAACCCAGGGGCCAAATGAAGAGCTCCGTGTGGCCCCTGGGACTCTCCTGCAGCCCTCACCAGCTCCTTTGAGTGATGTTTTGCCTGGCAGGAATGTATCCTTGAACATTGTGCTTCTAAACTGGAAAGCTCAGTTGGTTAGAGCACAGAGCTGATAGTGCCAAGGTTGCAGCTTCGATCCCTGTATGGGACAACCACATATTCCTGCATTGCAGGGGGTTGGACTAGATAATCCTCAGGGTCCCTTCCAACTCTTCTACGATTCTATTATTCTCACCTGCCAGGATGGAGACCTCTGGCTACTGTGGGGCCTACTGCCTTTCCCCTGCATTTTTGCATCTGGCCTCACTTATCCCTAGCATGTTGTTCTACGAAAGAATCTGGCCCTTAGGATTTTCCCTTCCTCACCCTGGGGTTTAGTGTAATGTCTGAACCGGCAAAGCTGGCAAACCAGAGTCTAAAGTCATGCACTTAACTGTTGCCTTGGTTTGGGAGCCTTTGGGCAGTGCATGCAAATATAGGCACTAAATGACAACATGAAAAGGAGGTTCAGCTCCAACAGAATGATCACAAACGAAGGATCCCAAAGAGCAATCATGGTCAGAATTAAACTCCAATAAATTATACTAAACACAACCTAGAATCATAAAACTGCTGAGTTTGGTTGTGTAGCCCAACTCCAAGCAGTGCAGGAATCACAGCTAAAGAAACATTCACGAGCCGGGAACTTAATGTCAGAAAAGCATCACAACTATAGGAAGAAGATATTGAGGGGACGGCATGACAAACATGGAATGTATTTCATCCTTTCATATACAGTGGTACCTTGGTTCTCGAACTTAAACTGTTCTGGAAGTCTGTTCCAAAACCAAAGCGTTCCAATACCAAGACACGCTTTCCCATAGAAAGTAATGCAAAATGGATTAATCCGTCCCAGACTTTTAAAAACAACCCCTAAAACAGCAATTTAACATAAATTTTACTCTCTAAGAAGACCACTGATCAATAAAATGAAAGCAATAAACAATGTACTGCAGTCCCACACAATCATTCGGTAGCTGAACTGGGTTCCACACAGTCACACACACAAAAGAGCCACAGCAACAAAAAAGCAAAATAAATACCAAAAACAGACAGACCTCAGCGTAACACTCAAAACGGAACCCAAACACTGCAAACCCAGAAGTAAGTGTTCTGGTTTGCAAACATTTTCGGAAGCCAAACTGAGTGTCTGAGTATCAAGGCGTTTGAGAACCAAAGTACCACTGTATATTGTTTTAGTCAACAGAGCTGCCACGTAAAACCTGGCGAGATATATTGCTTTGTTAGCTCAGCAACAAATCTGGATCAGCAGTATATTAGCAGGCCAACTTAATTAGGGCTGCAAGAACTCAACGACAGCATTATTAGCAGCAAAGCGGCAATCAACCGCTCTGCAAGATGCAACACCTGATCTCTCCAAAGCATTCGTCCCTGGGACGCAAGGAGTTCTCATCCATTACAGTGGCATTTGAAGACACGGAGTCTCATCCAGCTGGCCTGTGCATGGACACAAAGACCAAGGTGTGCATAGGGAGCTGAACGAAGGATTTCAAGCTGCAGGGACCAGTTTGAATGCAAGTACTCACTGTGTGTAAAGCTGCACCCGAGCCGCCCGAAACTGCTTTAGCGTGCATGCACTACATTTCAAAAACCCGTCTGCATACTGTGCTTTAGACTCTTAAAACGTTTTGTTATGATTATATACAGTGGTACCTCTGGATGCGAACGGGATCCGTTCCGGAGCCCCGTTCGCATCCTGAGTAGAACACGCGACTGCACGGGTCACGTTTTGCCACTTCCACGCATGCGCATGATGTAATTTTATCGTCTGCGCATGCGCGAGCGGCGAAACCCAGAAGTAACGTGTTCCGTTACTTCCGGGTCGCCTTGGAGCGTAACCTGAAAATGCTCAACCTGAAGCATATTTAACCCGAGGTATGGCTGTATAAACCGTCTTAAGTTAAAACAAAAAGAAGGCACTGCCAACTCGTACTGCAGTCACAATTTTATTTATTTGTTTCATAAAATTTACACACCACTCAATTATAAAAGAACCTCAAAGCGGTTTTACAGGGGGGAAAAGGTAACATAACAAAACCATCACTAAGAAAAACGAGCAACAATAATTTAAGACACCTGAAGAGTTAAAAGGGACAATAGACTAACAACAGGTTAAAACTCGCACCAGCTTTCTAAGCATCTGAGTAGGTTTGCTGTCTAAATGAAAGTGTTTTCTGCAGGTGCCAGAAAAAAAGGGTACAGCGAAGGAGCCTGACAGATATCCATAGGCAGGGAGTTCCAAAGTTCAGGTGCTGCCACACTAAAAGATCATGTTCTTAACGAACACAGAATGGGATCGAAGCAGAAATTGTGCACGGGTTACTTCCAGGTTTCGGTGCTCGCACATGCGCAGAAGCACAAAATGACGTCATGCGCAGAAGCGCTGAATCGCGTCACACGCATGCGCAGACGCAGCACTTCAGGCTGCGAGCGCTGCAGGTTGCGAATGTGCCTCCGGCACGGATCATGTTCACAACCAGAGGTATGACTGTATAGCACACACCCCACCAAAACAAACCATGAACTATAACAATGAACTATAGCACACACCCCACCAAAACAAACCATGAACTATAACAATGAACTATAGCACACACCCCAACAAAACAAATTTAACAATGAGGCAGGTAGGGGGAAATGTGATCCTTACCTCATGTGGATTTCTGTAGCCCAAAAGCAAATTTCCTGCTTTAATGTCCCCATGAACGTATTCATGTTCATGTATGTATTCCAAAGCATCCAGCTAGTGGAGGAGAGAGGGACAGACAAATTACAAAGGAACCCAGGAGTTATACTGATATTAGGTCAGTGGGTCAGCCAGTTTTAGTCGGAAAGCAATACTGTATTTTTCGCTCTATAAGACGCACCAGACCATAAGACGCACCTGGTTTTGGGAGGAGGAAAACAAAAAAAATAATATTCTGAATCCCAGAAGCCAGAACAGCAAGAGGGATCGCTGCACAGCGAAAGCAGCAATCCCTCTTGCTGTTCTGGCTTCTGGGATAACTGCGCAGCCTGCATTCACTCCATAAGACGCACACACATTACCCCTTACTTTTTAGGAGGGAAACAGTGAGTCTTATAGAGCAAAAAATACGGTAAGCTGAAGAGGAAAAGCAGGTCATTTTCTTAACTTGCGGTGAAAGTAGGGGGTGAGGGAGGCATTGAAATTTTGATCTAAACCCATCTACAGTGGTACCTCAGGTTACAAACACCTCGGGTTACAAACACTTCAGGTTACATACTCCACTAACCGGGAAGTAGTACCTCGGGTTAAGAACTTTACCTCAGGATGAAATTGCACACCGGCGGCGCGGCAGCAGTGGGAGGCCCCATTAGCTAAAGTGGTACCTCAGGTTAAGAACGGTTTCAGGTTAAGAACGGACCTCCGAAATGAATTAAGTTTGTAACCAGAGGTACCGCTGTACGAGGTTCATGGCTGAGGACAAGCTCCCCAGCTACCACAATACACAAGCTCCCAATATCAATGAGTAAACAACAAGGGATGAAAAAAATGCATCTCAGTAATTCGTACCAACTTCATTCAATTAAATCTGCCTATGGAAAAAGAAAGCAATGAGTTGTATTCAATGCTACTCCTGATTAAAGAAGGCCCATTCAAGTTGACAGGCAAGGTGAACTTGGGTTAACATCAATGAGTCTATACTCTGAGCAGAACTTGGTTGGATTCTGAAGCAATATGTAATTCCTTTAACGATAACTTATAAAAACGGCACAGCAATCTGTGGATGACATTGCAGAACCTCCCTGTTAGAGGCGCTCCTTTCAGGTTAACAGTACACAAGCATCTGTTAGAGACTGTTTAGACAACACGCATTTCCTTCAAGCTTTGCACTGCTAAGGGCCCAATACCCACCATGCGGACTCCAATCTGCAGAACCATTTCCTTGCTGAACTTTCGTCCTCCTCTTTCAAAAATGCTTTGCAGATCCTCTCCTAACCTTTCCATCACCATAAATCTGTAACTATATAAAACACACAGAGAGAGACATAAGCATAGGATTGTCATGGCTTGTTGCCTTGTATTATAAGCAACAAAACGTATTCTTCTTTTTGTTTCTTTATATATGTACCACTTAATGTTAAAATAGGCTTCTACGAAGTATAAAAGGCCCTTACACAGACCTTAAAACATAAGCACCCACAATAAAACAATCCTATTAAAACCACACAGCAATTCAAACCAGGGACTCAGGTCGAGAGATCAAGGGAAGGACTGTGTACGCAGGTCCATGCACTAGGACTGCACTAAACTGCCTTTTAGCAGATTAGACCACTGGGTCTAATGCTCCAGTCGGTAGTTGGACTACTCAAGACTCTTCTAATTTGAGAGGTATTGGTTTGCCTGTCTTCCCAAGTGATGTGTAAAATTTTTCAGAGACATCGTTGATGGGAAGACAGGCAAACTAATACCAGTGTACTGGAAGAAGCAAAGATCACCAGTGTCAAAGCAATGATTCGTCATTATCAACTTCATTGGACTGGTCATGTTGTGCGGATGCCTGATTATCGTCTTCCAAAGCAACTACTCTATTCTGAACTTAAAAATGGAAATGGCGGTCAGCAAAAGAGGTTTAAAGACTGTCTCAAGGCAAATTTTAAAAAAGTAGTATAAACACCAACAATTGGGAAACACTGGCCTGTGAGCACTCCAGTTGGAGAACAGCCTTTACCAAAGGTGTCATGGGTTTTGAAGACGCTTGAACTCAGGATGCAAGGGAGAAATGTGCTAAGAGGAAGGTACGTTTGGCAAATCCACACTGTGATCAACTCCCGCCCAGAAACCAATGTCCCCACTGTGGAAGGAGGTGTGGATCCAGAATTGGCCTCCACAGTCATTTACTGACTCACTTTTAAAACAGTGTTTATGGAAGACAATCTTACTCAGCTACGAGTGATCGCCAAAAGAAGAAGAAGAAGAATTTGAGAAACCACGGGGACAGCAGCTGGGACCTTCAGTCTGCAAACCATGAGGTCTACCACTGACCTAAACAGCTTCCTCCTCCTTTTCAGGAAATGGACAACTGAACTCCCCACCCTCAAAAATGCTGATTCTTATTCACTTACATAGTGTGTGTGTGTGCGCGTGCACGTGCGTTTTCCTTACCTTTTGCCATTATGTTCGGTCTGACCAGCTCCCCAGAAGAAAGGAATTCCTAAAAATGTCAATCGCTTCAGCTTCATCCACGTCTTGACTGGCAAAAATGTAAAGAATATATATATATATATATATATATATTTTTAAAAGAAGTTTCTTTTTTTATTAAAAAAATATGCTTGCTTGTTTAAGGGTTTTTTTAAAAAAAAACAAAACAGTTGAGCTTAAGGTTTTTATTTATTATTATTTATTCTATTTATATGCTGCCCTTCATCAAAAGATCCCAAGGCGGTGTACAACGTTAAGAACACATGTTTTGAAACTGTTAGTAGAAAATAATGGCATGGAAACAATAATACATGCAACTACATTTGCGGAAGGGATGCGGGTGGCGCTGTGGTCTAAACCACAGAGCCTAGGGCTTGCCGATCAGAAGGTTGGCGGTTCGAATCCCCGTGACGGGGTGAGCTCCCGTTGCTCGGTCCCTGCTCCTGCCAACCTAGCAGTTCGAAAGCACGTCAAAGTGCAAGTAGATAAATAGGTACCACTCCAGCGGGAAGGTAAACGGTGTTTCCGTGCGCTGCTCTGGTTCGCCAGAAGCGGCTTAGTCATGCTGGCCACATGACCCAGAAGCTGTACGCCTGCTCCCTCAGCCAGTAAAGCAAGATGAGAACCGCAACCCCAGAGTCGTCCGCGACTGGACCTAACGGTCAGGGGTCCCTTTACCTTTACATTTGCAGAAGACAACAACTGTGTGCTTCTGTATTTGGAAAAGCGTTATTGCACTGTAAGAAGTGCATAAATGCTTCGACTTGCCTGCCACTCCACTTACTATGCTCTTGTTTTGCAGCTCGCTGGTAGAATTTCAGTTCAGAAAACAAGGGTCCGTTTTCAAGGTATTCCTGCATTAAAAAACGAAGAAGCAAATGCATTGGATGCATCCAGTTAATGAATGTCGCTCACAACTAGGGCTGGATGATATCTGTTTCTCAACATCATTATATATCACCAGCTAAACATCATGATATCTCGAGAGTTGAACAAAGGTAGGAGGCACCCCAAAATTTTAAAAACCCTCAGGCCACAAAGCTTCATACAGTTACATATTTTAGACCAGGCATGTCCAGCTTCCAAGAGACTGCGATCTACTCCCACTATAAATAAACTGGCAGTGATCTACCCACTGAATTGTCCAGAGTTGTTGAGTTTTTTTGCGGAGGCTTCATCAAAGTTGTTAAGCTTTTTTTATAATTAACCTTACAGGATTGTTGGAAAGAAAAAGGGAAGGCTGGTGGTTGTGGTGAGGAACCCTATATATCACTGTGATGTCCTTAGAGGAAGGATGCGATAAAGTTGTGAAAAATGAATAAAGAGGATAGATAATGGGTTGCATCGAGTGCAGGACATTACTATCGTCTGCCCATGTACCCCCAAAGTCTATCCTAGGGGGACCTCCTCCCAGCCCACTGGAGTAGATTTTGAGGGTGCACATTTAAGGAAGAGGAAGTTCTCCTGTGCAAGTTTACACAAGTCTCCTTCCCTCCAAACCCTCTCAGGTGTTGAGATAAGCAGAGGAGGGACTTTTGGCAATTCCACTGTGCCCCGTTCAGGGTGATGGGGTGGCCCAGGAGAGGGCATTCGTCGTGGCAGCTCCTAGGTTGTGGAACTGCCCCCACCCCTGAGGTACACCTGCCATCTCCATTCTGCAAATCTAGAGTAAGAATTATTACTCCAATAAGGATGAATATTAATACATCAGGAAATTGTGCTGTGCTGTTAGGGACAGGGCCTATAGACATTCTGAAATTGCATTGAAAATGAGGCAAACATAATATTAGAGCCCTCATATGTATGGAAAGCAACACTGAGGAACTGCAGGATAGATTTCAGCACTTGTTGAGATACATTGCACTCTTAAGGCCTCTCCGGACCAGGGGTTTGTTTGCAGACGTATTCTGCAACATGTCATTAACGCAGTAACAGTGAATCACTGGTGGATTTATAATGGGCTGTCCACACATCATTCTGCTTTATTAGTTGTTCTGTGGTGCTTTCCCCATGTTATTGCGTTATTGCCATCTGGAGGGGCACTCCAGGGAAAAAACAAACAAACCCTGGAATTCTTGTTGTGTGCAAAGTTACAGGATTTCAGCAGGAAGTTACAGGACATGAGACAAAGCAGTCTGTCTACCCCCAAGATATCTGCAGGCGCAAACATTACTGAAAGCACGATCAAGTATAACCGCCCCAATATCATCGTGAGTTCAAATCATCACAAATGCGTAACAAAAAGGACATACAGAGCGGACCTTGCAGTAACTTACAGCCCTTTGCCACGGAAGTTGATTTTTAAAAAGGTATGAAAATTACCACTTTAATGACATGCTCTGCACTGTCTTCTACGGGAACATCAAGGTGAGGGGAAGCTGCAGGACCGAATGTGGGTGGAAAGAGAGAGAGAGGTGGGTTACGGATGAACTGATCTCTCTAGCTATGAACAGAATTTAAACTAAGCATCAACAGAGACAATATGACAAGTCCCATGCAGACCTTGTTGCGTAATAACAAACAACACCATTTATTTAAATGCTTCTCTAAACAGATTACCGTATTTTTTGCTCTATAAGACTCACTTTTTCCCTCCTAAAAAGTAAGGGGAAATGTGTGTGTGTCTTATGGAGCGAATGCAGGCTGTGCAGCTATCCTAGAAGACAGAACAGCAAGAGGGATTGCTGCCTTCACTGCACAGTGATCCCTCTTGCTGTTCTGGCTTCTGAGATTCAGAATATTTTTTTTCTTGTTTTCCTCCTCCAAAAACTAGGTGCGTCTTGTGGTCTGGTGCGTCTTATAGAGCGAAAAATACGGTAATAACTAAACACCTCTGGGCAATATAAATAAGGTAAAGAACACAAATAGTATCATAAAATCAAAAACATAGTAACAAGAGCGACAACAACAAAAATATCTTCTCACTGTATAACAAGAACCTCATGTAGACCTTTAACCGTTTTCTTCATTCCTTCAATTATTGTTATTCCTATATACGCCCATTTCATCAGATGAGAAAATGAGGCCAAAAAAAAATCAGCAACTTGCTTCAAAGCCATCCAGTGAACAAGTGGCTGAGCAAGGACCGGAACCCAAGTCCCCACAAATTCTAGGAGGAAGAGCAGGACTGGGCAGAAGCGGACAAGGTTCTCCACCCCATGCAGAATGGCAATATGACAAACTGCATCTGCCAAAATTCCCTATTTAGCTCCGGCTGCACTGCAGGAATGATCAACTGCCATGGACAACAATCGATTTCCAAATGACTTTGGGGTCTTCTTCCCCATCCCTCCCCCAGTGTAGTTCTTCTCCAGGTTCTGTGGAGCAGAACGGGGAACTACTACACTACTTGTACCCCATTTTACCACCCAAAGATGGGCAATGAGGAATTAAGGCTGTGGGTTGGGGTGGCTAATCTGCGGCACTCCCTATGTTGCATCATCCATAACTATTGGCCAGGCTGGCTAGGGATGATTGGAGTTGGAGCTCAGCAATAACCTGATGGCCAAGGGTTAAAGACCCCACCCATACAAGATGGGTGACACCTGGCTTGAGAGCAGTACATGTGAAAAGGATCTAGGAGTCTTGGTTGACCACAAACTTGACATGAGCCAACAGTGTGACGCGGCAGCTAAAAAAGCCAATGCAATTCGGGGCTGCATCAATAGGAGTATAGCATCTAGATCAAGGGAAGTAATAGTGCCACTGTATTCTGCTCTGGTCAGACCTCACCTGGAGTACTGTGTCCAGTTCTGGGCACCACAGTTCAAGAAGGACACTGACAAACTGGAACGTGTCCAGAGGAGGGCAACCAAAATGGTCAAAGGCCTGGAAACGATGCCTTATGAGGAACGGCTAAGGAGCTGGGCATGTTTAGCCTGGAGAAGAGGAGGTTAAGGGGTGATATGATAGCCATGTTCAAATATATAAAGGGATGTCACACAGAGGAGGGAGAAAGGTTGTTTTCTGCTGCTCCAGAGAAGCGGACACGGAGCAATGGATCCAAACTACAAGAAAGAAGATTCCACCTAAACATTAGGAAGAACTTCCTGACAGTAAGAGCTGTTTGACAGTGGAATTTGCTGCCAAGGAGTGTGGTGGAGTCTCCTTCTTTGGAGGTCTTTAAGCAGAGGCTTGACAACCATATGTCAGGAGTGCTCTGATGGTGTTTCCTGCTTGGCAGGGGGTTGGACTCGATGGCCCTTGTGGTCTCTTCCAACTATATGATTCTATGATTCTATGATTCTAGGTCATGCTAAACTAGGGGAGGAGATACCCTGTGGCCATCCAGATGTTGCTGGCCATGCTGGGCTGGGGAATTAATAATAATAATAATAATATGAAATGAAAAAGATGTTGAAATATACATTTATTAAAAAACCAGAAGCATTTCTACTTGGCATTGTAGGGGAGGCTATTAATAGACAAGAAAATAAACTGTTTTTACATGCAACAATGGCAGCAAGAGTACTATTGGCACAGAAATGGAAACAAGAAGAATTACCGACGAAAGAAGAATGTCAGACAAAATTAATGAACTATGCAGAAGTAGATAAAATGACAGGAAAGATTCGAAACCTGCGGGATCAGAGATTCTCAGAGGACTGAGCAAATATGTGAATTATTTGAAAAGCAATTGTAATCAACAGATTACGCTAGTAGGATTGCAAGAGGTTTTGTAAGGAGGACTATGAGAAATATTGCAGAGAAAAGTATGAAGAGAATAATTAGTGAAGGACTATTAAAAGTAATAGTGAAACTAATGAAATGCAGATTAAGTGATAAAGATTGAAAAATCTTCAGATGTGGTTGATGGAAGTCCAAAACACTGAATAAGATAAGAAAATATGTTGTATGTTTTTTGGAAATTTCATGTAAAAATCAATAAAAATATGTTTTGAAAAAAATATATGCATCATCATCATCATCATCATCATCATAATAATTAAATTTTGATTTACATCCCACCCTCCCCAGCCATAACTGGGCTCGGGGCGGCTACCATCAAAATATAAATACATTAAAACATAAAATTCAGCAATTGACTGAAATACAGTTTAAAATTGGATTAAAATCAGTAAGATCAGAAGGCAACCAGCAAATTATGACTGTAGGGATTGGGAACCTTAGGTACTCACTAGGCTCAGCTATTTATATGAGCCGGTGAGAGGAGTTAGAGAGGCCTCTTATATATAGGGTCTTGTAGGAAGAGAGGGGTCAGACTGGGCACCTACCAAAGGCCTGGCGGAACAGCTCCGTCTTACAGGCCCCGTGGAAAGATGTCAAGTCCCGCAGGGCCCTGGTAGAAGAAGAAGAAGAGTTTGGATTTGATATCCCGCCTTTCACTCCCTTTAAGGAGTCTCAAAGCGGCTAACATTCTCCTTTCCCTTCCTCCCCCACAACAAACACTCTGTGAGGTGAGTGGGGCTGAGAGACTTCAGAGAAGTGTGACTGGCCCAAGGTCACCCAGCAGCTGCGTGTGGAGGAGCGGAGACGCGAACCTGGTTCCCCAGATTACGAGTCTACCGCTCTTAACCACTACACCACACTGGTCTCTTGTGGCAGGGCATTCCACCAGGCTGGGGCCAGGACCGAAAAGGCCCTGGCTCTGGTTGAGGCCAGTCTAACCTCCTTGAGGCCCGGGACCTCCAAGACGCTATTGTTTGCAGACTGTAGGGTCCTCTGCGGGGCATATGGGATTTGGGGTCCAATAACACCCAGAAGGGCCACACCATGGACATCACACTAAGGGCAATGCTAAAAGTAACTGGTCCGTGAGTGAAGTTGGAGACTAAGTCCAAATTCACATGAAACTGTTGCATACCATTAAGTGCTTCTGCCATTATGCAAATATTATAATTAAAATTAACTTTAAAGACTTGATTTAAATTATCTTAAGAATAAGAGACTTTAAAATATCTTTATGAAAATGTAGCTGGGACCGAACTGATCAAGAAAGAGATAGAACTATTGAGTTACAGCCTTTAACTATAATTAATAAAGCCAAAATTACAACCTTACAACCAATCATTATTTGAAATATAAAGAAGAAACTTGTCCGTTAAAGGAAGAAAAACAGATCGTTGAGGAATAATGATTTCTTCAATAAAATTAAAATGAACTGAAGATAATTGAAGATAGTATCATTGATTTTGAATGATTAGCACCTTCCATACAAACCAAACTTAACTGGACTTTACCAATAACTTTTTACGAGACCTTAAGTCTGATAGTTTCATTTTATGAACTGAAAACTGAAAAAAAGGAAAAGGAAAAATCAGCTGGTTAAGAACACTGAATGTGAGATAGCAGGCCAGAGCAATAGAAACTCAAACCTTGCACCATTTTCTCCAGTAAAATAAGGGTAAAAGACAAATAATTTGCAACTGAAACTCTTCTCACTTTTTCTGTCTTATTCTTCACATACTTTCTTCCCCAACTTTTAAAGTTAAATTGACACTCTCTCTTTACAATTATATTTCATGATGAAATCATTAAAGATTACATCACTTAATGTTAAAGGCCTAAATCATATCACATCATAATTGTTTATATTATATTATATTATATTATATCATATTATATTATAGCAGGGATATCTGCTTCTTTTTGTTTCAATTGTTCAGAATATTTATATATCTATATAACCTTTTAAAGCAGAAGTTAGATGGCCATCTGTCATGGATGCTTTAGCTGATATTCATACATTGCAGGGGGTTGGACTAGATGACCCTTGGGGTCCCTTCCACCTCTATGATTCTATAATATATATATTATATGCCTGAGTGGGCGCATATGCAGGAAAGGCAATCTGACAGGTAAACTGGTCCTAAGCTGTCAAGGGCTTTCTCTTCTAATAGTAACGCAACGAGCTTGACCTGGTAACAAATCAGAAACGAGCGGACACCCCTGGGCAACATAGCTGTCAACTTTTCCCTTTTCTTGCGAGGAATCCTATTTGGAATAAGGGAATTTCCCTTTTAAGAAGGGGGAAGTTGACAGCTATGCCGGGCAGAAACGCTACATGCTGGCAGGATCTAAATGCAGTTTCCAGGTCAAGTGCAAAGGAAGCCTCACACAACAAGAGTGCACTGCGGCGATCCAATCTTAAAAGCCGCCAATGCCTGAACTGCTGTGGTCCAGAAACGGTCAAAGCTGTCGTACCAGGCACAGATGCTAAGAGGCGCTTCCAGCCGCTGAGATTACCTGTGCCTCCACGGATAAAATGAACACTCAAATGAAAAGCATGATGTATGAATGCCGCAGGTTAGGAAGATGGCCAAAGATTCCCTAACGTGAGTCCACCTTGACTGCCTTACCACCACTCCTTGATTCGCCCCCCACAACTCCAGTTTCCTTCCACCTCTAGCTACACCAACAACTTGTATCCCGCTAGAATGCACACCGTGTGTTTTCCCAAGTTTTAGGCTTTGGAAGAAGCTTGGAACACCTCTTTTTTTTAAAAAAAAAGTGCAAGGCAGCACCAGCAACCAGTGGTCTCCAGATGTTCTGCACTACAGGTCCTATCAGTCCTAGGTGGAACATGCTGACTGGGGTTAATGGGAGTTGCAGTGCAAAACTTCTCTGAAGAACAAGCTCGTGAGAGGTGGTGTAACGGAAGTAGAATCTGATTCTACTATAAAAAGGTAAAGGGACCCCTGACCGTTAGGTCCAGTTGCGGACGACTCTGGGGTTGCGGCGCTCATCTTGCTTTACTGGCCGAGGGAGCCGGCGTACAGGTCATGTGGCCAGCATGACTAAGCCGCTTCTGGTAAACCAGAGCAGCGCATGGAAATGCCGTTTACCTTCCCGCCGGAGCGGTACCTATTTATCTACTTGCACTTGACATGCTTTCGAACTGCTAGGTTGGCAGGAGCAGGGACTGAGCAACGGGAGCTTACCCCGTCGCGGGGTTTCGAACCGCTGACCTTCTGATCGGCAAGTCCTAGGCTCTGTGGTTTAGACCACAGCACCATCCGCATCCCTATTCTACTATAGAAATGTGATTAACCAGCTTGCAAGCAGCTGGGTGCTACAGTGTAAGCTGCCTCCCTCCCTTCGACATGGCTTAAGAAGCTGGTCACCCCATCCGACAAACTCTGGAGAACAACTTCAAGGCCAGAGGTCATGTGTGTACAAACACAGGTCCTTTGCACAGTATGTTAACCACTAGGATTTTTTTCCTTCACATGAATGAAAACCCTTTAACAACTCTACATGAAATCGAACATATAACTGAACTTCTTGGAGATCCTAGGGATTGAACCTGTGACCTTCTGCATGCAAAGCTGATGTTTTACTAGTGAGCTACAGCCTTTCCACAAACGAAACCCATATGCACCAGCTATTTGACCCACCTAAACCTGAACTGCCTATTCCTGCTGGTCTCCCTCAGCTCTCCTATCTAGAGAGACTGAGCCCAGGATGTTCTACATGCAGAGCATGTTCTTTGCCACTGAGCTATGGCGCTCCCCCACAGCTTTTATTAGTTTTAATAAGCAAGCAGCAACATTGGAGCACATTTCTGGAGGAAATTGCCATTCTCCGCCTCCCCGCTCACTGACAGCCTGGCACCACAGCACCCAGAAGTCCGACAAAGTTAACTTGCTGGTTTGGTCTGCCAGCTGGAGCCTGCCAGCTTTCACTTACAGCAGTTCATTTTCGTGGCAATCATCTCTTGGAATATAATGGAGAAAAGTGTCTGCCATAGATCTTAGGGAGCCGGTTTTGCAGGCAAAGTTTGCACACTGGGGGAGAGCAAAAAAAGCTATGCCTATTGGCAATTAAATAGAATTCCCCAACTCCTGTCCACAGCTGATCTCACTGCTGCTGCTGGAGGTTTTGGCAACAGATGCTCATTTTGCAAACACTGATGGCCTCAAGAAAGTGTATTTGTGTACGAGCACATACACAGGGAAAGAAGGGTGGGGTTTTTTAACCAGTGTTCCTCAGAAATTATTCTTCTGCTAGGTTTACCGTATTTTTCGCCCTATAGGACGCACCGGCCCATAGGACGCACCTAGATTGGGGGGGGGGGATAAAGGGGAAAAAAATATTTTCCCCCCAGGTGCGGGGCTGGGGTGGGGGAAGCCCGAGCTTCCCCTGACCCCAGCCCCCAGAACGGGAGCCAGAGCGATGCCGAAGCTGCACGCAGCTTTGGCATCGCTCTGGGAGCTTGCGGGGCTGGGGGGATAGCTTCCTGAAGCTTGGAGAGTGAGAGGGGTCGGTGCGCACCGACCCCTCTCGCTCTCCAGGCTTCAGCGAAAGCCTGCATTCGCCCCATAGGATGCACACACATTTCCCCTTCATTTTTGGAGGGGAAAAAGTGCGTCCTATAGGGCGAAAAATACGGTACATACTGGAGTGTTTCTCAAACTTAGGTCCCCAGCTGTTGCTGGACTACAACTCCCATCATCCCTAGCTAGCAGGTCCAGTGGTCAAGAATGATGGGAGTTGCAGTGCCACAACAGCTGGGGACCCAAAGTTTGAGAAACACTGCACTAACATCACAATAACCATGCTAGGAAGGCATATTTCAGCACCAGAAAGTTTAAAAAAATGGCAATGTTTCCAAACTCAACTTAAATATGGTCCAGTAGACCTTTTAGAAAAACAACAACATTGTGAAAGTCTTAACATGCACGAAAGACATTAACTGAAGCTCAGTCTGTGGATAAGTGTTTTACTTAAGCTTGAGGCCTGCAGAGCTCAGGGGAAATATTATGTTACTTTTGAGACAAGATCTATACAGACAGAGCTATCTGATATCAAGGCTGTAATTGTCTAGTAACGTCTTCTCTCATAGGTCTATGTTTCTGCGCACCCATCTTCTTCACTGTCTCCTTCGTGCTTGTAATCAAGTCAGATCCTGGCTGCAAAATCTCTCATCCCCACAAAACAGTCAGTCTTTCAGCGTGACATGACTATTTGGACGCATCCAGACAGATGCCAATGTTGAAGTGAAATTCAATCTATTGTTATTGGCATCTGTTGGTCTTGAGAGACAATGGAGTGTGCCTCCGGGGGTGAAGTCAAACCGCTGAATTAGGAGCACAGTAGTGACCTCCCCAGCCTGGGCAGTGTGTATGGAAGCACTGGGCTGCCCAGATGACCCCTCCTGGCCTTGCTGATGTGATACAAAGGAAAGCAGAGCAATACATTAGGGACCAGCTTGGCTGCAGGAGTTGCTGTAAGGAGATGTACAAGGCGCCATAAACCTCCTTAGGGATTTCATTCCAGTGTTTACTCCTTAGCCTTTTCTACTCCCGACGTTATCCCGCATGGTGGAAGCGATTTCATTTGGCCACTGTCTCTTAGGCTCCTTGTTCCTTTTTCAGTTAACCAACAGCACGGATGCAAGCCAATGGGTTAGAAAGAGGAACATGCAGAAATATTTGCTGTTAGGTGGATTACGGACAATCCGCAAAGATATGTTTCCCTTAAATTGGCACTGTGGCACTGGCTGTGTTGTGGAATTGGCATCTAGACCCTGTTGAAACTGGCATGGCACCTTCTGAATGGGCACGGGGACAGGACAGCAGATGGTCAGGAGCTGAGATGTGTCTGAAGACACCATGCATAGCCCAGTTAAGCTTCCAGTGCCAAGAGGGACATCCAGAAAAATTCTCTCTTGCTCCTAAAGGTTAACGTCAGCTCTGAAAGTCAAACAGTGGTTTCTGAAGCTGTAGGAATCAGGAATATCATCAGTGTTGCTATTTAGGGTTGTATGGAAGTGAGAGCTGGGCTATAAAGAAGGCTGATCGCTGAAGAATTGATGCTTTTGAATTATGGTCTGGAGGAGGCTCTTGAGAGTCCCATGGACTGCAAGAAAATCAAACCTATCCATTCTTAAGGAAATCAGCCCTGAGTGCTCACTGGAAGGACAGATCCTGAAGCTGAGGCTCCAATACTTTGGCCACCTCATGAGAAGAGAAGACTCCCTGGAAAAGACCCTGATGCTGGGAAAGATTGAGGGCACAAGGAGAAGGGGACGACAGAGGATGAGTTGGTTGGACAGTGTTCTTGAAGCTACCAGCATGAGTTTGACCAAACTGCGGGAGGCAGTGGAAGACAGGAGTGCCTGGCATGCTCTGGTCCATGGGGTCACGAAGAGTCGGACACGACTAAACGACTAAACAACAACAACAACAAAGTCATGAGAACCCAGAAATTACATATTACCAGCATCTGTGCTGGGTTAAAAATTGCATGGCAATAATTTAGAGACGGGAATAGGGTAATCTAGGATAGCCATCCTCAGCCTGGTGTCCTCCATATTCATTGGACTACAGCTTCCATCAGGCACAGTCAGTGCTCAGAGATAACGTACCGTATTTTTTGCTCTATAAGACTCACTTTTTCCCTCCTAAAAAGGGGAAATGTGTGTGCGTCTTATGGAGCGAATGCAGGCTGCGCAGCTATCCCAGAAGCCAGAACAGCAAGAGGGATTGCTGCTTTCATTGCGCAGCGATCCCTCTTGCTGTTCTGGCTTCTGAGATTCAGAATTTTTTTTCCCTTGTTTTCCTCCTCCAAAAACTAGGTGCGTCTTGTGGTCTGGTGCGTCTTATAGAGCGAAAAATACGGTAAGCTGTCATCCAAAATGTCTGGAGGGTACCAGATTTAGGAGCAAAATTCTCAAGTACCCCGAACTGTGCCTTATGGTTATAAAGTTGTGTTTGAAAGCAACACGAAGATTGAACTGGTTAAGAGATGAAACCAACACAGAGATTGAAGAACTAACAGTTATAAGGATGGAACACAAGCACACAGAAATCACCAACAGCAAAGGCAGCACATTGCAATGACTCAGGTGATGATCTATACTTTACCTAGGTAGATTAGGCCAAATCCTCCCTGGCCAATCATACGACCTAGTCTCCACTCTCTTTTTTCAGTGTCTTTCAGTATTACCCCTTCTTGAAGAGGAGTGGGGAGGTTGCTTTTTCCATGCCTTTTAGGAGGCATCACACCTGAATGGGAGAAAAGGAGGAATACATAGGAACATATGAAGAGTTCTTTCATCTATATATTCTTTCCTGAATGCCCCACTCTATCCAGTGTTCGAAATTAGCCAGGCGCCAGGCACATTTTGCACCTGCCTTTCGACCACCTGTGACCACATAATGGCATCTGGCATCTCCACTCTCTGGGGAGAACATTGGATCTGTTTTCACACACTAATACCGCTTCCTGTAGAATTCTATCAGTTATATTTTATCTGAACAATTGGAATGAATTTCTAGAACCGAATTGCTTTTCCCGCCCTGTGGAATGGGCCAATATAAATGTGGACTGTCTCTGGATTCAAGTGACTTTTCTTATTTAAGTTCTCAAAGCTCTTAACCTAGCTCAAGGTTGTCATCTGAACTAGCCAGATGTTTCACTGAGAATCAATCACAGTCAGTCCATCATTTGAAAAATAAGCCTTTAGAGCAGTCTTGCCCCAAAATGGCAACTAGACATTCCATTTTGGCAACCGCAACCTTGACTTAAGGAGCCAAACAATAACACTTATTCAATGGAGCATTCATGAATTGTTAATTTGCTGATTTAATGTTCATGAACATTTATCAACTCTATTAATAGAATTGTTATTGCAGTCTATTGTTATCTATTGCTGTTTACTGCTCATGCAGTAAACACCTGTTATGTGTTGTAAGTGGCTTATACGTGTATGATCATAATTTATTATTTGGCCCAGACTGCATTTTTTATTTTTATTTCTTAAATTTGTTAGTTGCTTTACCTTGAAAAGTGACTTAAAACAAACCAGACAGACAGACAAAACCCTGACAGAATACATTAAAACCAAGAGGAGAAAGAAACACATCTTTTCTTTAAAAAATCCCACCCACTTATGCATATGTACTCAGATGTCATGCTGAATGCTTCAAAACTTACTCCCAACTAAGGACATAAGCACATCACGCATTTAGAGCACATTCAATGCACATTTAAAGCACATGACTTCAACTAAGGAATCCTGGGAAAAGTGGTTTGCTAAGCGTACTGGGAATTGTAGTTCCTTTTTAAAAAAAATAATAATACATTTTTATTGATTTTTTAACATATCAGTTCCAACAGTCATACAACATATCTTCACATCTTATGCAATATTTTGACTTCCGTCGACACCTCTGATGATTTTCTGTTCTTTATCATACTTCTGCATTTCTTAATTTTCTATTACTTTTAATTATCCTTAGCTAATAATTCGGGAATTGTAGTTCCATGAGGGAACTACAGTTCCCATGGTTCTTTGAGGGAAGTGATGTGCTTTAAATGTATGGCGTGAATCTGCCCTAAGTGAGTACAGGACTGCAGCTGCAGCCACTTTAAAAAAAAAACAAGCATCTCCCCACTCAACTCCCAGGAGTCTTTGCAATACACGAGGCACACCTAGCTACACGCTACAGTACTAGCAAACTCAATTCTCCAAGCGAACACTGCCACTCCTGCACAAAAGGGATGCACCACAGAATTTATGGAGGGAGGAGACTAAATTTTGCAGGGAATTCCACCCCTAAAAAGGAATGAGAAGAAAACTCAAAAGGGAACCACCCAAAGCTGCTGAAAGAACATGCCCAGTGGATGCAGAATATCTGTTTTCCCAAAGGGGGGGGGGACATGGGGAGGAATGGAATGGAGTACCCTGGAAGGGGCTGGCTGGCTGAAACCACCACTCCACTGCTACAATATTTCACTCCAGCTTCCACTTCCAAAAAGTCTCGGCAATTTTTTTGCATTATAAAAAATATATATCTAAATTTGCCAAGAGCCTGAGGACAAGAGGGTAGAGAAGCAGAACACCGAGTCCACTCTTTCTTTTATGAAACTGAGGAGCTTGGGATGGGGGTGGGAAGCCTGTGGCCCTCCCAGTTGCTGCTGCCCTCCCAACTCCCACCCACCAGCCTCAGCCGGAACAGCCAATTTGCCAGGGCTGTCTCTTTCACTGGAGATTCCCCCCCCCCCCTTTAAAAAGAATATTTATTTCATTTTTCATATTCATGTTTTACAATCACATATCCGAGAAACAGCATAAAAACAAGATTCCAAAAATGCCCTGGACTTCCTGCCTCCCCTTTGTGGGTCTTATTGCTGACCATTTCCTCCTGCATCTTTTATAATAATCCAAATCTTTTATGCCTCTATTATATCCAAAATTCAACGATAAACTACATGTGTTAGTCCAACCCAACTAACGATTTTAACTGTTTAGAATGGTTTTTAAGATAAATTATCAATTTCCCCCATTCCTTCTTAAAATTTCCGATTCTTCCGGTTGTTTTTGCCATTTCGCCATAATCCATCAACTTAAACCTGCCATTCTTCTCTGGTAGGGACTTCTTTCCATCTCTGGGCCAATAGCATCCGAGCAGCTGTGGTCGCATAAATAAATAGTCTTTTTTTCTGCTCTATTGGGATTTCGGCACCTCACTGGAGATTTTTTTAAACCAGGAGGTTGGCTGGCCCTCCCTTGGGGAGTCTTTTAACTTTCCTGGGGAGGGTTAGACTAGATTACTCCTGGGGGTCCCTTCCGACGCTACCATTCAGGGCCGGATTTTGGTTTGATGAGGCCCTAAGCTACTGAAGGTTAACGGGGCCCTTTATATGTCCAGCTGTCCTCTGTCAGCAACAAATTGTCACTGGTTTTGTGTGTGTGTGTGTGTGTGTGTGTGTGTGTTGAATATATGCTATATGGCAATTTATGGACCTAAAAGGTATCTAAAGCCATTTGAACATAACAAAATATGTATTTTATCAAAGTCATTGTCGAATTGAAGCACAATTGCGTATATTAACAGTGAAATAATTAAGCTCTAACATAAATGATTGCGGGCCCATTACTTACATCATAGGAGCCAACACAAAACACAAAACACTGTTGCTGTATGTGGGTTTTATTTTGTTTTTTATCTTATATTTTGGAAATGTATATCCAGTTTTTTTACCTTTAATTTTTTTGGGGGGAGGGCGCTCCTGTACGTAGGTTTTATTCTATTTGTTCTTATCGAGGGTGCCATGAGATTAAGGGCCACTATCTGAACGATAACCTTGGTCATTTGATTTGCCCTTTTTACCAATTGCTGTCTGTTTATTTGTATATATTGCTTGTTGTATGTTGCCATGGCCGTTGGCTAATGCGAATAAAGTTTATCTATCTATTCTATTTGTTTCTTATATACTAGAAATGTACATCCAGGGGTTTTTTCTCCCCTTTAATTTTTTTTGGGGGGGGCCCTAAGCTCTAGCTTGTTTAATAATAATAATAATACATTTTTATTTATACCCCGCCCTCCCCAGCCCAGACCAGGCTCAGGTCGGCTAAATATGTTATGTTTAGCTTAATACTGTACGTAAATTCGGCAGTGCTTCCGACGCTACCATTCTATGGTTTGGGGGGGGGGTGTTTGTTGTTGCGGTCCTGCCTCCCCCCTGCCCTGGCTTAGCTCAAACTTTCAAGTCACCCTAAACTTTCAGGGGGACCCCACCCTACTTCTGCCCCCCCCCCCCTTCTTTTGGGAGAGGCCGCCAAGTCCTCAGCCTACCGCCGGGAGAAGACTCCGAGGCTCGGGAAAGTCTGTCTTTCTCCCCGCTGGAAACTTTGTATCTTCCTCCTGTCTCCTCTCCTTCCTGAGGCGCCGGGCGAATGGGAGGCCGAGCGTGACGGCGGGCGGTCAGAGCGCGGCTCTCACGCCAAGGAGCCTGGTCACGTGGCCCGGCAAGAGGGACTCCAAGGAGGTGCCGGCCGGCTGCTGGCTGCTAGGGCTGGGCGTGTCCACGCGCGCGCCCGCCCGAGAACAGCCTATCGGGAGCGGAGGCGGCGGACACGCCTCCTCAGCAAACAAACGCCCGGCTCGAGAGCGCGCGCGCGCGAGAAAAGCGGCAGCGCAGGGCAATCGCGGAATCGCGGAGTTGGGAAAAGGGGCACGAGGGTCATCCAAACCAACCCCCAACCCCCAGGGCCGGATTTAGGTTTGATGAGGCCCTCTAAGCTACTGAAGGTTATGGGGCCCTTTATACAGTGGTACTTAATTCGTTCCGGAGGCCCGTACTAAACCTGAAATTGGTGTACGTCTACCATACACTCCAATATTTCTCCAACGAAAATAGGGACATCCCATTCCGTAATTATAATTTTACTAATTATACCCTACACATCTTACTGGGTTGCCCCAGCCACTCTGGGCAGCTTCCAACATACAGTGGTATCTCGGGTTAAGAACTTAATTCATTCTGGAGGTCCGTTCTTAACCTGAAACTGTTCTTAACCTGAAGCACCACTTTAGCTAATGGGGCCTCTAGCTGCTGCCACGCCGCTGAAGCACGATTTCAGTTCTCATCCTGAATCAAAGTTCTTAACCCGAGGTACTATTTCTGGGTTGGCGGAGTCTGTAACCTGAAGCGTATGTAACCCGAGGTACCAGCTGTCCTTTCTCGACAACAAATTGTCGCTGTTTTTTGTGTTGAACGTATGCTACATGTTAATTTATGGACCTAAAGGTAAAGGGACCCCTGACCATTAGGTCCAGTCATGGTTGACTCTGGGGTTGTGGCGCTCATCTCGCTTTATTGGCTTACGGAGCCAGCGTACAGCTTCCGGTTCATGTGGCCAGCATGACAAAGCTGCTTCTGGCGAACCAGAGCAGTGCACGGAAACACCGTTTACCTTCCCGCCGGAACGGTACCTATTTATCTACTGTCACTTTGACGTGCTTTCAAACTGCTAGGTTGGCAGGAGCAGGGGCCGAGCAACAGGAGCTCACCCCGTCACGGGGATTCGAACCGCCGACCTTCGGATCGGCAAGTCCTAGGCTCTGTGGTTTAACCCACAGCGCCACCCACGTCCCTTAATTTATTTATTTAATTAATTAAATTAAATTTATGGACCTATTAGGTATCTAAAGCCATTTGCACATGCAGAAGGTAAAGGTAAAGGGACCCCTGACCATTAGGTCCAGTTGCGGACGACTCTGCGGTTGCGGCGCTCATCTCACTTTACCGGCCGAGGGAGCCGGCGTACAGCTTCCGGGTCCGGACTGCCCAGACACTGAGGTCTAGCACCGAGGGCCTTCTGGCAGTTCCCTCACTGCGAAAAGTGAAGCTACAGGGAACCAGGCTGATGTTTTTTTATTATTTAATAATGTTTTGTTATGTTTTCATATATTTTGGAAGCTGCCCAGAGTGGCCGGGGCAACCCAGTGAGATGTGTGGGGTATGAATAGTGAAATTATCATTCTGGAATGGGACACCCCTATTTTCATCTAATAAATGTTGGAATGTATAGCAATCTGGATCGTTCCAACCCTAGTCCCAACACACAAACCCTTAAACAACTCTTTCTGTTGTTGCATTTGCCCACTCTAGCTCCAAAGACTGATGCGTTGTTTATGGAAATGATGGACTTATGCAGTAGTAGGTCCGACTGACGCCTCTTTCTCTATTTCCTTTGCCCCAAACAGTCCTCCTATCCCAAAACTGTGTTCCTATTTTGATTTGGGGGGCATGTGTGCAGTAGTTTTTTGGTTTTTGCAAGGGTTTTTTATTGTTCATTGTCTCTATTCCTAGAGTCCCTAAACATCAACTGTGCAGATGTGCACATCAGCCTTTGCCAGAGGGCTGCATCACATACTTGCCATCCTAAGCACGCTTACTTGGGAGTAAGCCGCACTGAACTTCCCAGGGTTTCAGGCATGACTTTGAAAGAAGGTGGGGGGGTGAGATAACAAGGCCTGTAGTTAAAAGAAAGGGGTGGAGTACAGGGATAGGATGGCGAATGCACATAGAAGAAGCTCCTCACCAAAATTGTTGGGTGTTATATACTGAGTTGAATAGGATCCAAAATGCAGCAGTCTGATTGGTCCTAGAACAATAGGATCCAGAATGCAGCAGTCTGATTGGTCCTAGGACAATGCAGCAGCATGATTGGTCCGCAGGAGCCACCCAATCCAGCTCCAGGTGGAAGTGAATCCGCAACCTGATTGGCCTACAGAAGAATCCTGGAATTAGCCAATCACGTGCGGCCCATTGTGTAAATAATGTATATAAAGCAGATATTTTGGGGGAACTTCCATTCCTCACTACTATGAGCTGAATAAAGAGCATTAAATCCACACTCGACTCTGAGTATATTTCATTGGCTCTGGGCATGATCCGGTCAGGATTAAGCGTGAATTCCCATTGTCTTTAGTGGACGCTTCAGCCTCCTGCGGAAATCAGTGGGGAACAGAAAGTGGTTAACTTTCATTGCATCATTTCCCAAATGAGTCACTTGGAAAGAAGCTTTATCAGGCGATTCCTGCTCCTTTGCTTTCGCTTCTCTTTTTCCTGTTGCTTTCTGAGGGCTGTTGGGAAGTCAATGAGTCTTTAAATCAGAGCCACTTCACACATTCTGGCATTCATTCTGGGTGATTTTAGGGTAAACCTAAAAAGGAACATGAATAGAACGCTTGCTTGCCAGAGACCTAGGTACGCATTCCAAGGACCAAGGATTGACTGTTGCTCTCTACCTACTGTAGACATCAGCTACCAGACAAGGGCTCTCCAGAGTTTCAGACAGGATCTCTCTCTGCCCTACCTGGAGATGCCAGGGAGTGAATCTGGATCCTGCTACACGTGAAGCAGATGCTTTTGTCACTGAGCCAAGGGTCTTTCCCACCCCTTTCCCAGATGAGGAGGAGGATATGAGCAGCTTCCAACATAATAAAAACACAGCAAGCATCAATAATAATAATAATAATAATAATAATAATAATAATTTATTATTTATACCCCGCCCATCTGGCTGAGTTTCCCCAGCCACTCTGGGCGGCTTCCAATCGAGTGTTAAAAACAGTACAGCGTTAAATATTAAAAACTTCCCTGAACAGGGCTGCCTTCAGATGTCTTTTAAAGATAGGATAGCAGCTTATTTCCTTCACATCTGAAGGGAGGGTGTTCCACAGGGTGGGTGCCACTACTGAGAAGGCCCTCTGCCTGGTTCCCTGTAGCTTGGCTTCTCGCAATGAGGGAACCGCCAGAAAGCCCTCGGCGCTGGATCTCAGTGTCCGGGCTGAACGATGGGGGTGGAGACACTCCTTCAGGTATACAGGACCGAGGCCATTTAGGGCTTTAAAGGTCAGCACCTTTAAAGGTTAGCACACTTTGAATTGTGCTCAGAAACGTACTGGGAGCCAATGCAGATCTCTCAGAACTGGTGTTATGTGGTCCCTGCGGCCACTCCCAGTCACCAGTCTAGCTGCCGCATTCTGGATTAATTGCAGTTTCCGGGTCATCTTCAAAGGTAGCCCCACGTAGAGCGCGTTGCAGTAGTCCAAGCAGGAAATAACTAGAGCATGCACCATCAAACATTAAACACTTCCCAATACAGGGCTGTCTTCGGAGAGTTGTTTATCTCCTTGACATCTGTTGGGAGGGCGTTCCACAGGGCGGGTGCCACTACCAAGAAGACCCTCTGCCTGGTTCCCTGTAACTTCACTTCTCGCAGTGAAGGAATCACCAGAAGGCCCTCTGAGGTGGACCTCAGTGTCCAGACTGGATGATGGGGGTGGAGACACTCCTTCAGGTATACAGGGCCGAGGCTGTTTAGGGCTTTGAATTGTGCTGTGAGCGAATGTAGATCCTTTAGAACCAGGGTTATGTAGTTCCAGCAGCTGCTCCTGGTCACCAGTCTAGCAGCCGCATTCTGGATCAGTTGTAGTTTCTGAGACGGACCTTATCCTCCATGAATTCATCTAATACAGTGGTACCTCAGGTTACATACGCTTCAGGTTACAGACTCCACTAACCCAGAAATAGTACCTCGGGTTAAGAACTTTGCTTCAGGATGAGAACAGAAATCGTGCTCTGGTGGCGCGGCAGCAGGAGGAGGCCCCATTCGCTAAAGTGGTGCTTCAGCTTAAGAACAGTTTCAGGTTAAGAACGGATCTCCAGAACGAATTAAGTTCTTAACCAGAGGTACCACTGTGGTCTTCTAAAGCTTTCTAAGATAATTCATGACAGTGAATTAAGAACTTAAGGAGGGCCTGCTGGACCAGGTTAGTGGTCCATATAGTCCTTCATCCTGATCAGACATGGGCCAACCAGATGCCTATGGGAAACCAGCAAGCAAAACCTGAGCACAAGAGCTCATTCTGCTGCTGTTTCCCGCAATTGATGTTCAGAAGCATTCTGTCCTTCAACTGTGGAGCCAGAGCACAGCCACCGTAGCTAGTAGCCATTGGTAGCCCTCTCCTCCACAAATTTGTCTAATCCTCTTTCAAAGCCATCCAAGTTGGTGGCCATGACTGCCTCTTGTTGGAGAGAGTTCCATAGCTCAAGCATCTGCTGCATGCACTGCATGTTTTATCTGTCCTGAATCTTCCAGTTCTGTACACTGATGGTTCCACCAAGGGACCACCCATGAACCAGTTCCTGCCTCATGTTGCTGTTTAGTTGTTCAGTCGTTTCTGACTCTTCGTGACCCCATGGACCAGAGCACGCCAGGCACTGAATTCAGAATCAAATTAATGGCAACCATTGGGCTAGAGTTCAGTGAGGATTACAGAAGGAGAGAGGGGGTCAGACTGTTCCTCAGCCAAAAGCCTGGTGGAACAGCTCTGTCTTGCAGGCCCTGCAGAAAGATGTCAAGTCCTGCAGGGCCCTAGTCTCGTGTGACAGAGCGTTCCACCAGATTGGGGCCACAGCCGAAAAAGCCCTGGCTCTGGTTGAGGCCAGCCTAACCTCTCTGTGGCCCGGGACTTCCAAGATGTTTTTGTTTGAAGACTGTAAGGTCC